AAACAATACGGTGAGCGTGAATCAAATACGCGACCTTCAAATCTTCAGTTTGACGCTCTCCCAGCTTGCACCATCGGATGCATGGTTGGAGCAAGTATATATGTGCATCTTTAAGTGAGTCATGCGGGGCACAAAAATTATAATAAAACAATACGATGAGCGTGGATCGAACACGCGCGACCGCTCTCCCAACTGAGCTATCCCACATGGTTTGACGGTATTCGATCGCTCGAGTCATGCGGAGCACAAAAACTGTAATAAAACAATACGGTGAACCTGGATCGAACACACAACCTTCAGATCTTCTGTATGACGCTCTCCCAACTAAGCTATCCCCGCTTACACTTTTTTAATTAAGCTATCCCCACTTGCACTATTGGATACATGGTTTGGCGGTTATGACGCTCTCCCAACCGAACTATCCACGCTTACACTATCAAATGCATGGTTGGAATAAACATGCAGGTGCATCTCTCTGAGTGAGTTTGTTTTCTCTATTAGTTCACCTCTCTAGTTGTTTTGTTGATGGATAGTTGTTTTGTTGATGGATATTGTATCTTGCTGTTGCAAAGAGGTGCATCTCTGAGTGAGTTATGCAGAAACAGAAACTGTAATAAAATAATACGGTAAGAATGGATTGCTTGAGTCGAGACATAAAAACTGTAAGAAAATAATACGATGAGCGTTGTAATAAAATAATACGATGAGCGTGGATCAAACATAAACTGAGTTATCCCCGTTGATTGAAAAGATGCGTTACACATTTCTATAGTAGTCATTTTTTTCATGATCATGTCTCTCCATTTCATCTGAATCTGACAAAGTTGACCTTCTACCCCAAGAAGAATCAATTGTACCTTTGTTCTTACGAAGGCCTACAACGAGCACTTCAATCGAACAGGTGCTTGGGGCATAACACGCTGACCATATCCGCGCAGAAGATTTGCATCTCCATCTCACTCGCATACTCACACAGCTCTCCAAACCCCTTGCACTGTGTGCCCGAGTTAAAAGGAACTCGGGAGATGTGTTAAAAGAGTCAATTTCGAACAGCCACGGAGAGAACAATTTTAGTTCCAGCTCATATTGGCAAAAGGTCATACAACAATATAGTGAGAGGCAACAGCAACAAAGACATCCACAACATCTATCGCTACTGAGATCTACAATTACTACTACTAGTATTCATTCAAAACTGGAGACCCATTCATCTGTAACTGCGGTAAACAGGGTTGTACATGCAGCTCTCTGCATACTTCACCAGGTCCTTGGGACATGGGAGCCGACTTGCCAGACCTAACAAATGGCAACAACACACACGACCACTATTAACTTGCTGCGCAAAATCTAAACAAGTAGCCACAAATAGCTGCTGAAGAAGCAACTCACCAAGTTCATATGCTTTAGCAGCGACGTTAGCGGCAATATGAGCAGATATCTTCCTAATATTTGAGAAGGGTGGATAGATCAATCCTTTATCCAAGTTCTCTTGTGTCACCTGTTGGGCCAATGCTTCCGCTGTCCAAGAGAAAGTGAGGACGCAGTCAATATAAAAAAGAGCAAACCAACAAATCGCACGAGCTTTCCTTGTGGGCGTACGTTCTTTTTGCCTAGTCTCTCAAGGAGACACATCATAAAGCACAGTTAGTGGCATACTATCAGCCAAAATCTATGGAGCTGCTTTTATTAGTTGAGATTTCCAAGTTTTTTTTGACAAAATTCCAAGTTTTTCTCAAGGGAAAAAGAGTGCTCTAACTATGTTATGTTCAACTTAATCATATGTTAGAAATCTTTTTTATAAATAAAACACTTAATCACATCCAAGAAGCAGAATGTAGGCATTGTTTTTAACTCTGTTACTTACAGGCTGCAAGGAGCATGTCATCATGCACACGGGTAGCTCCAGAGATAACCAACCCGAGGCCAAATCCTGGGAAAATATAGGCATTGTTTGCCTGAAAGCATGCAAAACACACACCTGAGGTTAGAGTGCTTCACTTGAAAGTAAATATTTCTAAAGTGACACCACAGCCATGTCAAAGGATGATAAGACATTTCAAACCTGGCCAGGCACAAAAATCTTTTCATCATATTCAACTGGATCGAACGGGCTCCCACTAGCAAATATTGCTCGACCCTGTGAATGTGGCAAGCCAGTTTTTAAGCAGAAAATTGAACCCCATGAAAAATCTCTTATCACGGCGGATATGGGACATGTGGCTACAAGAATAACAAGATTTACCTTACTCCATGTGTATGCTTCTTCTGCACTACACTCGGACTGTGTGGTCGGGTTGGAGAGAGCCAAAATTATGGGCTTCTGCGTTAAATAAAGGAAATCTTACGGTTATAATTCAATACACAAATCGTATCGTAGATTCTAAATACAAATAATAACTGAACACACTCAAAAAAGAAAACTAGTAAAAGGAATGCATACCTCATTAAATGTGGCCATGGCTTCAACCACCTCCTTTGTGAAAGTTCTTCCCACTCCAGAGGAGCCAATTAATACAGTTGGCTTTATAGCCTAAAAATTGGAAAAAAAAAAAATATATAGAGGGTATAAGAACCTCTGACATTCATCACCAACTTCCAATTAATCAGCAAATCCACTTGAGGTTGCTTTATAGAAACAGAGATCAGAAAGACCTCTTTTATATGGTCAATACCTGGAATGAACAAATCACTCTCACAAACAAATAATATAGTTGGAGATCGTCAATGGTAGGGAACGGAAAAGGTAAGAACCAAATACTTTTACATGAGATGTAACCTATACAATAATCAAACTCTAGATAGGAGGACTTCATACCTTGACAGCATCCAAGAGATTACCGACAGGTTCATGGTCATGCGCCCAAGGTTTCTTAAAGTGCTGAAGAGATTCCTTGCGTGAGCTCACAATTAAGCCCTAAAAGAGGGGAAAACATCAGCTGGAGTCAAATGATGAATTCAAAGACATGAAAGCAAGCATAAGGAACGATGATGTATAAACACAGAAATATATACAGCCAATAACTGTACCTTTGAATCCACCATCCAAATTTTCTTCCGAGTCTCTTCCAATGGAGCTTTTGTCTACAACATTCATTACCAAAGGAATCATTCAGTCAGATTTTTGAGCTCATCAGTCCTTTTTTTTTTCTTTCTGTTGTGTGTGTGTGTGTGTGTGGGTGCATAATTGAGCAAAAAATGAAGTCAATTAATCATTTGGCATGCTCGGGTTAATCAACAACATATTTTCAGTACCTGTTTTGACATCTCACGTGCTATGAGTTCTGCGATACCGGTACCAGCCTGTAATACAAAAATAAAGGCAGATTATTTTAGTATCTTCCACAAACATTGAAAGACCCTGAATTGGTAAGAAAATGAGAATGAATTTGTGACCATGAGAAATGCAAGACACCCATGAAATGTCTGCCCTTCCTAATAGAAAGGAGAAAACCCTTGCCATGCAAGGCATCTTGCTGATGAGAATGCACATGGAATAGCAGAAGCAAATGCAAATGCAGGAAATGCTAAGAACATTGAACATAACAATAAATTGTGCAATCAAAACAATAGTAGACTTGTACACTCCACTATAAACTGCAATTATGCAAAGACAACTCAGTTAGAATTAGAACTACCAGGAAAATAAAAACATAGATGATCAAGCACAGCGCTCATGCTTGCAAATATGCACAGTAAAATTATGATTCAAGAGGTGTCACACAGGACAAATTGATTGCATTTGAACAAAATAGTAAGGAGAAACCCAATTGAGCAAAAGGGTACGACCTCCCCAGCACCAAGGAATAAGAAACTGTGCTCCGCCAGAGTTCCACCAACTATATTCAAAGCTGCAAAAAGCCCAGCAAGAACCACAGAAGCTGTGCCCTGCAATGATAATAACCATACAGAATGGTTCAAAAGCATGCAACAGGTAATTGGACAGAGAGAATATTAGAGAAGTAATCTATCGATGCATTACCTGGATGTCATCATTGAACACGAGATGCGTTTTACGATATTTGGCAAGCAGTTCAAATGCATTATGGTTAGCAAAGTCTTCAAACTGAAAAAAAGAAAAAACATACAAAACCAAAATCAAGATCGACGTAACATGGATTGTGTGAAGCAAATATCAAACGTGAAATAACCAAGAGCGGATCCTCTCCAATATCTCATTGGGTGGTGACCAACCTGAATGAGCACTTTCTCCCCATACCTCTGCTTCACAGCAGTCATGAACTCATGCATCAACTCAGCATATTCCTAAGTCGATACAAAAAAAAAAAAACTGATTCAACAAATTTATCTACATCATAAAAAAATTCATGTATTTAAATATGGTACCTGACCAGTAGCTCTTCTTCGGCGCAGTCCAATATAGAACTCATCCTTAAGTAGCTGCTCATTGTTGGTCCCCACATCAATAGTGACAGGTAAGCACTGCAAAACGTCGATTGGTTAAGGGAACCTTGTAAATGAACACGCCAAAAACACTAGATAATGATGCAAAAAGTAAGAAGAAGCATAATACAAGTAATGAAACTAAAACCAATAAAGATAAAACTTACAGCAGATGGACGCAGACCCCCAAGAGCAGTATATAGAGCAAGCTTGCCCACAGGAATTCCCATTCCCTACGAAATCACGAAATAACAACCTGACCGTAAGTAAGCACACAGTCCCATTAAACAGTTGTAAACATACAACCGAATTGTAATGTTACCTGGCAGCCAAGGTCTCCGAGACCCAAAATCCGCTCACCATCTGTGACCACAATAACTTGGATGTTCCTTTCGGGCCAGTTTCTCAAGACTTCGAGAATCTTCCCCCTGCAAATAAAAATTACCTGTGGTTAACAATTGATAGATGTCGATAGTGTGGGAAACAAGAAAGGAAAATCTCTAACCTCTCGTTCAAACTGATGTAGAGACCCTGAGGATGCCCAAAGATGGAGCCATACTTCTGGCAAGCCTCACCAACAGTAGGAGTATAAACAATTGGAAGTAACTCCTCAACATGGTCAATTAGCAGCTTGTAAAAGAGCTTCTCGTTTCTCTCCTGAGAATCCGACCATCGATGCCTCAGGTGAAGTTTAGTATAACAAAACTATTAGGTGGAAATGAAATGCGAGCTGTTTCCCAGGTACCTGAAGATCCATCATGGACACATAACGTTGCAGGGGCACCTGGTATTGGCGAAGATTGTGCATAATCTTTTTCTCCTGTGGGGAAAAAGTTGCAAGTAGACATCAGCAAATGGTATTCATCGCTTCAATCTTTTGGATGGCTTCCTTTACAAGATACAAACAAACCTGAAGCTCTTGCGTAACACATGCTGGAGGCAGGAGGCCTCGCAAGTAGTGGGCATCCCTCTCTTTCTCATTGAAAGCGAGCCCTTTGTTGTGTTGTGGATTCCGCAACAACGAGTAACCACTAAGTTCAAAAGAATAGATCAAATGATAAAGTTATCCACCAAGGTCACTACATAAATCATCATTGACATCATCGGCGGAAAGAACTATGCCTATAATTACACAAACATGTTTTGAAGCTACATAAAATTAGGCATAATTAACGAGATTTTTTATGCATATAGACATTTCTGATGAACATGTAGTAGATTGAGCAGTCACTTCTCGCATGAAAGACGTATGCACGAATAGTCCTTGACCCATAGGAACGATCTCAAATTGACCCCTAATTGTCGTGAATCATATTGAGTCCCTACCATCAATCTTAGTCAGGTGTCTATAGGCCAATCAGCCCTAAAAGTTTGGAAAACCCCCACCATGGGTTTTCTTCTTCCGTCAGTTTTTTCGTCTATCCCATTTTCTTTCTCAGTTTTTCTCCTCCCTTCCTTTCCTTCATCCCCGCTCCACTTTCTCTTGAGGAACGATAGTGATCAGGATTGAGGAAGATGGAAAAAAGAAGGTGGACATGAGATTCACCGTCTCGTCGTTTCCTGTTTTCCAGCTTCTCGCCACTTCCTTTATCCTCCTCTCCTCTCATAAAATGTTGATGGCGACTGACATCACCACAAAAAAAAAAAAAACAAAGGGAAGGAGAAAACAAACTTTATATCCTCTTCTTTCTCAGAATGTGGCATGGCGCATTTTAATTCATTTAGTCCCAGACGACTTTTCGCACTGGCAGAGTATTCTACACCAAACTCCACGGTGGGAGAAGACCTGATTGCAACACGACCAAAACCCTAGGGATTCGACAAATTAAAGCTCGAGGATCGATTAGAAAATCGGGCCTGTCGTTCAAGGACTATCCATGTGATCCACCCTGAAAAGAACGAAAGAAAAATTGAAATGAAAATGAGGGCAAAAGAGCGGAGCGACACTACAGATGATCGGTCGGGACAAATGAATAGTAACAAGAGACTCCAAGTCAAGTCCACCAGATTTACTTGGCGGGTAAAGATTTCTGTGGCACAAGTTAAGGAAAACCTAGTCGTTTCATTTGTCTAACAACTCCCAATTACTAATATGCATGAATCTGAAAAAATGATCCGAGTACGGTTGAGCAGCCGCCCAAATTAGACCCAATGGTAAAGAGACTTTCGCGAAACGTAATGATCAAGGCAGGAAACCTCATTGAATAGGTTAATAAATTCTTATTACAGGGAACAAAATAGGGCCAGTATGGGACCACCAAGACGCATTCGAACTCAAGAAAGCCACGCCAAAAGAATTCTCGCTCTTGGATCCAAGAAACACCCAAGATCCAACCATCAGATCGAACAAATTAGATAAATCGAGTCCAAGAAAAAGTGAATTCGCGCACTTGTTGGATTCCATCTGGGAACCCCAGGAAACATCCAAGATCCAACCAGATCGAACAAAAAGAGCCGTGAAACTCTCGAGGGAACCAGGCGATAGGATCCGAGCCGATCGATCGAGAGCAAACCTGGCGACGGAGACGGTCCACGGCATGATGAACTGCTCCTCCACGTCCCCGTCCTCACCGTGCGCGTCCTCCACGACGCCTCCGGCGGACTTGGGCTCGAGCACCGGCTCGGCCTCGCCCCTGAGCTCCTTGACCGTGTTGTCCACCGTGATCCCCCTCCCATTCAGCTCCCCTCCGCCCCTCGCCGCGCACCGCACCCCCGCCGGCGCCAGCGGCATCCGCCGCCTCTGCGACACAAGCAGGCCTGGCTTCTCGTCGCATCGCTGCTCCCCCGGCCCACAAAGACAAAAGAAATCAATAAGCGATTCGACATTCCCACCACCATCGTAGCTCATTTTATATATCCACAAGAATCAAAAGGAATAACCATCTAATCAACCATTCACATGGGTAAATGTCAAAAACGGGAACAAGAAAACAAGAGATTAATTACCAAGAAGCCGCTTCGATTTAGCGAGAGCATGGCGACGAGGAGAGGAGGAGGGAGAAAGGGGGGATCTCCGCCGGCTCTTGTCTTCTTTTACCTCGAGAGAGATCGCCGATTGGAAATGAAATGAGGGAGGGAGGTAGGAGGCCTTGATGGGGCTGCTTTTATAGCAACACGGGGGGGTGTAAGTTGTGCCGGCGGAGAAGCGTACGTTGCCCTGCAGCGAGGGGCGTGGATCCTACGCAATGGACACATGAGCGGCGTCAGTTTGGGGTGCGACGAAGTAGATCCGAGGGTGAGCGTACCGAGGGCTCCTGGGTTTGGGCGAACGCGCGGGTTGTAAGCGGGGGAGGCAGCGAGCGCGGGGGTTTGCTGCCGGAATACGCGTGTTGCGTCGGCGTCGGCTTCCGCGCGCGCTGGTGGTAGTTGCCTGCGGCGACCGCGAACCTTCGCCTTTATTCGCCAATTTATTGCTGGATCGAATGTATGTATTCATTCCGAAACTAATAACAATTAAACATCGATTTCAATATAAATACATCTCCTTCAAATAATTAATCGTGAAATTTGTGTGTATAATTTTATCGATGTGATACTTACCTAACTTGAGTGTTCAACTCATATACTTTATCTCAGTATTCATACAAATATTATTGATAATTTATATCATATACTTTCGGGTCATGAAAATATATGTTTTACTGTTATACGATAATAGATCATTTATAACCATCGTCCTCTATCATATGGATGAGTATTTCTACTGATAAGTCAGAGATAAAATGATATTTTTATATAATTAGATATAAAAAAATATTTTTATATGATTAAGGAATTTTTTAAAGTTGAAAAGTTATGTCAAAATTTTCGAAACTTAAAAGAGTGTTTTGGGAAATTCACCCGATATTATATTATGTATGGTATGATGAATCGGGTGGTGTGGTGCACGTGACTTCGGACCGTGGGGCGCATGATGCGTGCACGCTGTTTCGAGGGTACTCTCGTGCGCGTTTGGATACGTATAATAATAATAGAATAATACAGACGTACGGCGGATGGTTGGGAAACAGCAGCAGCTGCCGCGGGAATCGACGGCTGTGGTTGCGGTGGACCACGTCATTCACTTGAGTCTCACGTGAAGGGTCCCATCTCCGGTCCGAGATTTGGTGCGTTGTTTCCGTGGTTTTGGAGGACGGCGTTCGAGTTGTGGGGAGGGTAGTGATCCCTTTTTGCCCCTTTTTTTGAATGTGTTGAGAAACGAGAAAAGTATTATTCTTTTATTATTTTATAGAGTTTGAGGAAATAAAGACTTTTTTCTGATGCATATTCCAAAAGTGTTTCCTAATAATAAAAAATAAAAAGTTCGATCAAGTAAGTCTTACGCCCTCTTCTAACGTCAATCTAATAAAAACTCATGAGGAATTATCTATTTTGAACGATGGACGTACCCGTACGATTTTATCCTTTTGAAATAGATAAACTCTAAAAACATCTTTAAGAATAAATAAGATTTGATAAACTTATGAGCTTTGACATCCGATCTTTAATCAATATGAGCCTAATTGATCTTATTAAATATTTTATTACTAAACGAACAATGTCTCAATGTCATATCCATAATATCTTAATACGATCAACATATATATATAAATAAAATAGGATCCTAAATCATAAATTATTTTTTATTCAAATTCGAAACATACTAATTAATTAAATACAAAGATGTCAAATTCATACATATTATTTTCATGCCTAACTTCTTTACAAACATTAAAAAAAAAATTCAGCCCTACGAAACCGATAATATGTGTAGTTGAAACCACAAACGCCGGCCGATTGCGCCACCAACTCGGCAGACAACGGTGACGGAGTTCTCCATTCGTGCAAGAGTCAAAGTCGCTATTCGTGTTGCCCAAAGAAAACCAACGGAATAAGGATTCTTTGATACCCATTCTTTCCCACTTAACCTATGCGATCAAAGAGATGGTAACGATGATCCCAAGGGACTCACTCGACCAGCATTTCCGCTTTCACGCGTCTCTCTCATGTGCATACTTTATGTTAGCCTTAACCGCGTCGTGGAAGCCACATCATGGCCATCAGCACACGGGTTTGGGGACGGGTCGATGAGGAGGATAGGCTTTAAAGACGGGAAGGAAGGCGTCGCTGTTCCAAAGCGCACCAGCCATGGAGATGCCGAGCTGATGCACGGTGACCACATGGGGTGCACAGTGGCAGCCTTTACATGTGTGGTTGGAATTGGCACGATAATGATCCATGGCATGTGAGATTCGTGTCAAGTGCAGAAACACTTGTTAGGTGGTGGTGGTTGGTTGGGAATCGGGTGCCGAACCGACGCTATTTGCCTCTCTTGCGACAGCAGGCAGCACCACACAAGAGTGACTGGTTTGACTCTCTCTCTCTCTCTCTCTAAATATAAATGAGTTTGGCGGTGTTGGTGATGCAATTGAGGTGGGTAGAGGGAGAGAAAAGAAGAGGAAACTTGCACTATGGTAACGACAATAATGATGGATTAAGACACTTAACTTGGAAGATGTTCCAATCTGGACGATACTCCATAACACTTCGCCTCTGATCCATATAGCTTCTATTTGGTTGGGACAGAGTTGGCTTACGGGTATAGGGCATGGGCCCGTTAAGAGCCCAATAAATACAGAGACCATTAACAAGGAACGGTCCTGATGAGAAGCTGTTTCCATCCGACGTACCGCGATGAGCGATCGCTGCGGAGCATCGTGTGATGAGGTTACTCGGTTCATCGGTTGGCCGTTGAGCGTCGGAGCACTATAAATAACTGCTTAACGGACACATGATGCGGTTACTCTGAGAGGGAGGGGGAGAGAGCTCTCCAGCGTTTGCGAGGGCGGTGTCGTCCTCAGGTTCTTTCTTCGTTCTTTCGCTTGCTTCAGACTCTTGCTTGGACGATTGGTTTGCGATTTGGATTCATCCGTCTCATCTGCCGCTTGATCGCGAGATGTATCGACGAGGTTTAACATGGTTCGATTATGCTCGTACATGAATTTTTTTTTTTTTTTTGCTGGAACCGTAGTCCGGCTTCTTGTTTCTTGTCGATGAGATTGAGACGCACACGAGAAGGAGCTGATTGTTTGTGACTTATTTGTTGATGTACAACGGATTTGCAGTCCTAATGCATGTAGAATGATGACTTGCAGCGAAACCATACATACAATGGGTAAATACTCGGATCGCTTTCCTCTTTGCTCTCGATGCAGAGGCCGGCCACTTCGCTCTATAACATCACGGCTCATCTTCCGGTGGTCGAATCGATTGGGTTCTCACTGCTCTTAGCCAGGCGTTCACCCAGTGTGTCTTTGACCGCTGGGTCCTGATGTCTTCCGATCTATAGGATGAGGCTCGTGATCGACATCCGTCAGAGGAAGGGCTTGAAGAAGCAGATTACCCCTCTCCCCAAATACCAAAACCAGCTCTAAATTTCCCAAAATGCTTCTGGTACGATCCGCCGTTAACCCTTCCTTCGGTTTTCCCCTGTGATTAGGCCGCTTTACATATCTTAGTTAGCTACTGATGTCAGTTCACCTCACCTAATGAAAGGAGAACGCCTAACAAATTTGCGTGCATTTAGATGAATTCATAACGAATTTCTCATTTTCCGACTAGATCTTGTTATCACATAGCTTGCATTTTGACACAAAGGCCAAAACTTCCGACTTGTTTTGCATGTCTCGCTGACTCAGGTGCAGGTCTTCAACCACATACATTTACTACACGAAGACCTTTTTGGCTGAATCGGGATATCCAGTGAAACCAATTTGAAGGTCACCGATCCCTAATTTATTCAATAGTTTGTGGGACAATATGGAGAAGAAACATAACAGAATAAAAAGGCTAACCGCAAAGCCACTCCGCAGAACAAAAAAATTGGCAGGACAAACTGGCAGCATCATCCACAAGCCCGCTTCTGGTCCTGCTTTTATACATTCATGACGACACCACCGAAGTGTTAACCTAAACATTCTTTTTTTCGACAACGGAGAAAAGGGTAAGCAGAAACCGCAGGTTTCCTTATTTTATTTTGTATTGGAATCCTCTTAGGACTGTTCAAGGTACCGAGAGTGAGAGGCTGCAAGAAGAGACGCGCCAAGGCCTGATCCATCGTTAGTGAGGTTGACGACAACAGACGAAGAGGCCTCATCTCCGAGCATTTCATTCAGGGCGCCGTGCAAGCATTCTCTGAATACAGTGTAATGCTCGTAAAGCCCACCGTCCATAGCGATCACTGTCCTTCGCATTCCACTGCCATCCCGTCCCAGCTTCTTCAGAATCCCAACTATGCCTGCAGCAGCCAGCCGAGCCCCACGCTTGGCAACAACATCACAGATCTGGACAACCACTTTTCTCGCTTTCAAGGAGGTGCTAGAAATCTGGACTTCAGGCAAAAACAAAGACAGTAAAAAAAAAAAACTGGCTGCGGAACATGAGATTTAGGGAAAATGTAAAGGATTGTACCCCCAAGAATTCCTTCAGTTTGGCCCCGACAACTTTGAGATCAGCTGAAGTATCATGATGCATAGCGGACATGACTGGTGTCCTACAAACCATAAATTGCGTACTTGTTCAGATAACAAACCGAAAGGGTGAGTCAACCGATCCATTAAATAAGGACCCAAAAGTAAAAAACAAAGCAAAAGTCAGCAGGAGATTGGTTATCACAAATTTGATCGACAGGAGCGGTGCCGATTGTCTAGTCATAACACAATTACGAAAAAGTTGAAAACTCGGTTGCAACTTATGCTTGAATCCTGTCTACACAGTACCCACACAATCATAAAGTTGACTCTTTTTCTTTTAACATCAGCTTGCGTACTTAAGAAACAAATATGACAGGATCAAGCAGGAAACCTGCAACAATGTCCTAAAAAAATGATACCATAACATTATTATATTTATTGGCAGGCACAATGCAATACTATTGACTTTCATCATTTACATCATATCAACGGAACAAATCAGAAATGAGGAAAATCTTTACATTGCCTTATTTTATGTCAACATAGAAAGTATAGATGTAATATGCATGAATGAAACTTCAGTTCATGACATGCAACAAAGACAAAAATAATGATGACCCACCATTTATGCTTTGTCAGTTTGAGTAATCAGTAATATGACCAATGTGGAATAAGAAGTAGGTTAAAGGAGTAAAGGACAAAGCATTATGTGCAACATGAAACCCTAGTCATGATCTAGGTACTTTACTAGGCACGCACTATGCCTAAAACATAGCTTCTATTCATTTTCTGTCTCAATGTTTTGATACGATGAACCATCAGAAGCACCCAACAATAACAAAGAATAGCATCAATGGCATCCTACAAATCTTAGTTAATTGGTTTCTCGATAGACGTGGTTGCTACCTAATGTTATTCTACTATGTTCAATTCAATGGTTATTATTTGAAGAAAAGTGTGTAGCTTGATAGTCATCAATCATGTTACACCTCATGAATCGTGAAAAAATAAGTTATGACAAAATTGGAGCACGTTTGTTAACCAGGAAATTGGTTGACCAGAAAATTGGCCTGAGAGCTATGTTGCAATGGAATAATTTAGTTTCAATGATTTACATAGGAAAATAATGAAAAAAAAATGCCAAGATACTGAATCTCCAAAAGCTGGCAAAAGTAAAAAACCTCTGCAGATTAGTGCTAAGGGGCAGTCATTCACATGTAAACTTTTTGCATATAAAAAGCAAATTTGAAGCTATACTTTTTTTTTTAGTAGGAGAGCCAGAGAAGGTAAGATACAAAAAACTAATAATCAAGGCTTCACACAAACCAATGACTGCAACACTTCTAATATGATGTACAACCTCTTCCCGTCATGAAATTGGCACAAATACTGCCCATATGCACCCCCCAGAAGAATATAATAACAACAGTCAGTAATAATGGTTCTAATCACAGTTACAATACTACTGCTACGTGCTCTTGGTATTGAAAATTAAATGGTATCCAAAAGAAACATATTGATAAGATGTGTAATATAACTCTTGCCTGAACCAACGAGCAAGCAAGCTGCACAAAAGATTGCCATAGCCCACAATATTCAAGAGCCTTTGTACCCGTTAGCATGATCTAGAGCCAAGACATGTAGGAAAATAAAGAATATACCAGATGTTGATTTGCATTAAAGGTTAATTATGATAATGCTTTATAATATGACAAGAGTGGTCTAGTGAATGAGACTCCTGCTGACATGGGGTCAACATATGTAGCCTAACCCCAAGTTGGAAGTTTGTTTATACAAAACCTTGACACCCAGGTCATCCCATCAGGTGTTGGGTTAAGTCAAAGGAGCAATATTAGCACGGCACCAAGGCTCAGCCTTGGTTACACATAAGAATATAGCACGGTAAGGTCCATCATATGAGAGAAGGGAGACTGAGTTGAATCTATGCTCAAGAGAACAATGGATATTATCTTCATGCAAGGGGCCACAGAAACCTTACCGTAATACGAATGGAATTTCAAGTTGTGGGGGTACATTATCTCCAAATAAAGCAGTTTGTACAGCTAATCTCAGCAGGACTCTTCGGACAATTTCACCAAGATACATTCCTGAAATGAGCTTCTCAAAGATCTGAACATGACAAGTACCTTGGATTACATATCACACAAATTTGAAGGATAAAAAGAAATTAGGCTGCTCAAGGTAACAAGTGAAGTTGTTACCTGGTCACCAGGATTCAAACTTTCAACATCTAATGCAGTATCATATTCTGTCATTGGGAGGTGAGAGGAGCTAAAATTTCCCCATTCCATGTTGATGACCTAGAAGGGCAAGGAAATATTAACAAACAATCTTAAACACGAACCAATGAGATTTATTGAATGAAACAGAAGTTACCATATTCTACCGCATGCTCTACTAGAGTTTCAATTGCTAATGAAAGACTAGTTTACAATATAAGACCACAGATTCCAAAGTTATTGTTCTGGGTTCTGCTCGACTCAGCTCTCAACTTACAATTTCTCCCGATCCAGGAAGCGGACCTTTCCACTTTTTAATTGCATCAGCACGCTCAACATATGCTGCATTAGTACCAGTACCCAATATAACAGCAGCGACAACATCAGTATCATCATACCTGCCACCAGCTAGCGTTCCAACTGTATCATTAACCTGAATTAAAGGAAATCATTCTCTTTAATTTCATTCAAATAACATTAGTAAAAAAGATTGAGATAAAATCACAGAAAATTTACATATTAAAACCTTACACTACAAAGTTTTCCTTCTTTATAATGAAATAAAAAAGGAAATGCTAGAAGGAACTCACCAAAGCTGCAACTTGCATATCAAGACCTTGTCTTTGTAGGGCCTTATTCAATTCAGATACAACATCTTCCCCAACCTGCCTTCACACAAACAGGAGAGTTCTAATCACCATATATCATTCCCAAATTAACAATATATAATTCTTCTTTTGTCATGCATCAACAACAATTAAATTTAGAATAATAGTTCCAGAACAAAAATACTGGAAAAAGACTAACAGTTTAAATCCAGATAATTCCTAACAAGGGATTACTGAAACGAGAGAGTAGAGAGCAGAAATATTTTAATCTTCTGTAACATCAACAAAGCATGCTTATCTTGAAATATAAATTAATTTTGGCCCCAAGCTTGAATGGAGAAGGCTTGCAGCGGAAAAGACCAACAATACTCCATCACATCCTATGAACACATATCCCTACCAATTTTAACATTGTCATCTGAAAGTGCACACATCACCCAGATAGCCCAAAGTGCAGACGGTGAGGAAGGAGGTTACTCCTTTGAATAAAGCAGCAGTCTAGTATACACAAAATTCATGGTTAACAAATGCAAAAAGTTAACACAACTTATTTCCACCATAGCATAGCTCCTTCGACCAACATGTGACCTAATTAACTCATACAAAGGTAAATTTAGAACTTCCTTGTATTAGACATGAAGGTACTTAAAGAGTCTACCATGCCATCTATGTTGAAACCCTTTGTCCATTTGATTAGAGTGCCTGAAGCAACAGAAGTTTGCTTGACCGGAAAGGAAAAGGTGAAGCCGAGTTCTCTCTGCCTGCCAGAATGAAGGTGAAACTCTTCACCTTCCAAATCAACAAACTTCACTAAAGCTGAAGCGATAAAATCAAATAGTTCCTGGTGTGACATAATCAAAAGTCGGGAATACTTAGAATCAGACCGAACAATTATATGGGTAGAGAAAAGCACAAAAGAAGTATCTGAATCTTACATCAGATCTTCCGACCATCAAATCATGGGGTATTGAAACCTCCTTAGCCTCTTGCCTGACAACACGCCCTTCCCTTCCTCCTAGCTGCACGCGCAAGACGCGAAAATTGGTTCCTCCAAGGTCCAACGCATAAAATAATCCTCTCTCATCCCTGTCAAGGTTGTGATCAAGAAGCACAAGATGTGAATTTGTTGAATCTACCACTGCAAGGTTGATGCATCAATTTACATGAGAATGGAGAAAGAAGGATGTGAGCTCCTACCCGGTGGGGAGTTTGTCGACGTAGCTAATGATCATCTTGAGCTTGCTCACATCCTCCGACTCGAGCCCGGCGTGCATCTCCTTCGTCATCGCGTCGGCCACCTCCCAAAGCTTCTCAACCGGGGTGGCGCACTTCTCCTCGAGCTCCCTCAGCACCGCGGCAGCACGGGCCCAGCGCTCGGCGCTCCGCATCCGATGGCGCACCACGAGCGCCGTCACGGCGACGGCCGCCGCCGCGCACACCACAGCTGCCCCGACCGCGACCTTCCCCATTATGGCAACAGAACGAATCAAAACCCTAACCTCCCGCTCGACTCAAAGACCTCAATCGAGCCAGACCCCGGTCTTGCCGCCGGATTCGAGAACCTAGGGCTTCAAATCCTCCCAAAGCTTCTTCGCCCTAATCAATCCGCTTCTGCTAGCCTCCCGAATCAGCTGATCTCGACTCAGGACCAGATCGGTCTATAAATCGAAGGAAATAAAACGGCCAAATACACTCAAAAAGGAATCGGATGATCTTTCCTTTTTCCCTCGGCAGAAACGGGAAGAGAATTGGAACGAGATCAGGAGGAGAAACCAAGCTTAATCTTCTGGGGGGATTGAATTCGTGGGAAGAAGCAAAAGGAAATGAGAGATCTCGAGGGCGGGGGCGTGATAGTTTGCTTTTATTTTGGAATTGGATTCCAACAACCGCGTGGTTTGAGGAGGAAGATACGACTGACTACAAGCCGCGATCGATGGATTGGGTTTTAGAACACGTCTCTTTCCATCTCAGATCTGAAACCCATCCGAATGGCCAACCCATTTGCTCGTGATTCGTGCCATGTGGTGACTTGGTGGGATATGGATTTGATGTTGAGGGGTTCTACTATCTTATGTCTTGACTTCCACGAATATTATTTATAGGCGTTTTCTAACATCAACATTAACGATAACAAAATCATAAATCTCAATTATTCGAGAAGTTCTAATTAATCGAACTAAAAAAATAATCAAACATAACATTTGAGTATATTGAACATATAAATAATATATATATGGTAAGAAACTTCCTTTCCTTTCTCACTTCTCTCATGGATTTTTATACAAAAAGGCAGATATATTAACTACTATAGATTTTTATGAATATTTTAAATCTCATGAGATGCCATAAGCTAAGAAAACCTCTTTTCTTAATGGAGAAATTTGAAGGATTTAGAAAGAAACATCATTTGGCTTAGTGATATGGTAGATGAGAGGATTTAAATAGTGAATTATAGCAATCATATTATAAATTTGGTATAATTTTAATGTTCGTCTTGCGTGATATGATTATTATATACATGATTTTGATGGATGATGAAAAGCATGTATGCAAATTAGCAACATCAAGAACTATGTGACTGGACCGTACATGATGATTCACACGTGTGATGGACTCCAAGTTCCGGCCCATTTGGGCTTCACATGCAGGCCCAGTTCACATGCTCAGATGGCAGCAATCTGCTCCGATAACATCTAAACACAGGCAGAGCTTCTTAGATGATGCAAACCTTTTTCATTCCAACACAAAGGATGCATGTTTGGTGACATCCAAAAAGGAGGACCCTAAAGAAAATGAATGGCAATAATTTGCATGCAACAAATGGTGAACTGGTTCCAGCTCCACCGCGAAAACAATGACCTAAAACTTTGAGTTATAACTTTTATAACCCAAGTAATGTTGGTTTTCTTCTTATGCTTATAATAGATTTGAATTTGAATGTTCGTATCCCTGAACAACAAGGATGCGGTGCGGCGAGCAGTCCGGCTTGTTCTGGAATCGAACATCAGAAAACATATTCGTAAATAGCCTTTGCCACACCATCTTCATCATTGCAAGCTCCAATCACGTCGGCAACAGCTTTCGTCTTTTCCGATCCATTTGCAAGTGCAATGCCTAGCGATGCTAACTGAAGCATCTCGATGTCATTTTCACCATCACCGATAGCCATGATCTGTCAGCAAATAAAAATATAATCGTTATCTAGAAAAATATGCAACTATTTTGATGTATCAAGGCTATATGATTATCATAGATTAGGTCTTTATTGAGTTGTAGCTCAATTTCCTTAACTTTGTGCATCGTAATTCTAGAAAGGTAAAAACCACCTAACCACCTAATACGATTGGAATCACATGGACAGCCCAGGCAATGGTTACCGCCAGGCATGAAACTAAAGGTAAGACAGGTTGGTACTTGAATGTTTAACGCATCATATTTTACGACTCTTGCTTGTCTTCATGGCACCACCACTTACTCGTAATGTGCCTTGACGAAGTGGTTAGCCAGATGACTGGCACGTCAAGGATGCACTTAGAAGATAGCAGCTCACAGCTTTAGTTAAATTGTGTGCCAAACACAAAAAAAGAACTAGAAAACCAAATGAGTTAACGAAAGGTAGCACAGCTGTCTTCTTTGTGCAGTGATACAAGTATGTCGTTAACTGACCAATCCTATCAAAAGATTTTTTTTTCAATCTTACCGAAATATTTCTTTTTGTATCATAATAAAAGGAAATGAAAACTAGAGCTAGGAACCATTCAGCTTGACAATTAAATCTGTATGTACGCACTTCACATGGACTCTGAGGTTGGTTAGATTCTCAACATCGTTATGTTCATTACCTCAACATTCATGGCATTTGGTGAGGATACATGTAAAAGATTTCCACAATCCACAGAACAAAACGACATATGCAACTAAACCAAAACCCAATGTTAATCTAGTATAATCTTCAACATATCCAAACGGTTGGTATCAAGAAAAAAGAATCTATAGAAATGAAAAGAATTTTGTACCTCTTTCTCAGTAATACCAAGGTGATTCAGCAGCATTTTCACACCGTTGCCCTTTGATGTTCCAGCAGGTACAATCTCGAGCATATCAGGTTGAGCCTGGACAACCTCTGCTCGTCCCATTATTGCCTCTGCCCAATATGGTCGCAGAGTCGTCGAAACCCCCTCAGCAGTATCAAAGAAAAGTAGTTTCTGGAAGTACCAAGACATCCATGCAAATTATCAGTCATCTGCTTTCTTATGATCTCAACTTCAACCCTAGTATAACAAGGATGATGTAGTGCTAAAACTTCACAAATGAACCCCAATGAGAAAATTCAACTTCTGCTCTCTCAATTTAAAACTTTGCCATGAATCTGACAAACATCGGCTAATGCAAAGAGGAAGAGTTGCAAGTAAAATTGTTGGTCTCTGACTCGTATGGCACAAAGAATTGCACCAAAAGAAAAAGAAACAAGAAACAAGAGAGCTCTAGACCAATCAACTGGACTCCAGGACATAAATCAATTATACAGTTTGGAGCACACAATAGATGCTTCAATAGAAAACACATTTTAGACAAAAATGTGCAGCAACTTACCTGCACTTCAGCAGCCGCAAGAAGGTGTTCAACCGAAGACATTATCTCTGCCTGTGGCAAAAGAATTAGCATAACTACATAAAATTTTAGATAAAAAGGAATGCAAGGTAAGAGTTGTGCTGCTACCACCTTTGGCTCATGATATACAGTGTGGAGGGAATCAACCAAAGGATGATCAAATAATGTGAAACACTGATCCTGGGAAAATGCTATCAGAGGAACTTCATGCTCCAGAGAATATAAAAGTGCCTGTCAGTAGTAAACAAAAATAACCAACATGCCAGATTACAAAGTTCAAGTGAATTATTGGTTTCTATTCTGAATTATAAATTAATAAATTTTCAGTTGCAATCATAAATGATACTGTATGTAATATGCTTCAATTTATTAAATTTTGATATGGTGGTGAACCAACAGGATCTGAACAGAAAACACATACAAGCATCAAAGTTTTGGAGAAGCAGAAGAAACTTTTGTTTTACTTCTGTTCTCATGATAAAAATACTTGATTACTTTTGTGATGAAGGTACAAGTGCACTGCAGTTAACAAATTTTTCAAGAAACAATCAGCTCAGAAATGAACACGAGAATGGATAGCTCATTACCTCCCTACAGACATCTTGGTCTAAGTTACTTCTACAAATTTCTCTACCCTGTCTCCCATAAACAAGCAATCCCTGAAATACAATTTAGAGTAAATCAGATGGAAAAAACTCGTAGTCAATATGGTAAAATTGAAAATAAGATTTTTTTAAATCATTATAGGGACATTTCACGATCTTACATACAGAATAAAGTCAGAAATTTTCATCATAATGTTTGCACTATTGATGTTTACAACCTCCTTCATCGATAATTATATTTCACTTCCCATGGTCTCCAACATTCATTTTGCTCTGTTTGTTAATATATCATAAAGATTTACCTAATCCTTGAATTAAATAAATCTAAGCAACAGCTTGATAAAACTATTCTCAAGTTAATAGTATTAATACCTTTTATTTGTCAGTTCATTACAAAATCCACCTGTTATCAGTTAAATATAAAGATGCCTTATATTGTCAATTAGCTACACAAAAATACTTTATATCAGTAGTTAATTACAAAAACCACATTTTATTATTAGTTAACTATAGAAAAGCTTTTCTGCATTCGTGGATAGCTGAACACAAATGGGAACATGCTTTAGTACCAAGATATAGTGACTGGTGGGCTTCCCTGTAAATATGGGTAAAGCAGTATGAGAGGAGGGAGAAAAGGATGGGTATAGATTAAAGGTAAATAAGAGGGTGGGTTAGGACAATGTAAAGTGTAATTTTACTTAAGATGAGGAGGCTTTTTACAATTATAAGCATTCAATATATTTTCAATCAATAGATTGAAAAAATCCCACAGGAACAGAATGTATATTTTCAATGCATAAGCGAAAACATAAGGTGCGTAATGAAATTTTCTTAAATAAAATTGGACAACCAAAATATTCTTGATACCTAAACCACAACAAGATTTGTATCTTAGAACAATATATGTAGGAGACTGATAGGGAATACTCTAGCGACTAAACCAACTCAACAACTGGCCACCACCAAGACGCCGATGTGGAGGGTAAGGGCCAAGTCACCTCCCCACTCGACCACAATGTGGAGGAGATAACGGCCTATCGGTCCCAGTGGACAACAATCCACGGGAGGCCGTTCGGGCTGATCTTATCGACCGCCAGGAACAATGGTCCCCGGGTGGCCGTTCAGACCTGTTCCCCCTCGGTCAGCCTCCATGGACGACAGCTCACAAATGGCTGTTTGGGCCTATTGCCCACATGGACAAAACGTCACGAGGAGGGCGTTATGACGGTTATAGATAGTCCCCTTTGCCGCCCAAGTATAAAACCCGACCTCCGGCGCCTGCCCAGGGGTCGGACCTCTCTCCAAAACCCTTTGCCTTCTACACAACCCCAAAAGAGCTAACTTGAGCGTCGGAGGGGTCGGGTCAGGAAACTCCCCCCGACACTGACCTTTGTGCAGGAACCCACTGTGGAGATCGAAATCCACCTCGGCCCGACCTTGGGTCTACCTCGAATATTCAAAAACGACCTTGAAGACCACCTCGAAGCCACCTCGGTGCTGCGTCAACCACCGCTCGAGGTTGCCATGAGGGATCCTTGGACGACCTCGCGCCATTGGGACAAGATCAAGCTGTGCCGACTCACGATCGACGGTACTCATGCAACAACAGAGACTAACAATTGCTATCACTTAAATTGTTACTCCATATCCAAGTACATCTGAATTTCAGACCATGTAAATTCTCTACAGGAATTGAAAATATTAAATTATCTTTGCCAACTTAATAGCCATGTAAACTGTACATGCTTCCATAAATTAATTTTTGAATCTATGAGAGAAACATGTTGACTTAAGGCAAGTCATTTTGTTTCTAGTGTATACATGACCAGCAGCATGATGGCGATGCATTCATATTTCATACTTACCACCATCAATGACAATCCTGATAAAATGTTTTACATTTACTTTCCAAGAGAAGCTTCTGAGTTTCTCCCAAGAATCAAGAATATGAAAGCAAAAAGTTGGTGAAATACATAGAGTTATTTTTGCACAGGATATTGCTTTGATTTTGATCTTACATAGGCACTTCCAGATATTAGATCAACCAAGAAATTTGAGCATGTATTAAAACATAAATGTGCATGTGAATTAAGATTTCTTCAAAACAGGTTCGCCAGTGTCTGTCTAATGAGCAACAAAGTCAGGTTGAAGTCAAATAAATAAACCTGCAAGAATATCCCAGGTGAAAACTCAGAAATAACACCATTTTTCCCAGCCAAATCAACCATCTTCAGAGCACTTATGACGGCAGGGCGGGTCTGTTTCAGAATATAGATATGGAAATCAAATCAGCATAAATCTACTAATGTCTTGAACAACATTACTCAGTACTAACAGGTCCAAAATGGAATGTTTAACAGGAAACAACAGTAACAACTTACCATCTTAAGTGACCTCTTATGTTATGTACAAGATATTATCGGAATTACCTAATTCTAGGTAACAATTGTAGCAGAAACAGAGAACCAAAAAGGGAAAGACATTAATGTCTCTCACCTTTCCAGTAGCAATAATTATGTTCACTCCTCTTGATACTGCTGCTTTTATAGCGTCAGCATTTGTTACACTAATCTGACTTTTACTGTTTAAAAGTGTACCTTATCACAAAGCAACTGTTAGAATATTCACAATTAAGAAAATACCAAATGATAAATTGAACGTGAGGAACAGAAACTCACCATCCATATCACAAAAAATATAGCTGAACTTGGGTTTATAAAACCGCAGGCTGCCTGCATCCTTTGAATCTTTTATCTCTATTCCTGTTAAGAAATTGAAACTGCAACATTGTCTGACAGTGTCTTTCATTTAAAAGTAGATTCTACAAAGGGAAGAAAAGAGGAGAGGATCCAAGGAAACTATACCATCTAAATCTTCTTTCTGAAGGCTTCCATTTTCTGTAGTATCCAATGCACTCTTTATTAGACCTTTTCCTTTCCATCCAAGACTCTTCAAGACTAGTTCCTCCTCCTTTTCCATTTCTGTTTCAGCCTCATCACTAATCTCATGATCAAACCCAAGAAGATGCAGCAAACCATGAACCTAGATGAAGATTAGGTAGATATCCATTACAATATATGGATTAAATTTATGAATTTAGAAGAAAATAATGATCATGATTGATAAGATAGCTGAATAGGTATCCCACCATGAGAATTCGTATTTCATCAAGCAGGGTGTGACCTCTCTCCTCTGCTTGTCTAGCAGCGGTCTCAACAGAGATTACTATATCACCTAGCATTAGCTGCATGAGAAAATAAACAGATAAAAATTTAATGAAATTAGAAAATGACAAGACTTCAAAACAAACATTGTTTTTACCACAGGTAAATCAAGTGCAGCTATATGCTGTGATATTGAGAGAACATCTGTAGCTTTGTCCTCGCCTCTCCAATCTTTATTTAGCCTTCGGATAAAATCATCATTGCAAAGCAATATAGATAGCTCAACCTTATCAAATTTACCAACATCATCTATAGAGGTATCCCTGGTCTTGTACTCTGAATCTTTTAGACCATCAAATGCTATTTTCATTGCCATGGGAACATTTAGCTTTAACATTTCGACAATGTTCTGCAAAAAATATCAGGGCAGAAAAGATTACTCTGAAAGGGAACAATGAAAATTGACTATTTTATCTTTGATTACCGAGTCAAAATGATCGCCTAGCAAACAAAGGCAAAGCAAAAAACACTGAAATGTTTTCATGAAGAATTCTCCATTTTCCTTCCAGATAAAAGGGAAATATCCAAAAATTTAACAGTATCAAACTCCTCAATTTAGAGACAATAGTCAGTTTTTCAGTTTCCATGAATAACATACAAAGGTCAGTTTACCTTTTGGAAGTTGGAACAAGGTAGATGCCTACAGACCAAGATATGAGCAAGTTCATTTGATAATGGCTGGGTCAAATTAAAAACAATCATAACCGCTAAACCTTTTTAAGGATGATACTGGCAGCAGATATCTCATATCACATCGTACAAAAGCATCTCATACATGGACTAGAGAAAAAAAAATCCAATTAGCAATTCGTACGATGTCTTATTTAAGAATTAAGATATCTTGACTTTGTGTTCTCTGGTAAAACCACAGTTAAAACTAAGCAGAAAAAATACCTCTCTGAAAGAATTAATCATCAAGCAATGATACCAAAATTAATCAATGAAGTCATACTACTAACAACACAAAAATGTCATCAAAGGATCGATAGAACATCATCTTCTAACTAGGTGGATCACATAACTGCAAATCTTCTAGAGTGGCATTCACCATTAGTTAGGTAAATATCGCACTTGAAAATCTTATGACATGATCAACGTTACCCAAGTTCCTATAAGAGAGACTTATCAACTTAATGATTATATGCATAAGCATTGGAGATACGATAGGTCTAGACGACACGTTTCACATCTGTTGCAGATTCTCCTTATAATAGGATTTTATTAGATGCAAGTGGAAAAGAATATTCATTCTTTCTTATTCAGTGCATCAGATCATGGATCCAGTCTAGGGAGAGTAATATTTATTTATAATTCTGGTTCAATCAGATACCTGTAAATGAAAAAAAAATCCAAATGGTCTTCTCAACGATCCATTACATGATCCAAAACTATATATCTCCTATTGTTAATAAGAATATTGTGCATTTCCTCAAAATTGTGCAAATAAATGCCACATGGAAAAGCCATAATCAAGACAATAAAGATGCATATCTATGGTATCTAGCATTGTCTCTAGAGTTCAAAAGGAACATTTTGATTCATCCAATAACATTGACAAAGGTTCACGTACTGTCTGAACACCACTAAACACGATAATTCGAAATGTTTGCCATGCCCATACTGGATACATGCAGGATATATATACTCCTCAGATACTTCTCAAACGCCTGATGGCTATCATGCATTTGTTCTCATGAATGTTGATCTTTTGATAGACGACAAAATAAACCTAAAATTATTAAGTTATCATCACAAATTGACCATCAATCATAGCACCTACTAAATTAACCATCAATTAAAAAATCTAATTTATTAACCATCAGCCATAATTTCCAGGACGTAATATGTTTATATACAAGTTTATAGGATGGGAATATAATATGCCTACCAACACTTCGGGATCCTTGGGCATTTCTTCTTCAAGACCAATCTTCACATCTAGCTGCAGCTGCTTGTCCTTGGGCGCCTCCTTCTTCGACGCCGCCTGCTTGCGCCTCGCCTTCCGAAAACCCCTGAGGTTCGCGAAGAACCCACCGAACGGCACGGTCGAGCGTAAATGCCCACAGGAGACGTGGAAGGATCTCCCAATAGGAACACCGGAGATGCCCGGGGGTAGAAACGAGGCCGCAGGGGCAGACGAGGAGGCCGGATCACCCGGCAACCGCCACCAGAGCACAGCGGCGACCCGAGGGGAAAAAGTGAGCGGGAGAGAAGATCTGGTGGTGATGGGGAAGGCTCGGGCGGCGATCCTCGCCATGGCGTGGGAGGCGGGGGCGACGGCGGGGGAGGGCCACATGGTGAGGGGGACTCGCGCCCATCTCACAGTCAGTTCACACATATCTTAAATGTCAACAGCATCCTTTTGGGCCGCGAGAAAGAAGCCTCGGCCTACATCAGATAATATTGGGCTTCTAAGCCCAACTCAAAATCTAAGCGATTCAAGTTCAGTAGAGTCGATCGTACCATATTATTATTATTATTATTATTATTTATGGATAGTGAGATTCAATTTTCAATATTGGTGATCAGATTTAGGATTCATGAAATACAAAAGAACTAATTTGAGATTAAGCATACCACATATATTATTATTATTATTATTATTATATATTGAAGTTACAAAATTGGTGAAAAAGACTTGGGATTCACCACACAAAAAAAAGAACTTATTTGAGATCAACAAAAGCCTTATACAGAGAATGTGTATAATGATTTGTGCACGATTTAAGTAAGAAAAGCTTGCTTTATTGAAAGGAAACTTGTTGGAAGACCAACAACAGCAATAGAATAATGGACTTTCATGACTGTGATGAAACTTTATTAAAGATAAGAAGCTTTAACTTAAATACATTAACATATTCTTCTCTTATTTATATAGATTAAGAGGAAGGATTTTCCTCAACAGAATGAAGAATTTTCTTTCAACAGAATAGAGAGATTTTCTAATATAGTTGGAAAAATCTTATCTTCTATCGTTGTTCTTATTTTCTATTATTTTCATCACACTATACATAGGCGTTTGTCTCTACTTTTGATTTACAAAAACTCAATCATAGTGTGTTCTCTCTTACTATCATGAACAATTAACAACAGCAATGGAACAATGAACTTTCATGACTGTGACGAAGCCAAAACATCCGGACACAAGAACTTCGTCATCTCCGATAGAACATGTCAGCATTTGGTCCTCGATCATTTTACTTGATGGAGTGTTGAAGCCTTCAAATCCTCATCGGGATCATAGCCTTCAAGATCAGTCTCCCGTAAGAAAGTATGCTGTGCTTGGAGTGACTGCAGGGAGTTCCAACTTGCGCCTGCTGTATTCTTGGACAGCCTGAAAATATTAGTCCATAGGCATCTCAGTTATTACAAAAGAAAAAAGAAAGAGAGGGAGCAAATCCAACTTGTAAAGATGCAGAAAAAGCTTAACATCACAAGATACACCATAAATATTTTCATGCAGTGCAAGTTAAAGGCTACATTCCATACCCTCCATTGTGATGGAGCCAATCGGACACGGGGCCTTCTCGATCGCACATGTTCCAGAGCAGCTTCTGGTGTCATCTTCTTATGTTCCACCTGAAATTTTAGCATAATTATGTATGCAGATCAACTTCCTCCCACCAGTGGAATTGCGCCTCGACCTTGTTCCTAATAAGGTTGTGGACAATGGTCGGATAGAAGAGAATCCGAGCTCCTACCCCAACCAACGCATTCTTGGCTTGAGCGATCTAGCCATCGACATAATCTTTGGACTCCCCATCCCTCTCGGCCACAATGGGTATCCATTCCCGATTCCTTGGTTCGGAGACAAGAACGAGGAGCGGCAGAGGGCAGCGGAGAATTGCACTGACGGTAAGAGTGCAGGAGTGGGGCGACATTTACAGTGATCGGATTCCGAATCCGAGTCGGAAGAGGAGTCGCTCGATTCCGACCAGGATTCGGATTCGAAGCACGATCGATCTTATTGTCCGGTTGATCAAACAGGAGTCACTCAATTGAGCAACGGGAGATAGACAAAAGGGACTGTAGTGAAAGATGATACTCGGTTGAGCAACAAGAAAAGACAGACGAGATCAATCTTATTGTCCGGTCACACAACGAGAAAAGACAGACGGGGAGGGCTTGGATGGGTGTGGGCGACAGTCGAGTAGGGCGATAAGGGAGAGAGGAGGTCACATATATCTTAAACGTCAATCGGCATGCGGACTCTCGTGGGAGGATGAACGTCGTCGATCGATATGTAAGCCTTTTGTGGTAGGATGAATGTGGTCGATCATGTACTTAGCAAGGCTTTTTATTATTGACATAACATGATATGATTAATATAGGGTGAGGAGATGTAGTTGAGTCGAGAAAGAATGGCGACAAGGACACAAATGCTCAAACATTCAAAGAATTATATGTTGCGGTCTCAGTGGGTTTCCTCAAGATATGAGATACAATCTTTTGTTTAAGATCCATAGTTTCTTGGTGTAAGATCGAATGCTGCTTCTATGTTTATCAAGCAGAATATTTAGCTAGATCTTCAGTAGCATCCATCTTCCACCTACCCCTGTCCTCGAAGAACGTCTTTACACCACCTTTCTACCTAATCTTCCACCATGGCATGCCGTAGTCGTCATCTACAGTTGCATGACGAAGTTGAACTCTCCTCGCATATTGGAAATCATATTTCTGTAGCAGCAGCAACTACAACAACAACAACAACAACTGTATTTAGTTCACCAGACTGCGTGTTCTCAACCTGCAAACCATCCCCAGACTTCTGCAGATCTATCTACATCGATGGCATCTAAGCGACTCTTCTCCGTACGTGCTGATATTTGTTGCTGCACCACTCGTTTCTGCAATGAATCAGCTACATACAGACTGCAGAAACCACGATCACCAGTTCTGCAGTGTTTTCGAGTGGGTTGCTAGGGTTTTGATTCAGGTTAATTTGCTGACGCACATTGTGGATTCTGTTCTTTTGTTTGCTGCATGCAGCAATGACTGAGAGAAGAAAAGGATTTGGTAGCATAGGTTTTCGTCGAGCGACAACGATGAAGTGTGTGCTTGTCACGGACCAGCGTCAGAGGACGCCTGCTTTGTCTCGTCTTTGCATTCGTTTCTGAGGGTCTCAGGGTGTCTGCTTCGACCACATCATCCATGGGGACGTAAGCATGTGTTCATGCACTCCATGAATTCCAACACGTAAAAGCTTTCTCTTACGTGCATACTGTGTTCATCGTTCTCTTTTTATCAGGAGCAGATGATAATTATTTGTTGGGGAGGGAATACTTCCAAACAAAAAAAGAAAAACAAAGAGATCAATAATAAAGAAAAAAAACATATCAAAAATATAATTGATAGACGTATATAATGTGTTTTTCTTATATGCCCTACTCGTTATTTTCTTTCCTTATCCTCCAAATATGAAGAACAATATTCTTCCTTTATTTACGCACAGATACTGAAGATGATTAACTCCTTTAATCCTTCAGCAATTCCAATATCCATCCAAACTGCGCTGCCTCCTCCTCCTCCGTCAACTGATACTCGCTCGAACCCGACGCCTCATCCGCTGTCTCCTCCGACACGTTCGCCGGTGTCCAGAAGGATGCTAGCAACCCGGGCCCCGTCCGCGTCCACATGGGCAGCCCCGCCGTGCTCAGCTGCATGTTCGCCAGCTTCGCCGCCACCTCGTCCTCCACCACCCGCGACACCGGCGTCGACATGGACGCCGGTGCCATCGTGGCCGGGGACGCTCCCAGTGGCAGAATGATACGGAGCTGCTCGGGGCAGTGGGCGAAGAAGCAGACGCGGCGTCGGCAGGCGGTGCCGTCCTTGCAGATCCGGGTCCGGTAGCGTGCCGGGTGGAGCCAGGTCTCGAAAATGCCGTGCGAGAGCTGGCAGGCGTCCCCGCAGCGGCACTCCTCGGTTTGGCGGAAGTCTGGGCATGGTATGCAGGAATAGTGGAAGCGCCGGGGATCGCGCCGCCGCGCTTTCTCGCCGGGATGCAGGAACGGGCACTCGGTCCAGTCATGCGACCGCCCGCGGGGGCACGGCCGCACCTTGAACACGTACATGCGGAACTCGTCGGAGGTGTACGAGTCGGTCGCCGTGGACACGTCGTCGTTGAAGGGCAGGAAGCGCTGCAGGGCTGCAAACCGCGCCTCGCCGGCGAGGCTCGGGGGCAGGTAGCTGGAAGGGCCGGTGTACAGCTGCGTAGCGGTCGTAGGATCCTCGTACACGGACCGGGTGGGGGGACCCCGGTCGCTTCCCTCGCCGGGCTCCATTGGAGGCTTTCTTGTTGTTGCTGCTGCTTTAGCTCGTACAAGGCAGCATCAGAACTGGCTGAGGAACGAAGTCCAGGTGGAATTGGTCGATAATAAATGGAAGCGGAGGCGTTCATTTATAAGTAATACCGAAGCAGAGGGCGGGGTTTGGGTTCATCGAACGAAACAATGAAGGGTCAGGGGATACGCACGCTGCTTTGATGTCGAAGCCGGTGGGTGGAGAAGACGACGACATGCAGTGAATCAAGAACGATCCGAGGGACGAATCTCCCACCCCCTTACGTAGTTACATTAATTAGCATTTGCAACATTAATAATGTAGCAAATATCCATAACATTTGATGGCATTGGCAAAATAATTCACATATAATGGAGCTCAACAAATTAAGATTTAATGCTCCAAAGCACACATCACGCCCACTAGTTTGGAATTGACCGACTGATGTTGAAGGTCGAAAACCTGAGAGGCACACAGCAAATTAAAATGTGGACGCTTTGTTCTTTAATATGCACTCCATCACTATATTTATCAATAAGATCGATTGTCGGACGACACGTGTCCACGCATTTACGACGTAGATTTTTGAGGACTTATTGGTAAATTAATGTATGGTGAGGGGTACACATGCGAGTGGCTATTCCGGAACGATCTCTGCCGTTCATAGGGCCGTCTGTTTGATTGACCCGCAAACCCGTCGTCTCGACATCATACGCACGATCTAGGAGAAACTCATCCGCGTGATCTTAATTTAACGGTCCACGATCCATGTGTAGGAAGCACCATAGAAAGTATACCGCGACCATCGACGCGAAGAAGCCATTTGACAAAAATACCCATAATTATCCTCCCATACAACGAAGAAATTTCGTAGTAAGACTAAAATTCGGTGACTATTTCCGTACTTTTATCTCCCGAAACAGCCTCTATTTATGTTCGCCAAAACCGCCTCTCTCGCCTCCATCTCCCTCGCGAGCGCGGCGCTCGCCGTATGCTTCGAGGTATTTCGCCTCCGAGTCTAGAGTTTATTGGAGCTATTTGGTCTTGCAGTGAGAGAGGCAAGGAAGGTGGGAACACCACTATCCTGGTGGACCTTCCGGCTGTATGGAGGCGTCGATGGTGCCGGAGGAAGTGAAGATGCTGATGACTCTGGTATGTAACGGAATGGTGCAGGCCATGGGAACTGGGGAATGACAACTGGTGAGACTATTGATTTTGTATATTTAGTTTTGAAAGATGTGTTTGTTCTTGTCATCATATTTCACCCTAATTGCGAAGCAATTTGTTGGATAGGTGACAAGAGGGGATTGATCTGATGATAAAGTCTGTTGCAACTGCGAAACAGGCGGATGGAGATGAAGTGCCATATTCTGAGGAGAACAAAGATAGCGAGGATGGTGTTTGGTGAACTCGACGCAGAGAAGACGATTTGGTGAGTACTTCTGTACAAAAACCTGTTGACGCCAAGAACATGTGTTTCTTCATAACAGTGTTGGGTGAATTAAAGTAAAGATTCACTAAAGAATGTCAGAAATATAGCTTATTGATCAATTAATAGTGTAACATGTTTACTGCAATTTGGCAAATCTCACCACCTTTCATTTCAGTTGGTTGTGCTGCAAGCGCTTGTGGCAAGGACCTCTGTGGAGATCTTTTACCTGTGGCATGCACACACATAGGTGTGCATGCGTATTTGGAGTTTGGATTTACTGGTATTTGGAGTCAGTTTATCTAATGTTGTTTGGATGGGTGGTCTTGTATGTTATAGAAAGAAAGAGGAAAAGCTTATTCAAATGTGTGATCCAACTTGTCCAAAATCCATTACAGCAACAGATTTCACATGCTCTTTCTTGCATTTATGAGATCCAGGGGATAAACGATGATTATGTTTTGAAATGAATCCATTGTTGTTTTTCTTTTTGGTTGATTTCTAGTTAATGTTTCTGTTCATTTTCTTTCTGTTGAATATGCTTTTGATCTCTGCTTAGTGTGTTTCTGAAACTTGATCTATTCTGAATACTTCAGTTTGTTCGAGAACTTACAAAGTCTAAATTGTCTTACATCTTTTATCTTTTGAAAATCTATTACATATTCAACATAAGTGTGACAAGATGATGCTATTGGTTTAATCGCTTTGAGGATTTACAGACCATCAGCAACCTGTACATGATATCTGTGACTGGCTGATGTATAATTTAGTGGTCACCTTAATTGTTAGCTTGTTGCAACTTTTACGCATTCTAAGAGGGTAAGAGCTGAAAAGGTTCTACACTCGGTCCGAAATTAGGGTACTAAATACTGGAGTCTCATCTGAGTCTTCATCTTATTGAATACTAATTTCAGTGCTGCCTAGATAAATATTATGCCATTTTTATTTGCTAGTACAAAAGGACTTGCTGACAAACAATATCTTTCCGAGAGACAATTAGTTGTGTCCTAGACTTCAGGATGATACTTGGCAAATTTGGGTAGGAACTAAGGTTGAAATCTACTTTTTGGATAGAAATTCAATTATTCTTCATGATCATTGATGTTGGTACTAGGTTTAGTTATGACTACAAAAGAAGAGCATGTTCTCTAACCTAATGTAGGAAAACCCTCAGATGAGACTCTGAAGTGTGTTTAGTCCCTTGTAGGATAAACCTGCTACTGCTATAACATCAAGCTCGTAGATGATTTATGTGCTAATAGTTAGCATATAACTTGATTTCATGTTGACCTTTATGTTTTTTTGGCCTTCCATGATTTGTGGAAGCTTATAATGTGGAAAAAGAAGCAATGGCATATTGTAATTGCCATTTGAAACAATCATCACCTTCTTTACCATCTCTTTTCCTCTTCTTCTGCTCTTGGTTTAGCTGCGTGAGGCGTACTTGTTAGGGTCCTTTTATTTTCTGAGCTTTTGAATAATGTTTATTGAGTATGTTTAGTTCAGATAGAGTCGGATAGAGATTTATTTAATATTTATTTATTATTAAGAGTCCAAGTCCTGGTGAACTAGGTGAAACTCTATAAATAGTGATGTAATCGTTTCTTTTCGACGGACAATGAAATATTATTCAGTCTTTTGACAAAACCCTAGGAGGCCGATCCCCTCAAAGCGATCAAGAAGGTCGATCATCTCAAAGTGATCATTTCCTTTTCTCTCATTCTCCCATGATAAAACCCTAGAGTTTTATCAATAATCTACATTCAAATTTCTGTCAATCTGGAGGTTTCCTTGATATCTTGATAAAAATTTCAGCTGCTATCATATATACTCATGTATCTCGACTTAATTGAGTAGGAGATGACACTGGGGGAGCATGAGAAACTGAAGAGAAGAGAAAAGCCTTTATCACACTGAAGAATGAGGGGAGACAGGTTGAAATTGAAATTGTAGTCCATACGCCATGCTCTTTTGATCATTGAAAGTGAAAAAAGAAACAGTTGTTTTCATTAAGTTATCAAGCATTATGGCTTTTGCATTTTCTTTTATGAATCATATGTGCCTTTCTTTTATGACATACGAGTTTGATACAGCATAAACTTTGTAGGGTTCATACAAGGACACAAGAAGAGGGGGGGAAAAACTGCTGATCAGGATCGATGGAGCAATAAGGTATATGCAGTTACTGCTTATATGCTTTGATCATTGTAGCAGCATTCTCGTATGCTCTTTTTGAGCGATAAGAGTACTTCCTCGATGGTCCATGTGCACTACAAAGTTTCTTAAGCCGACAGTTCAGGTGGCTGTGGCCGTGGCAGGGGGTGAGGTGGTTCTAGACACAAAGGATTTAGTTTAACTTACACAGTTGCTACTGCAGTCTGTTGAGGATCCTGGACAGTTAGCCACACGAATGATCAAGTGCCACAAAATTGTGCCCATCTTTTACTATCCCGAGTTGTTGGAGTTATTACTGATGTTGATGTGTAGGTCTTACAGTAATTGTCACAATCTTCCCACTTGTATGGTTTTGTCATTCTTGGACTTTCTAATTATCCATCATCTTCCTCAGACGACCTCCATCATCCTTTGAATTAGATCAATAGTTGTTACCTGATCTTTTCCGTAATTTTCTGCAATGTGGACAATCTTGTAGCATTTCATCCGTCACTAAGAGATGCTAGAAATTCTCAGTTCTATTATAAGGTTTCCCCGTAGGATGTGGTATAATTAGGTAGATTTCTCTCTTTCCTGAGGCTGTGCATGCAGCACTAACTTTGGATCGCACAAGAGTCACCATATGTTTGTGGCCTCGTACGATGTGGTAAGGTTGGCAGAATTTATCGATAGGTTGATGTCATTTTGGTCTCAGGCTATCTCCATCAATTCTTCGATTGATATTGAAGAAGGATGGTGTGGATCTAGAAATAATATGTTTGTTCGTAGATTAATGTGCTACCATGTTTGTTCACCACATAACCTATCCATCCATCATCATATGGCAGGAGTCCCGTCTGCGGTCAGGTATCCGATCAAACACCTGGCGAGCATCCCCCACGGGAGAGCATCTCCGGCAGCTTATTCTTGGTCCTGAAGTCGGCATGGGAAAGGTGTATCACTTTTTGCTACATGGCATTGCTTCTCTGTTATGCCTATCATCTGCTTGGTGAATTGTCCCAGAGAAGTCCAAGATATATGGGTTTTAACTCTCCGTTTCCAAATTCTCATACGCAGTGTCACTTGACAGATCTTTTACTTCATCCACCCAACAGATCAAGCCATGTGGAAATGAGTTGAAGCACCCAAATCTCTGCTATTGCTCTGTTGGCCAAAGAGAAGCAAATAGCAAGGAATTCATTCTTCGAGCGGCGGAGACACGAATCTGCTGCTTTCGCAACATTTCAGGTGACATTGCAAGAAAAGCAAAGGAGAAGAACAAGTTCTTGCCCTCCTTCCAATCCTTCAGACCCTTGAACCTTGCAACTTACGCTGTGTGCAGGTATATCTCGCTTTGAGAAAGCACCTGTGAGGATTCGGCAGTGCACCACCATATCATCGATTAGATTTAGATTCTTTGTACGCACACGAGGCTGAGGTCCCGAATTCATTTTGGGCATCAAAGTCATCAAACATCATCACTGACTATTCTTCGACATGATTGACACCTGACTTTTGCAGGGCGAAGCACACTGCCGCTATTGGCTATCCACTCATGACTAGATATCGATGGAACAATCCGCACCAAAAAGATATGATGTGGTAAGGTTTTGATTAGCTTTATGCTTTTGGGTTAGATTCGGTAGCATGCAACGATTACGTCGATGTCCTCTCGGATACGGCGTCTGTGCCCAACACCTCCCCCTTAGCTGATGACAGTCCTCTCTAACTCATATCTTTATGTGTATTATTACTAAAACCTCTTAGCCTTTGTCTTGCCCACATGAGAACCTTGACAAGGCTCCTTATTCTATTCATGTCAAGCCAGCATGTAATGTCGATGTAAGCAGAAGAACATGCGCTGATAGTACACAGATTTCTTCATCTGTGTCCTACTAAATTGTGTCTTCTTCTTTGGGCTTAAATTGCCTAACATGCATTCCCTCACCGAAAAGCTTCCACCTGATCAGGTGTCAATGAAGACTTGGAAGCTTGCACCTCATGCAACTGAGCTGGATCCATTTTGTTCGACAACTCGAGTGTCAAACAATGCTGCCTCTCACATGGTTGTTCATAATGATCCATGTGAGGATGCCATTACCAACACATAGCATCTTCCTTTCTCTCTTTCTTCTGTCTCACACCTCTCCTTTCTGCTTTCCAGCTACCATCAGAAGGCACAAGGAAAACACAAGTGAAGGATTGGAAACAGAGGGGTCCCCCTGTCCTCTCCATGTTTCTTTCTTTAATGCAGTGGGACACAACCGGGCATCCCTCTCTGCCAACATCTCTCTTCCAAGCTTAGCATGACAGGTGTGATGGGTAAAGCAGCAAAGTCACCAACACGTCTCCAAAGGCTACAGGCTTTGAGCTGCTTTGTCTACTTTTATCTTCTTCCCCCTCCGGCTTTCTTTTTTTTCCCTTTTTACTGTGAGAAGTTGGGAGGTAAGCATAGTATGCAGCTCTGCTTGTCGTAACAATTGAAGCATCATTTCAGCAGAGGAATGAAAGCAAGCACAGATGACATGAGGTAGTAGTAGTAGCTGGCCATCATTTGCAGCGACTCTGTTGGCATTATGTATCAGAGGCCAAAGAAGAATTGGCAAGTGATTCAGTGTTTCAGTGAGTACATTGGTCAAAATAAGGCCGGGGAAGTAGTGTCACATGATTCCAGCGGAGGGCACCTACATGCTTTGTCCCTACTTCACTTAGTAGAGCGAGGATGAACAGGACTTGGAACAGTGGTGAGATCTATCTGCAGGTTTTTACAGTGAGGTTGACAATTTTTACACCAATAGACTTGCAAGTTCATAGAAACCTTGGAGTTCCTACATACTCTAATCACAGAGAGTTGGTAAAGGATATTGATGTCATTTAGAACAGTCAGAAGTTAGACTGATGGAGATCAAGCATAATGATACATGCATGTAGAAAAGTCTCATTTCCAGGGATGCATATAAAATCTTGAAGTTAAGAGGAACAAATACCACAAAAATCATTTCTTGAAGAGAGTAGAAACAGTAATGTCAACTCTATACGTTCTTTTAGAGTTTCGAGATGGTGAAATGTATTAAAAACTATTTTATTTTTATTTTTAAATCGAATGATCGATCATCAAGTGAAATGAATAAAAGATAAGGAGAGAGAAAACAATATTCAACACATGTCTTGAAACAAATGATACGAGAATCCTAAAATCGAGTCGAGCGGGTCGGGTGGAGCACGAACCGGAACCAAGAAATGGCGACGGTCCGGTTCACAAGAAATTACGAGAAGTGCCAGAGAGTCGCGGATAAGAATGAAGAATGGGGCAAAGATATCAGGAATGGCAATGAGTGTTCGATGGCCGCTAGGCGGCAGGCATCATTTAACCGGACGTCGAACGCAATACGGTGGAAGCTCGGTCACTCCCACGAACACGCGGAGACGGAGGAGCTCACGGCGTCACCGTTCCTTCTTCCGCAAATACCGCAAGCATATACGGGGAACACGAGAAGGGATATTTTGGTCATAAAGGCATTTATTCCGGTCCACCGCACCCGAACACCCAACCACCGTCCGCTTCTTATTATTAGCCTCCGCACACCCCTTCTCGTTTCCTTCTTTAATATGCTACGGCCTCGTAGTTCTCTCACTACTCCCCACTGAGCTCAGCCCTCTCTCTGTCTCTCTGTCTCCGCTTCGATGGCGGTCACCGCGTCTCACCCGTTGCTTCTTCTTCTCCTCCTCTCTCTCCGCCTCCTCGCCGTGGCAAATGGCGCTTCGAAGCCACTAGCGTACCAAACCCTCGTTGTCACCCCCCTCGCGAGCTCCAAACCCCTCCTCTCGGAGGACGCCGACGACGGCGACGAAAACCTCGCCTCGGCAGTGGAATCTGAGACGACTCTCTCCTCTTCCCCTTCCTCTTCTCTCCATGTCCACCTTTCCCACCGTGACTCCCTCCTGGCTGACACCACCGCCGCGGAGCAGATCTTTCTTCTCCGCCTCGACCGTGACGCTGCTCGAGTCGAGACACTCTCTCAGATCCTCGCAGTGGCGACGGCGCCGCCGGCTGCGAACGTGACCAGCCGACGGGGGTTCAGTAGTAAGGTGGTGTCCGGCCTTGCCCAGGGCAGCGGCGAGTACTTCGCTCGGATTGGGATTGGCACGCCCGCGAGGTACGCCTACATGGTGCTCGACACCGGTAGCGATGTCGTCTGGCTCCAGTGCGCTCCCTGCCGCCGCTGCTACTCCCAGTCCGACCCCATCTTTGACCCCCGCAGTTCCCGCTCTTACGCTGCCATCCCCTGCGGTGCCCCGCTTTGTCGCCGCCTCGATGTCGCGGGGTGCGACACCCGCCGCCGTAGCTGCCTCTACCAGGTCTCCTACGGCGACGGATCCATCACAACCGGCGAGTTCTCCACCGAGACCCTCACTTTTCGAAGAAGTGCCCGAGTGCCGCGCATCGCCCTCGGGTGCGGCCACGACAACGAGGGTCTCTTCGTCGCCGCCGCGGGTCTCCTCGGTCTCGGGCGGGGAAGCCTCTCCTTCCCGTCTCAGGCCGGCCGACGGTTCGGCCGCATGTTCTCGTACTGCCTGGTGGACCGTACCTCCGCCGGCGCGCCGAACCGGTCATCTTCGGTGGTGTTCGGCGGCTCAGCGGTGCCCAGGTCCTCCGCGCGGGTCGCGTACACGCCCATGGTGCGGAACCCCAAGGTCGACACTTTCTATTACGTCGAACTCATGGGGGTGAGCGTGGGCGGGACGCGAGTGACCGGAGTCTTGGCGTCCGACCTCCGGCTGGATCCGACGACGGGGAGGGGAGGGGTGATCGTGGACTCGGGCACATCAGTGACGCGGCTGGCGCGGCCGGCATACCAGGCTCTGCGCGACGCCTTCAAGGCGGGGGTTTCGGGCCTGAAGCTGGCGCCGGGAGGCTTCTCCCTCTTCGACACATGCTACGACCTGTCCGGGCGGACGGAGGTGAAGGTGCCGACGGTGGTGTTGCACCTCGCCGGCGGTGCGGCAGTGTCGCTGCCGGCGGAGAACTACCTCATCCCGGTGGACACCAAGGGCACCTTCTGCTTCGCCTTCGCCGGGACCGACAGCGGCGTTTCCATCATCGGCAACATACAGCAGCAAGGGTTCCGGGTGGTGTTCGACGCGGAGAAGTCGAGGGTGGGGTTCATGCCGCGCGGGTGTTAGCAGCGGCAGGGAGCATGGCGTCTCCGTTCGGTGGCCCTCGAGGAAATGAGACCGGCGCACTGTAGCGGCAAGAGAGAGAAACCGGCAAAAATCATGCTTTCTTTTTCCCCCTTTTTTACTGTGTCAAAACACCGTCTTCCTTGGACTAATGTAGTGAGAGTGACATGAACAAAATGGTTGATTAATGACCAAACCAGCACCTGAGTACGCGCTTGCTTTTTAGAAGCCTTGTTCTTCCATTGCTGCTACGAGTACAATAAATAGCCCGGAGATGTCCATCAACGTCTGCAACGAAGAAGACTGCCGAATATATTATTATTCTTCAGAAAAGGTAAAGACGTGCTTCGGAAGCCGGAAAAAAGAGAGACAGAGAGAGACGCGAAAGAGGACGAAACGGGTGGGAGAGAAGAGCGGCAGAGAGGCGGCACATGGGAACCCGGGATTGACTCCGGCTGTCGTCGCCTGCCTGCCAGCCTCCACTGCGCTCGCTCGTGGCTCGGGCGGCGTGTCATCCACATAGCCGTTGCGACCACATGCATAGGAAGAGCGGTGGTGTCTACGCGCATCGGTCTTGCACGTGCTTTCCGCCAGCGCTGTACTCTACCTCGAAACAATGAAAGCATACGCATTTAGGACACAGGCTTTGCAACCAAAGCAGAACACATTTAATTGATGGTAATGCCCGGTTACTAATGACAGACGCTAAGCTTGGGGATCAAAGTGAACACGTTACTCGCACGAACGAACGAACGAACGATTCCTGGGTAAGAACAGAGACACATCGGCCCTCGGCCATGTCACTGAGCTGCTGCTTCTCCAACCGGTATCAGCTTCGGCAACGCCGTGCTACGGTCCGCATCCACCTGGAAGAATGGCAGGCTCCCTGGGTCTTTCTCCTCCAAGATGAGCTTTACTGGGGTTTCTGCTGGGTAACTGTTCAATATGAACTCGATTTGATCTCCACTTATTTCCTTGTTATCCAGGAGAACCTGCATGGTTGACACCATTGAGCGAGCTATGCAATGCACTAAAATGACGATGAATAAGAAGACCCGACGGCTGAAGCCAACCATTGATATACCTTCACTGACTTCGCAAGGGCCGCGACGTGTGTTTTCAACAAGGACACGGTTTTCTCGTACATGTCACGCAGCAGCTCTTCGGTTCTCCGGGCGACAGCATCATCGAGATCGAAGTTGATCGAAGGTTCTACAAGCCCGTAGTGATCATAAAGTTCTTTTTCGAAATCCAGCTTCGGGCCTATAAACTTTGGCTTCTTTTTCCAAGGAAAGGACTCTCCGTGAATGGTCATAGGATTCTCCAAGTTCCAACTGTTACGCAATCACAAGAAAGATTAAAGGGGAACATCATCGATATGTGAAAAGTTGAGGTTCTTTACATGGTTAGCATTTTGCGAGCCAGGCATGTGGCATCTTGAAGATACTTCAAGGATGCTTTTGAGGTGTCTCGTCCATATATAACCTCTTCGGCAGCTCTCCCTCCCAAGAACACCTTTATGAATGAAACATACAAACAAAAGAGTCCAAGAAAATTTGGAAGGTCTATCGAACAATAGTATTTCCACAAACATACCTGAAGACGATGCAGTAACTGGGGTCGTCTTTCAAACATGTATGACTCTTCATCGAGGTGAAGAAATACAATTTGGGAAAGTGCCTGCAAGCATTTGTATTACTTCGTTAACAATGATCCCTTTGATGTAATAAATCTAGAGTATTTGGACTGAAAACATTCTAAAAGCATGCAGCAAACAATATGTGATCATACAAAATTGTTGCAATCAAAACAAAAGCGAAAAAGAACCTGGCCACGGGGAATGATTGAAATGCGTTCACAAAATTCGACTCTGGCATTTTCATAGCGCCTGAGCAAATGGGATGTAAGTGCAACTCCAACCTCGGTAACAGCCCTTCGACATTGCCCTTGATGGCCTAATTCAATTCCTAAGCGCTTAGGCCCTACCGTCAGCCGATCGACTGCATCATCCATGTCAGACTGAAGTATTGATTCGTGACCTCTCCTGACTGCCACCAGCGCTGACTCTTGCACCAGCTGTGCCAACTTAGCTCCCGTCCATCCTACAAAATACATTTATAATTCCAAAGTAAACATAAAAAGCTGCAAACAGGTTGATGATTACTTCAAACCACGATGGTGTAGTTATAATCTATCCACTATAGTAGCATCAGTACGATTCTTTCATCAATCCATCACTTTTAGGTTAACCAAAATTGGCATTTTTCGACCTTATCACTTTCCCTAATTTCTACATTATTAAAAACCATTCTTCCACTCCAAAGATTATCTCCCTCTAAACATTTGAAAGAAGACAACCATATGAACACTCATAGATAACTGTACCTCCTGGTGCATATTATTTTAACAATAAATGCAAGGTATACATTTATAGTCATCTAGAATCTGTTTCCATCTGTGTTCTCTCTTCCATACTTCATTGATATAATATTTTCTTCTAAAGGTAACTTCTGTTCAACTAAATGATGATTCAGAGTTTTGATTTCACTATTTTTCTACGGTAACAAGGTGACAGAAGAGTTATTTACTGTATCCAAGCACATGCAGACTACACAAAATATGCATGTGGCTTGAACAAAGTTAACAAACAGCCACATTCTCAGAATGTGACCAACATTGTGGCTGTCCTAGATAGTTGAGAAAAATGATATAAATATTAAACATCTTTTGAGAGCAGAAGATTAAGGGGAAAAAAAGAAGTAGAAGATGATCAAAACCAGGCAAATTTTGAGCATAGGTTGACAGGTCAACTGTTGGCGACATCTTGACTTTACGTGCGTGAACCTTCAAGATATCCAATCGCCCCTTTGCCCCAGGAGGACGTATTCTAATCTGAAAACAATAGGAGTTTTAAGATGATAGAATTTCAACCATCATTGGAGAAGAAAACATATTAACGGCATCTACGCATATTAAGGCGTCAACCCACCAGTAGAAGTATCAAACAGTTACAAATCAGCCTTAATTCATAAGCAACCACATACGAATTAGTGAAAATATTCAAATTAATAATTTAATTGTGTAAATATATAATTATACAGTCAAGTCTAAATTGATAGTAGGTTTCATATATATAGTCCTAAGATAACAGTAATAGTAGAAATGATACTACAAAGAATAGAAATATAAACTACAAATGTAAAATATTTTTATGTATATGTGAATCATACATGCATAATGTGTTTCACATATATAAAACAATGCTGCATATTCAGGCATATAACTTCATAAAGCAGGGTAATGCAACCACATGCAAGTATGCTGCTACATATACACTGCATCAACCACATTTTGAAGCACTGGGATGCACAAACATAAACTAAAGCACAAGTTACCGAGGTTACCATAAATAATAGTTTATTTTTATATGGATACATACAATGGCATAAGACCATATACCAAACCTTGCGGTCAAAGCGACCAGGACGAAGGAGTGCAGGATCTAATAGATCCATACGATTAGTGGCACCCAGAAAGATAACACCTTTTCCAGTATCAAAACCATCAAGCTCTATCAGTAGCTGGTTAAGTGTAGTCTCTCTCTCCTGAGTCGCAGCATTGTAAAAGTAGTTGGTAGATTCATTGAAAATTCCTTGGCGCCTGCAACAAGAAGATATAAGTTTCCCAATTATTGTGCATTAAATGATATCAAAACAAAGGCGATAACATGTCTCCTACTTAATTGAATTCTACATTATTTTACAAGTGCATGCACATATGTGCAAACAACAGACAGTTCACAACCTAAATCATGGCAAAACTTATGGACACAGTTCATGTGAATTGGAACCATAACTGGTTGTTGGACAAAAAGTGTGTAGATGTTGGTACTGATTGTAAAGACACTCAAAAACAATTTTAAAAATCACAGATGATATAATGTCAGAGAGCGGCATAACCATTCAAATACCCATATCATAAATTGAAAATATTTGGAATATCTAGCTCGAGTTGAACAAAAGACGAAGCTTATAATCCTCCCTTTGGTGGAAAGGAAATGAAGCTTATGATCCTCCAAATCATGTATCAACAAATAAAATTATGTAAAAAGTACTCACAAGAGTAGTCAAACTTTGCCTAAAATAGGGCCAAAAGCCCTACATGTGATCTTAGTATGATATCAACTAGAAGAGAATTTAAGAACGGCTACTTTAACCATATATTAACCCCAACAGATGTAATAGCAGTATGAAAAAGGAAACAATGACAAAATAAATATACAAAGAAAAAAATCATGAGAAAACATTAAGGCTGTCAGTGAATTAAGCTGTTAAGAGCATCATGTTACCTAGTTGCCAATGCATCAATCTCATCGACAAAGACAACTGCTGGTTTGTTTACCTGCACATAAATATCATTAGAAGGCAATAGATGCTGTCATAATGGAAGTCTTATCAGCTCCAGCAGAAAGACAATAATCAGAATAATTATCAGGCAACAACTGATCCGACCACAAAAAGAAAAAAGAACAAGAACATATAACTGTTGCATTCTAAACCAAAAAAAAAAAAAGATCATCAGATCTTTTTGGACTGAGTACTACAATTATAAAAATCCACTGATCAGTAGAGCGTATAGCTGAACTCCCTTGTGATTCATAAATAGATGAGAATTATATTATATAGGATATATCTCATCATTCCTTTTCAGATACTGATAAAAAATCAAAAAGAATTCCATGCAGAACAAAGCTTGGTGAAGATAGAAATCCTGTTAACCAAGAAAAGCATTTATAACTACAAGTCATTGTTCTACTTCTACATATAATGAACTTCGGCATCATCGATACCTTGGCTCTCATAAAAAGATCCCGTATTCGAGCAGATCCAACACCAACTAGAACTTCAACAAACTCAGAACCAGCCATTTGATAAAATGGTACATGAGCTTCACCAGCAATAGCCTTGGCAACAAGAGTCTAAGTAATGTAGAAAAAGATGAATCAAGTACAAAAAGAAGGAATTTTACCATTAACAAATAATAATGTGACTTACCTTTCCACAGCCAGGAGGACCTTCCAAAAGGACGCCATGTGGAGGCTTGATACCTATCTTATCAAATAGTTCTGGGTTCTTCAAATATCTCACCAGCTAAATAATCAAATGGAGTTAGAATCATTATCCCGCTATAACTTACATATAATGTATATGTAGAATATGAAAACCAAAAAATCAATAGGGGGGACCCTTATGTTCATCAACATGGTATGTACTACCAATGACAGCTTAATGTTAAGGTTATTGAATTAACGTAATACATGACATGCACCAGAAAAATTCAAAGACATATGCAGGATAAGTTTATAAATAGTGTCTGCATTTCTGCATAAACTTCTCCATCCTATTGGAATCACAGAAAAGAATTGAGTCAATATCAGAGAACTCTGGGAAGAACCACTGCAACCAACACTCAAAGAAAGTAAAAAATGGTCTGAATACAGTACAAACAGAAACTAAATATTCTGTTACTGCAAAGCAGTTTCCAAGAAAGGTACAGTACAAGGGAGTTTCTCAGTGGTACCAGTACTTGCACCTGAAGACACATTAGCTGTCCTTGAGGGTCAAGTTGGAGATTAATTTTACTTAGAAGTTTAGAACATACAAATTCAATCATGTAGTAGCTTATAAATCACCAAACTATTTTCCAAAAGAAGATGTTATCTTCATAATCATGCCTTTATTTTCCTGTTGTTTGCTTCATTCAGAATAGTTGATGAAATAGAATCTAACTATGATGGCTTGAGCAGCAATGTAGGATTGCTTACCTGGTTAAGAAACAAATCAAAACTGGATTTATATGATAACAAGTTCTCCTGAAATTTCACAGGTATCAAATGGCAAGGATATGGTAAATATAGGTATAAAAAACTGGGTGTACCAGTCAGCATGGACCAATATTTACTGGTCCGACCATGAGGCAGTAGATGAATCACCAGTTTTTGTGTATAGTATAGATACTTTACCGAGCATATCATCCACCTTTTATGGTTCTAACTTGGTGCAACGAGCTGTAAACCTATTGCTGGATACCCTATCAATTTTTTTATATCTTTCCAACAGATTTTTCTCTCTTTTTTATTTTTGTTTTGCTCTCTCTCTCTCTTCACCTCTTTTCCTCTTCGTTGCTGCGATGTTGCTTATTCCTCCATCCACCGCATAGCCACCGCCACCTCTTCGTCCTCTGCTTCCATCTTCTCCCCTTCTTCCTCCTTGCCTCTTCTCTCCATCTCTCTTTGGTCTGGGAGGACCACACCTAGTACTGATACATTGATCCATACCAGAATTATATAGGTTTAATCACCAACTAATACCAATGTTGAACCATGATATTCAACCTTGTGGTAAATCATTTGTCTTTCTTCTAAAATAAACGAAGAAAAGAATTCAAATACCATAAATTTGTTAAGCAAATGACCAGAAAATTTTTTCACATTAGTAGAAGACAAGACATTAATAAGCATCTTTCATATAATTGGTATGGATACAATAAACTATAAGGGACAACAAGACTGTTCTAGAGTTCATAGTTGGCATGAAGACTGACCTCCTGAAGTTCCTCAACTGCATCATCTATCCCTGCCACGTCACTGAACTTGACCCCAGTAGAACCCTGATTACCAGAATATAAAGGATGATTGCTGTGGGTGAATATGTGCTATTGATGACAGAGTATATGTGCTATAATGGGTGTTCTGAAGCCAAAGAAGACTTACATCAACTCGGGCCTGTGATTTGGAATGTCCAAATTCAATCCCTTGCCATATATCCTGCCGAATATAAGTTCATGTCAAAACCATACGGTAGGGCCAAGAAGATTTATCTCATTGCAGCATCCAAAACAGAATCATATTCAAGCAAAGATATTAATTGAAGCAGGAAGAAGGAATCACCCATTTCCTAAAGTTTTTTGGCCTTCTCGACAGAGTAAATCGAACAAGGAGAACCATAGTGATAAGAACCAGCATGATAGGTTTTAGCATCACAAGGCTGGCAGAGACACCACCGAAAGTGTAAAATTCATATATTTTGGAGAAAAAACCTCCTTCACTGAATATATCAACGACATTCTCCCACATACGTTCTGCAATACTGGAGACTATACCCAGAACAAGCTTCACGAAAGGCCTTGATAGAGGCCAGACAAAATAAATAGTAGCAGCATATAGAAAACTGGTCATTGCAAAAGCTGCAGATGCCACAAAACCTACAATAACTGCAGCTGCAGCAGCTATCAATGCTGTTGCCATCGCAAGTTCAACCATGACTCTGCTTGATATCGAAGAGGCCACTGGATGAGGGTATTCAAGTGATTTCCCAACATAAGACTGCAGAAATGGAATCAGATGATCAAGAAATACCAAGTAAAAGCCAAAAAATATTTCAAACAATCACAATAAACAGTCACTACCGTGCAAGATAAACAAAATGTTATAGCAATGCTAAGTAGACAGATCCAATGGTCCACTTGCAAATAGAACCATAACTTAAATTCTTCTTCCATAGCTTGATTGTGTAATTGGTCATAATGGTGTACTGCATCTTGTGTAACAGAAAACAAAGATTCAAAAAGTGTAAAATTGGGGTTCTAGTTTAATGGCATGCTTGTGATTGTAGCACAACATCAGAAATATGCAATATGTAGCGTATCATCTGAATGATATGGGCATCTATCATTAAAATGTTCATTTGGCTCTTTGCTTAACGATTTATGTTTTACATATAAATCCTCCGAGATAGAGAGAAAAAAAGTTCTGAACCCTTATAAAAATATGTGTGTTTCAGAAGACAAAAGGTAAAGAGCATTCTGTATAACATGTTCATCAAAACAATGAGAATTGCTTGATTTGTATTAATCTAAAAAAAAACGCTGCTGTTTCTGTAAATAAAATTAATAGCCAACCATGGTGTGTTTTTCGATCTCATACTGTGGTCCATTGTACTCCTCCAATGCTGCCCGTGCTTGACTCGCACTTAACCTAATCACCCTGAGAAATGAGCAAACCCAGATAAACTGTAAAATCAAACCCATAATCGTATTTAATTACGCAACAAGAAAGAAAAATCATGTTCCTACCATTTAGTTTTCTGTATGTTTCTGTCACCTGGAATCTCTTTCAAGTCGACAAGAAAATCTCTATAATAAATTTCAGAAGAATAATCAAATGTCGACTTTGACGTCAACAATTTAATTTTGTCAGCTTTTAGATGCTTCTGAAAATCCTCGAAGCTCATCAATGGAAGCTCCTGTACATTCTTCTCGAACTCTTCCTCTTCTGATAAATTTTCCCTGAACACCTCCTCGGGAACATATAGTTTGCCCTTGAATTCCCTTAGTAGATCCTTAAGATACACAGGTTCTGCAGCTTCTCCTTCCTTCCTCCCACCGCCCTCGACTCCCTCCTTCCTAGTCCCGGACCGCCCAAACAACCGCTTCAATAACTGAATTACACCAAAGTTCAAATCTTTACCTGATCTTTGCTTCTCCCTCAACGTAACAAACCGATCTCCGACCAGGAACTTGGGCTCCACCTGGCTAGGATTCTCCTTCAAAACCCTAGTTATGAAATCATCATCTCTGGCGCTGCCATTTCGATCGGCATCAAGCTTTTGGAAGACCACGAGAGATCGACGGAACCGAGCTCCATGGAGGGTTTTCGTCCATAGACGAAAGGGCTTGGAGCGTAGCCGGAGGTGGAGAGAGGTCGGCGGCGATGGGAAGAGGGCGGCGACGGCGGCGCATTGGCGGGATCCGGCGGAGACCCGACAGGAGAGAAGGGGATCGCCGGAGCTCGCAGACAGGAGATTTAAAATGGGCATCTCGAAGCGTCGGGCTTTCGAATTGAAGGGTTTGGCGCAGGAGCGAAAGAAGTGGGCGGCGGTTTATCCGAACGGGGAGGGTTTTGGGCGGTGGCTGCGTTTAACGGTACGGACCGAATAAAGGAGAAAGATGATATTATTATCGTTATTATTATTATTATTTCCCTCCCTCAGATAGCCATCTTTTAAAAAATACTTTTCAGATTAATCTTCTTTAAAAAGTGTTTTTACCATTTTTTTTATGACATGAAAAGAAGGATACTCTTATTTTTTTGTTTTGTTTTATTCCTTAAGTTTCAACCTTGCAGTCAATCTATTTTTAATTTGCAAAAGATATATTACATTTTCTTTCTTTCTTTTTGTTTTATATCCAAGAGATCAAATATTCATTTCCCTGAAGAAACAAAATTTGTTAGCTTTTCCTTTGACACCAAAGGTTGAGATATGTTCATATTTTCTAATTATTGATCAATCTAGCCATAAACTGTTGATAATAAAGGAAGTAACAATTCCCAACTACAGAATTGTTTGAGCCAAATTTGGACACCACCATAAGCATTTGAACTGTATCCTTTTCATATTAGAGAGGAACCAACCATTTGCCAAAAATCTGATTGTAGAAACTTAGAACTCATCAGTATCTCTTACAGCTCTGCAAAAGGTTATTATCAAACCTTAATGATCACATTGCTTTCTTGGCAAGTACAACTAGAATATATTGAAACTAAATAGATATTGAATGCAAGCTACGAATCAACATCAGGATCCTGAATCCACTATTTAACTCAATACAGTAATTTGGCAAAATTTGGGGGGTCGAAATTATTGTTCATGCAAGTGGCTGAGCAAGAGAATAAATAATGATCATTTGGAGCTTCTACCAGGTGGAAGATACTAACCAGTTATTCTGGGAAAACATTGATTCTTTGTACCACCCGGGGAAAATGTAATCTCCTTGTAGTCCCAGCAAATGGTCTACAAAGATAAGGCACCCACCCTGCTTCCGATGAACAGCTATGATGAAACACAATCATGTGCAAGCAGGAACAGGCATTTAGTTCAGCTGGTTGCAGAGACACATCTATGCTTCATTTATCAACTTTCATCTACTAAGAATCTACCATCTTCTACATGTATATACAGATTCTGGGTGAACAATTATCTAATTTGGCCAATTCTGTATCACAAGTGTAAGAACGGATATAGTCACATTGGCTGCTGCTAAACCGTGCTTCTGGCTATGTCGTAGCCATTTCTTTAAGCAAGATGAATAGGGAATGCACATAGAGAAACAGATTTAAGGTCAGGAAAAAGGAAACAGCAAAAACATGGATTGGCTCTGGTGGTAATGCCAGGACTATTAACAATGATCTGGATGCCCCCTGATGATAGAAACTATCACATCTTTTGCTGAGCAACTTCTGCATATTGCTCTGCGAGCTTTTTCACCTTGTCACCTTCTTTGATGAGAAAATTTGCATTTTTAGCATTGCAGTGGTGTCCCATAACTTTATCTGTTGTTCTTGTGACAGCCCATCTGTATTGCTCAACAGTTATCACGCCACTTTTACAAAGTGGCCTGATGTGTTCTTTCACATATGCCTCAACCTGGAAGAAAGCAGGCCAGAATGAAGAAGTTGAAGCAATTTCCTCGGAAAAGCCAAAATAAATATGCTGCAGTTATGTAAAAAGAATCCATGTTTTCCAATAGATTTATGATCCAAGGTTTTGAGTAGCAATTCATCAATTCACATACTGACAGGTATTTGCTGGTCTAAACCTTGAGACCAGTTGGTATTTTTCTTTAATGTTTCTAGTGATACTGTACGGTACAGGTTGGTATACTTCTCAGTATACTAATATTGTACTAGTCCGACCAGTTGTCGTGACTGGTATCTGACCGAGGTTTAAATCCTTGTTCCAATAAATGATAGATTATAATAATCTTAGGACAATGATACGAGTGAAGCATATAGCAAAAGAACTGCAGAGAATAAGTGTAACATAATAATATCCAAGACAACATTCTGAAATGCAAAAGACAAAATAAGGCAGTCTAACCTAGTACAGAAATGACACAAGTTTCCTAAATTGACATAAGCAACGGAAAAGTCAACTAAGGGTTTCAAGATATTTCTAGGACATACAAAATGAAGATTTATTCATGCCAATGCTTGGAATATAGTGTTCTGTGATGAAGCATGGCCCTGATTACAAAAAATAGAAAGTCATTTCCCATGTTATTCATAACTCCACGTGACCTTAGTTCTTAAACAGAATCTCCAATGTTAGTATGAAAATTCACAAAGCATATGCAGCAGACAAGGTTATATTATTTATCAACCTAATACTCTCTTCCATAAAATGGTAAATGCAATTGTCACTAACATTTGAAAAGCAAGTCTTAGTTCTGAATTTGACTTAAAAGCATGAAATATTCAAGTCATAACATTAGTATTCCTTTGCTTTGATATTCCATATTGCCAAACATCATAAGCCAGGTGAGGTTACCTGCCAGCATTAGCAGTGCATTTCACATTAAGCAAGAGTAATTTAAACCAGGCTAAAGGACTGGCAGTAACATATAAATAACTTCCCCACCACAAATAATCATACTTTTGTACTAGTATAGCATGTCCCTGTAAGGTTTATGTTTAATAATGTATCAAAGGTTCCATTAACACTTTACCTTTTTATATATGGGATGAGATGAATCAGATGAATCAGCAGTGCTGGGTTTAGCCTGTTCCACCTTAGGAGCAATTTCGCTCATGATAGAATTTGGTGAATTTCTCCTTCCAGAAGATCTACCTTCAAAAGGAACCTTATCACCAAGAATGTTACTCTTGGAACAGTTACCAATCTCAAGCTTAGGCACTGCAAATTCATCTTTTGAACTATTATCTTCCTTTTCATTATTAATACTGCTTTTTCCTGCAGCTTCTCTCTCCATTATCTTGCATGCCTCTCCCATTAGTTCACTAGATGTGTCAAGGGGAGGTTCTTTTTCTGGTCCATGCAACTTATTGTGCTCAGTTGAGGAAAGCACATTGATTTCATCCCCTTGAAATATTTTTGTAGCAGTTGAAACATCAACCTCAACATTAACATGTGCATTTCCTTTGCCACATACGTTTTGATACTGGAGCAAAGTTGAACAATTAGATGGTACCTCCACAATCAAGTCATCCTGATTGGTGGCAACTAATGATTTTGTCGAACTTGCAGGTTCTTGAGATTCATAGTTGGGGCACTTAAGTGGCTCTTCAGAACCAATGATTGAGAACATGCCCTTCATTTTGGAGTTCTCATTTTCTGACACCTCTGAAGCTTTAGCAACACTGCAAGATGCTGCATACCCCTGATCCTCTAATTTATTCTTCGTATCTCCATATGTACCAAACAGAGGATGGATATCAATGTCATTGTCAACATATTCCTGCCCACCATATACCGAAGAATCAACATCTTCATTGGTGCCCTTCACATTTTTTTCAGGACTATTAGGAGGAGAATCAGAGAGGCCAGCAACTCTTAATGCCTCTTCTACATCACCAAACACTACTGGTTTAGGCTCCGAGATTGCTTTTTTCGCAACCCGATCAATACAATTTTCACTTTTTTCAACTGCCTGATCAGCACTAGATTTAGTGTTTACCAGTGAGTCGGATGGACCTGCATCTGATTGCAGCCTAGTGCACTGAGATAGAACCTGTGCACAAAGGTTTATGTAAACCATTTTGCTGTTAGACCTTTCAGAAATATCTTTTTCTACATTAACTGCATCAGCTACAGCCAACTCAACATCTGCCGTTCTGCAAATAACAGATAGATTTGTTCTCCTCAAGTAATGTTCAGCAATGCGGTAAAGTTGTGCCTGGAGTAAAAGGAACACAAATATTCATCTCTGGCTTCAAGAAAACCAATTACTAAGAAAAATTGTGCAACTTATGTAGTGATTACTGCAAAATAGCAGTATGCATTAATTCTTTACGATCCAAAAGATAAATACTTGAACAAATAGACCTTTTTTAAACACCCAACCTACTGTGTATATGTCATAGCTATAAGAATATAATGAATGCAAATGTACAAGCACAGAAACTGCAAGGTAAAGTTGCAATTTACAAAGCATTCACCAAAAAAGAAAAAAAGAGTTACATGATGAAGTTATTGTCAATAAAGAATTAAATGTCATACCTGCCTGACTGAAATTGGGACTTTATTGTGGCGGCTGGGTGCCACAACTGGTCTCATGTCACTGGGAAGTTGGGCCTACATGTATAAATAAATGAATATTATGTATCAGGGAAAAGTCAATAAGAAGATGCTACTATCACACCTAACAATCCAAAGTAATCAATGATGTACCAGTAGCGGATAGTTTCCCTTGAGCATATTTCCCTCTTCTTGTCCATCGTTAACTGAATTTGAACTCGTTAAAGCATTCTTTCTAGCAAGAATCTCCATAGCCCACTTCCTTTTATCATTCTTAGCCATATTAGATACATTAGCCTGCTCCTTCAGAATTTGTCCACTCTTAATGGAAATAGATGTCTCGTTCTTGTTTTGCCCTTTCACCTTACTTGCAGCCAAGATGGAGGATGTTGCTGTGTTTTGTACATCTGGACTTCCTCTTTTGCAAGGAGCTTTCTTTGGAATAATTGAAGCACCAAAATTCTTTCCCTGACTATCAGATGCTTGGGACTTTGTTTTGTTACTCGCAACATTTTGTGAATCCTTCTCAGAAAGAGTGGTAACAAGACTTTTCTCTTTTTGATCATTGCCAATCACAGCAGCAGCAGAGAGGGGCTTGATATCATCCTTTCTTGGGAAAACTGAGGCATCAGCTAAGTATACTCGAGACAGAATTGAATTTGACATGTCTCCTTGTGGACCCTGATCCATTTCTGGGTTCTCCATGCAGGAAGTTGATGCTTTTTTGAGAAGTTCAAGAACTGACTGTAGTGTCTCAATTTTTTCAGGCTTTAATTTTGGACACCGGTACTTCCAAAATTCAATCTCCCAGTCCCTGTCCCAAGCTCGCCTCCGGCGACCACTGGACGTTGCATAAATTTTTTTGGTCAAATTCTCACGTACTTTTCCTTTTTGCAGCAATTGCTTCCTCATTCTAAGTGAAGGAATAAATTTGTTAGCTACTTCATCTCTGGGTTTAACTATTGCTTCACGAAACGCTGTTAAAAGTTTGCCGTGAAAGGCATTATCCTCAAAATTGCAGTTAGAGGTTTTAACCTGAACTGCCTCTTTTATCTCCTTTCCCAGTTTCTGAACTAGAATTTCTTTTTCAGCTTTATCTCCAACACTTCGCATGATCTTTTTTACTCTAAGCCCAGTAGAATCATCTTTTTTTCCTACAACATTGTTTTTATGTTTTTCGCCTATTTGACCATCATGTTTATTGTCTGCCTCTCGAACAATACTCATGATGTCTGTATGTAGAGCTGAATCTTCTGCATTACATTTTGTATCATCATCTTCACAAATTGTTGCAGCTTTAGGATAACTTTTAAAGTCATCTGGAATGGAAGCATCAGCTTGACTTCCTGAAGGCAACATCAGAGATGTCTCATCTGATTTAGATTTCTTTGCATTATCCTCAGTCATTGCTTTTACCTGGAATTCCAGTTTTCTTTTCCCCTTTTGTTTGATAATGGAATCAACATCCCTAGAAAGCAAAGGTGAAGAAATGAGATCAAATTGAGAAGTAAACTTGCATAGCTTTATTATATAGAAAAGACTGGAATAACATCCACAAGTTGGAAAGTCTATCCTTCAAAGTTCACATTAATACTAGCCCAAGGGGTCAAGTAGTTGCACATTTTCTTTGTTAAAAATCACAAGAGAAAGATTAGGTAAAGAAAAGGAAATGTTGAATGTGAAAATATGAAGTATCATGGTTATGTCAAAACTATTAAGGACAGATGAGCTTGTGCAGTCTATTTGAGCTAAGTGTGTGCATGTATATATAGATACACACACACACACACACAGAATCTAGGAAGATATCTGAGAAATTATTAAAGTTTTAACTTGACAGACCGAAAGAACATCTTGACCTTCAGTTGAGAAGCTTACACATATCATCAAAAAACTAATTGAAGTCAACTGTGCTATCACAAGAATCAGCTTGCATAAAACTTCCCCAGTGAAATCTTGGTTGACTAGAAACTAGGAGCTGATCTAAGCCACTAAGAGGGAAAATCTTGGATGATTGAACCAGAACCAATACACAGCATATGGTAAGAAGAATACCATCAATCTGGATTTCATCTACAAAATTGAAATGCATAAAAACAACCAGGTTTATCTAGCATAGTTTATGAACTTTCAAAAGCTCGTTCTTATGTCTTAACCTAACATGATACTTGTAGAATATCAACTTCAATCTCAGACAAATGACAATCATAAATGCAAAAACAAGTTGGCAAGAAGATAAACCTCTAACACATTTAACTTCAACATGAAACACTTTGGTTCATGGTATGACTGCATGAGTATTATTAAAGTGTACTGTCACGGACAAACTTCGAAACAGGATGTTTGATGTAATGGTTATGTATGTCCGTGTCTTTTGGTATGTTCATACTTTGACTAGCATGTAGAGGGACAGCCGAAGGTTTAATAGTCTCATTTTAGCTCGGTCTGTAATGGGTCATTTTATCCTTTGTTGTGCAACTGTTCAGAGCTTGTAATGTCTGTTTGTAATTTGCATTGTCTATGAAGTGTTTTTGGAGATGTTTGCTTGTGGATCCCGAGTGAGGCGTTTTCTCTATCATGTTCTCTCTTTTGTGGGTCCTAAGGGACCATGGGAGGCTTCGGGGAGGCTGACCTTTGCGGACGGACACGCAAGGGTGCCGCACGACTTAGGCAAAACCAGCTAAGTCCGTGACAGTACGTTAACTCATAGTACCTAGGGGTTAAAATTAGTTAGTTAATTGTTTTGGGTTGTGGTACATTTTTATCACTTGCTAGATAGCTTGTTATATTAGATAATATATTTTGACATAATATGCATCCAACTGGGTAAAAGTCAACCAAGGCTCTGAACCTATTCTTTTTTTTTTCATTTATCGTTTAATAATTATATTGTTTTGAGCTTTCCTTAAACAATTTAGGTAGGAATGTCCATGGATTATATTTTTCTTCCAACTGCTTTATATCTACAAAACCGAATGACATTGATGAGATTGATCCCAATTTTAGTGTTTTGAATCATATACCACAGTGATCCTGAATGCAGAAAACCAAAAAGTACCATGAACCGGGTAGAGGTATCCTGATGATTCTGCTCTGACATTTCAATTTATCAATATAACCTGATGCAACTTGGAAAAACCATGTAGACAGTCCTAAGACTTCGAAAGGAACAAAATTATAGATAAGGTGAGCTTTGAGAAGTCCTACGATTCACCAAGGCAATACAAAAATAAACTAATCAACCAAAATGCACAATTATCCATATGAGAATAATAAATATCCTACATATTCATTGCTTAGCACTTGGATGCATCAGAATTGGAAAGGGGCATGTACTCTTACAACTATAGACACAAAACAGCACAAATGTTCCTTACATTAGGTGTAAGTTGGATTCAGTTGTATGTTCCTCCACCAAACCTGTAACTTTAAAATCCTCTTGACAAATAGCATTAACCACATCCTCAACAGAGCTGGTAATAATATCATCTACTGCAAAAGTCCAACAAAGAACCAATGTAATGCGTCAAAAGCAAGCAATCAGATAGACGACCCCATATTATCAAATGAAACAAATTGTAAGAGTAGCTCCTTTTAACAGGCAACTAAACAATCAGAGACAACTAGGAAACATAATAGCAATGTTCAGCGAACTAACTTCAACAGTAAACTTTTAACATAATAATGGAAAACAAATTCTCTTCAACAGCAAGGAAGTTCCAAATAGCATCTTGTAACATCTCTATCATAATTTAGGCAGTTCAGGATTAAAGAAATAAGTCATCACGTTTTAATCCTCTTTTTGATTAAAACTATACCTGTTGAAGGAACATGTTGCTATTACACAGTCCAAATGAACAGATGTTATTGTTCAACAGTCAGATAAAGTTGGTTTTCAAATAAAATATTCTAAGAGAGCAATATTATTTAAAAAAGCATTATCTAATTACCTGATATACGACATTGCTCTGGATTGTGTAAGCTTCTACTCATAACTAACGGATCTTTCACATCAACATCAACTAGTTCACCAACTGAAAAATCATTTACAAGAAGCTATTAATTTTATAATGCACCAAAACATTCACTCATGAAATTGAGCTAAGACAATACATAGAATTGATAAAAAAATTGTTACTTGTTGCATATTTAAAAACAAACGAGATATAGCAACATAAGTAACAAGCTTACGTTTGTCTTGACGCAGTTCATCAATGTTTTGGTAAGACAGGGAAAATGAGTCATCATGATCATTATATCTAGAAGAATTGCACATCGTTTCTTCCGTGTGATTAGCCTCCAGCAAGCTATGTATTAATGGCTGATCAGAAGAGGATATAGGTCCACCATGTGATAGACTTAATTGTGAATCAACTATATTTGAAGGTGCAGATTCTAACAGTGTTAATGCTGAAGATATGTTGTTCAGCTCATTATCTTCCCGTGTCATTGCAGGTGATGTATCCAACAGATTTTCGTAACTACTATCAGTGTCTGCAACCATTCCATCAAACACACTATCATTGCTGCATATCAAGTCATCACAGTTAAGTTTGAAATCACCACTCTTGTCAACCTGAACATTGAGTTTTGGATTATCAACATTAGATTCAGAAAAAGATGTTTCAGTTTCCTTCCTCGTGTTTGTTTCTATCAAATCCTCTGATGCACTTGTATCGTCCTTACTTGTCTGATCCCTTTGAACCATTGAGACAACAAGAGCTGTTTCACCATCATCAGCAACAGATACTGATACCTTCCCCAAAAAAGAATGGTCAACTGCCCATCCATGGTCAGCAGCTTTCAAAATAGAGTGCCACCCCTGGTCTTGTACAGGAATATCATCCATCTTCTGTGGTTCTTCAATAGATAAGCACCTAGGAGAAAAAGGCAAATAGAAAAACCAGTAATGATATAATATATGAAAAATGAGAATTAGATAGTAGATAAACCTATGCTGAAGTCAGAAATGAAAATTCTTAAAGAAAAGATTACAAAAATTCATGTTACAAGAACAAATCTCATTGTACATATTAAAGTAGCAGCATTACCTTGGACACAACCAAGAACTAACGGAAGTGTACTCAGGGCTAAATCCAACACAAAATGCATGATACCTGTCTCCACAAATAATATAAAAATAATATAAGTTGATGTAGCATGTTAGATAAACAATAAAAGCACTTCCTACCGACTGAATCATTAACTTTAAATACAATATTTTACAGGAAAGTTAAACAAATTGAAATATGGCTAATTGCCTGAAAGGTTTTATCAGAAAAAATGAAGTTCTGATGAGAAAACAAATATATACCATTAAAGGGTTAGTGACCTGACTGTGCCAACAAATGTTGGGCATGATATAGAGTTATAACTTAGTACTGTTCATTCTGAATTTTTGATGCCGGTCATACTGTGACACGTGACAGAATGCAAAAATAAGGTGAGATCTTTATACAATTCATGCTAGACGATGTACCTAGGATTTTAGCCAGCACTGTACCATGTTTCTTGGTCACTTTATCCAGTCATAGTTACATGGTCTGGGATGACAGCCACATGTCAAGGAAAACATCTTTCTGACCAATAACTGGTACATCCATATGATCTCTCTATTTACCCAAATCAAATGTTGTTTGCTGACTTGCTCTATTTATTTTAATGGGATTGAAGCAAACTAATTAACTCGGGCTTGTAAATACAGTGATGAATTAGCTTTGATGAACTTAAGTGGATATGACCACTCTTAGACCTGCTAGCATAATCATTTGATATGGATAAATTTAAGCGATTTTTCAATCAAGGCCATACTAATAAAACCTCATTAAATGAAGGTCATCTCAGGCTTATTCAAGAAAATCTTCAAATGAAGAACCATGTGATGATGATCATGCTGCTTAGCATCTTACTCATTTTCTTACAATAAACCATCAAGTTGTTAAGGATCTAATTTCATGATTAAGCACCAAGGACAAATTCAAAATTTTCAATTATAAGTGAAGCTTTTCTTCCAGGGACCATGCGAACAAGTGAATCTTTCATTGACCATGGAGATAAAATGAGTTTAAATTATCTACAGATCCTAACAGCCAAGGAAGATTAATTAGATGATAATAGATCACAATATAGAGTTCTAAAATAGGAATCATTATGGCATAAAACTCCAAGTCAAGGTTCTAAATACCAGGCTCATAACAATTTCAATAACCTACTAGAAAGACGGTACAAATCAAGTGATCTGTATCATTGGCAAGATAGCAGTATACCCAAGCAGTATCTAGGTGTATGGTCTATTATGATGCTTGATCAGATTGGTAAATAACAGTCTGTAGTGACCAGTTCGACCAGCATTTTTAAACCTGGCTTCGAGGTGGTTCCTACTACTAGATACTATTTAGATTGCCGAATGTTTAATGAAGCTGACTGTAGAAATTAATATTTTACAAATGAACCATAACTGAGTGAAGCAATAATTCTGATATCCCATATATTTAGTCATTATATACCAAATTTAATAAACGACAAATAAACAATTACTTAAAATCCCATTACAAGATAATTATGGTCTTAACCGAGAATAAACAATGCCAGAGTTTCCTTGCTGGTAGATGTGAGTTCTTTCCTTGCTGGTAGATGAAAATAATATTCACTATCAGATTCCTAGGTGCTAAGCGTGCTTTGAAGAGTTGAAGCAACAATTGATGTTTGGCGTCAAAACCATACCACTTATTATTTCATCATGCATTAAATAAACAAGAGAAATCAGATATATCTCCATCTGCACAGTTTACTAATTTCACAAGTTTACCTAGTTGAAAAGATCAGCTTTCAAGATATGGCAACATCCGCACTTGAGTGATTCTAGCTAAGGTTAATAGTGTTATTTTGTGGCAAACCCAGCAGAAATAACTAGAACTTAAAAGTTATTTTAGTACAATTCTGATATGTATTTACCATATATCACATGAATCACAAGCAATTGATGTATCAAAATTTAAACCATCATCCGCTGTCGTCAGTCCACTTCTAACCTTGCATCCATCTCCATCCAAGCATGCAACTGCCTGGCAGAAGAATAACCGCATTAACACAGAATGCAGAAGTTCAGACTACAGTGTCTTTATCAATGAGGTGATAAGTGCAAGGACAGCATTATTACATCTTCATCAATGTAGTATGAAGGAAAGGACAGGGTGTTGTTCTTCCCTTGAACACTCCAATCCACTTCTCTGCAAATTGAAAAAGGAAGGCTGCAATGTCATGTGTTTCTCCGTACAACTGCATATAAGGAATGTACTGGCAGACAAATGTGACATACAAGGACTCTGTCCCAATTGCTAAACATAGGTTAAAAAAATAAATGGGTCTCACAGACGAACAATCAATGAAATAAATTATTTGTTTATAAGCTTCTCCAGGAAATAGACCAACAAATATCTAACAGTTCAGTCACAGGTCCAGAAAGAAAAGATCAAAATTTTCAGGTGCAACAAAACTCATCAAAATAACAATACAATTTTAAGCTCAGAAAAGGAATTCCAACATCAAGTGCACAACCTCAAACGACTAACATGAAAGCTTACAATCACAGAGCAACATGTCTTCAGCAAATCAAAGGAAAAGAAAGGCACCAGCCGCACCACTAAGCTAGGAAGTCATGAAAACTCATCTCATACACACGTACATGCCCGCACGCATGGCAGCACTAAGCTAGGATGTCATGCAGTAATTAAGAAACCCATTTTCACAACCATATATGCATATGCATGTGCACACACGCACACAAAAAACTACTATTCAAGCAATCAGGAAAGCACACTTTTTTATAACAGTAATTCTGAAGAAAAGCCTGAAGCAATATACTAAAAGTTCTTACACTTTAATCAATCAGGTTTCTAAATTCTAATATCATGTGTAAACAAATTATTTATATGCCATGGGAAAAATCAACTTGCTCCAATTTTTTTATTCTCTGAATTGGTGCAACCAGCAAGCTTCTGTTGGAGTTTAGCACATCATCAACACAGCCCAAGTTGATGATGTATAGTGACTGTATACCATGCCACCAACTAACAACAAAGTGCCAGAGACACTTAGATCCTTAACTTTAACTGCCATTGGATGCTACGTTTGGTTCCGTGTAAACTTAGCTTCTGGATAGTCAATCAGCCAACATCTTCCAACACCCACATAAAACTTGACAAATTTGTTCATATTTATATGATCAACAAAAATTAAGGATAGCCAATTAACATGGTGCTGACAGGTCTAATTATGTACCTCATGACATTAAGCCAATTAAGAAAAACATATGACAAACTGACAAAGCGGTGAGAAATCACAGAAAAATATTATCAAAAGGACTTGAAAAAGATATTATGCCTTTAGATAAAAAGAGGATGTCCTGAGACAAGTAGAACAGATATGGCAAAAGAAGATTAGTGTATCAGTGATCTTTCAGATTTAAGTCTCTATGCCCAAAAAGTCAAAAGACCAGCCTTCAGGGACTGAAAATCTACAAAGTTAAAAGTTTGACTGCTACAGAAAGTTCTCAGATATTTTTCCTCACCAACAATTAAAACCTTGCTAGTTAAACTGTTTCTTTTTTATTTATAAACCAACATTGTCTTGAAAACTTCTGATCACCTAGAGAAGATCCTGGATGTCTGAAGCAATATCCCAGTCAAGGGCAACAAATTAGTTAACATCTCCTTCATAAAGAGTGTCAGTTCAGTATATCCAATTTGGTCGCCAAAACAAGTGGTAACAAGTTAACTCGTCAATCTTCAGATACTGTCCATATTCAATTCAGTTATGATCAGTCAGTAGATATATTAAAGCAATTATTTGAATGATATTGCTAAGACGAAAGGATGAGGACATACCATAATGTGACACGCGCAACAAGTCACATGGCATATGAATGTGTTCATGCATAATTATAGCTCATCACAGGCCAATCTGACCAAAAGTGATTATAACAAGACACTAACAAGATAGATGTGGATGTTAGAGCTGTAGATATACATATATGATAAACATACAGCAAAACAATAGGATATAGGTTTTGATGGACAATCAATGAGACTCGGCACAATGCAAAATAAAAGGAAACAAGTACAAGACCCAGGCTTGAGTATATTTATTTTTATAATCACTAAGCTTCTTATCACTCATGTCATGAAGCATGCATATCAATGGAATTCAGGCGATGACAAATCTTACCCCCTAAGACCTCAGTGTTGTTTCTTTGTTTATGATCATTACAATTGCCATAAATTAGTATCTTGAATTTTTCTTAGATTGAACAAACAAAAAAAATCAAAAGATAATGGTGGCATAAAAAAACTTACAATCCACAAACAGCATACAACCAGAGGACAAAACCTAACAGCATTGAAGGTCATTTAGATAAAGAACATATCTAGTATCACCATAACAACAAATTTATGCCCTCCTAGACTCCTACTAGCAATACATCTAAATTTTATAAATCATGATTAATTGATAAAATATTTATCGATTCTGAACTACATATTACCTGGAAAGTGAGTAATTCTCAATTCTGATACTGCCAGTGGTGTCATACACCTACAATTATCAAACAAAATTTACAAAATATGCAATGGTGAACTAAAATACAACAACAATCTGATTTAGAGATACTTAAACCACTGCACAAGCAGAAAATGAAGATTTCATTACATGATCAAGTTAGAAGAGGATAACAATAGACAAAAGAGTTCCGAAAAGAAGAGTTGTTTGGAAGAGTATTATTACTCACTGGAAGACATGTGATAAGCTGAAACTCATTTTGGCAAATTGGGCAGCAATTTGTGATGGTAGCCCAGTTGTCAAGACATGCAAAACAGAACCTGCATTCAAAATAATACTCTGTTGTTAGACCATTGTTGATCTACATAATACAATCTTCCTTCACCCTGAATTTTTGTTGTGAAATAAAAGCAGAAATTCTAACAGTATAACAAAAATATGGAAAAAAAAAAGGTAAAATAAGGCACTGCAACAATTAAGGGAAAGGCACCTAGTAGAACTGAGAAAAAGGACTCGTGTTGCACATGATAGTAATGCAATGTTGTGCTGTACCTGTGCCAATCACAGGACCAGTCATATACAATACACATAGGCATGGCTGAAAATGCACCCACCAATGCCCATACCAACCAGCATGGTAGATGACAACCAAAGAGTACTGGCCCTAGTTAAATGTGCTTCTTTTAGCCCTAGTGACCAGACTCCTTGAACAAAAGACTAAATTTTCATGGTAATACCATTCTTTTAGTTCCTACACCAGGCTCCCTGAATCAAAGATTAAATTTTCTTAGTAATCATTAGATTACAAGCAGGCACTATAATACTAATTTGTTACAAGATGCTGGAGAAGTCTTACTTGTCGCTGTCACTAAAATATAAAGTAGCTTCCATTCATATAGCTTACCAGTATGAGATATCAAATTTGTGGTCTCAACTAAAAGAAAGCAGAAGGAGCCAAGACTTGGGAAAATTCGGCACCACTTGAAAGAACAAGGACTCTTCAAAGAAACCTAGATCTTCTTATGTATCATAAATCTATATGTTTTGAAGTTTACATGCACAAGCACGTTCAATAAGCTTGAATGTATATGTATAAACATCTCCTTCATAAGTCAAAATTATATTGGATATGAAATGACTGTTCTAAATTTATTTTGTAAAAGATGGTGATACGAACAAATAAGGGCTGTAAGATTATCATTTTCGGCAACAATGAAAGATCATTTTTTTCAAAAAAAAAAAAAAAGAATTAACGGCTTTGAGAGAGATTCACAACTAACTGAAATTTTTGCAATAGTATATGGAAGTGAGACAAAGCAACAGACATCCTCTTAAAATTCAGGAGACACATAATTGGGCATATAATACACCATTTATCTTGCCTATGTTTAATGAAACTTCAAGAATTTCGACGAGCCCATAAGTGCATCTAAGTTGACATCTTAAGATTCTTAACAATATTTCTCCAGAATTTTTTGGCCATGAGACCATAGTATTTATTTCCATAAATCTACTCCATAGTTAGAATAATCAATTGATCCCAGTACCAAATCAGACGATTTGATCAGAAATCAACCAAAACCTACTGGTAGCACCCCCAAAAAGAAATGGTATCTCTGATTTCTGATCAGCTACGAGGATACAGTGAATAATATATTCAAAATAATTAAATATATTATAATAATAGCATAAACACTAACATAGTACAAATAGAAAGTAACAAGGTGATTTTCTGGGAGAGGCCCCAGGTTTTCGGTTTTTTCCTGTTTGCAAACCCCCATTTACATAATGCCCATAAGAGAGTCCCCTCCTCTTGCAAATAACTAAAATGCCCTCCTGTCAGAAAAGGAAACTGGTTTCTGATAAATAGAATAAATGTAAGTATATCATAAATAGAATAAATCATAAAATAGTACATATACGATATTGAGATTTTACATAGTAATTGCATCATCAAATTTTGGAAACACTGATACAAAAATTAGAATATTAGCTCTAAACTTCAATTTAATCTTTCAACTAAAAAATCTTGATAACTTGAAGATTCAAACTAAATAGTACTAAAATTTTGTCGAAGACTGATCCTCCAATATGCATCAACCGTATACCTTTTTTTCTTTTGGACTTATTGATCCCTTTTTTATTTCCATTTTCAAAACATAACAAACTTTATGAATCCAGTTCCCCAAGTCACTAATTGAACAACATGTAGATATTCACATTGGGGTTTCATGAGTTAATCATCGCATCAGGAAAGAAAAAAAAAAGAACAGAAGATTTCAATGCAATAATATGACCTACCAATGGTCGCAACAGTCCAGAACCCCTCTATCAATGATGACATCTGTACATATTCCACATCTTTCATTCTCAAATTCAATATCTTCCTGAAAGGATGATGTTAAATAACATAAAATTTATTTCAGAATATCAACAAAGCACCCAAAATAGACATATGAAAAAAAAATGCATTAATACAATTTACAACTTAAATAATATAAACATTATATTGTTCATGTGTCAAATATGATACTTCCTTGATATCTCTTGGATACATGCTCAGATACTTCTTCAAAGTAATCAATATTTAAGTAATTACTAAAGAAACATTTTTGAGAAATTTCCACCATACTTCATGGACACTTCTTGGCTTTTTAAAGAATTTTCCTTTTTCATGCATATAAATCTTTCAGTTATGGATGAGATGGATATATGATTAGATGCAATGTTTTATGTAGTTTGTACTTTGTATTAACTGTCATATTATGATAATGAAACTAAACTTTTACCTTACCAGTATGTATTACATTACAAGCTTCTTCTGCCCTCTCTACATTCTTAAAGTATTATTATGTTACTAAAACTAATTTCTTTCATGACAATAAATTCTCGATGCTAATTGCATAGGCAATAAAACTCTCCAATGCAACAATTGTAGCAGTTGGCAAGTCACAGAGACCTATCAATTGGCAGACAAGCTGCGATAGCTTCTCTAACAACCAATGATGGTGATTTTACAATGGGAGTTGACAATGGATAATGGTGATTCAACAATGGGAGGCTGCCAAGACATTCAACGATAAATGCAGAGTTGCAGTCCTATATGGCACTTCATTGATAAGAAAAGAAGCAAGTGGAAGAAAAGTAGAAAAATAGAGACCATCGTGGAAAGAAGATGCAGGTGTTTAGGTTTCACATGACTTGAGATAGCCTAATTAATACCAAAACAAAATCATTTCAGCTGGTATGCAACTAAAGAACATTTGGTTTCATGCTAACCAGTATATGCTTAGATTCCTCGATTTTGGTGGTATTGACTGTTCCAAGAGCTGATAAACCCTTCAAATAAGGTGGCATGGCTGATATGCACCGATATCAGTTGCCAAGAAATTCCTAGCTCGTAATAAACTATGGAATATCAGAACAACTTTTAACACAACTCAAAGACAAGGATACAGACAAACAAACAACAAAACACAAAGAAGAGAAAATCACATCACAAGTATCATCTGTGAAGCTTCCAACACATTCATAATTAACAAAGTTATTATATGTGTTTTTGGCAAAGAAGTCCATGATATAATTCATCTAATCTGAAATGTAGGATTGTTATGATGCATGAGGATTGCAGAGAAACAACCATAATTTGCTTCTAATTCATACAACACTACTTCAATTTTGATTCTCTGTTTTTTCTCATCTATAATAAGCGACCCTAATTTAAAGCTAAAGAGTAAATATGCCAATATAATAAATGAAGAAATAAGAAAATTTCATAAAACAACTAAACAAGTACAACAGCCAAGCAGGAATTACTCTATCATCCTCATCTTCAAATGTCGTTTCTTTAGACTCGCCATTAGTGGTCTCTTGTTGGTACATCAGTTATATAAAAAAACTTATATACTTGACCTGAAAAGATGATACACCAAAATATCATGTACCAGTGAGCATGTTAAACAAAAATAGCGATATAAATATATCATTAACGTTAAGCTAAAAGCACCCATGACTACAAGTCTACAACAAATAAAGGTAGACGACAAAACACGATTTGCGAGCAAATAAAGGAAGGAAGAGACTCGTTGGAAGGGGAGAATGGGGACATCAATGCCAAGAAAGAATTGGTTCCTGTAGTGCTTGAGGACATTAATGGATTGCTAGTTCCAGAAGTTGATAATAATAACAGCCTTTTATAGATGATGGGAGCGCCCATGGTAGAGTGCATCACAAGACTACCTTTTACAATTATGTAAAATACTCAAAACTAATCCAAAATCAGCAACTTTGCTGTTATGTTTCATGGCAGTAAAGCAAAATTGAGTAATTGTTAATTTGTTATACCTATTAATATATTTGCTTTAGATCTTACAATAAAAATATCCATGCACTCAGATCTTACCTCTAAAGACAAGATTCTCACGAGATAAGTTATTTCTCGCAGGAAATCCATCATTTGAATATTTGAACATCTTGACCACTCATAAGCTCATGTATTGTATCCTCCCTCTTAGTTCAGTTTATGTTATAATGGCATGGCTGCATAGTCATTGAGCTATCAATCCTTTAGGAATACATTTGCCGCTAGCATCCTAAGGAATACATTGAGCTTTGTTGTTGTTCTTCTTCTTCTTCTTGTAGTAGTAGTAGTAGCAGTAGTAGTACCTAAAATTATCTATTAGAAATGGGAAAGTATAAATCTGCAACAACATCACTTTCTTCAACGATACCATATCGTTTTAACTCGGAGGATAATTGGGACAACGGTCCCATGATTCTCCAAGGAACTAAGGAAGAGGAAGAAAAGCGGAAAACGAAATGTCGCATGTCCAACCACTTCAAAGTGTACAATCACGACACCGTATCTAAGATCTTCAAATAAAAATACATAAATCTTTCGAGTCCTGCAGAGACGATAACCTCCCGCAACAACACACGTCTCCGCCAAATTATGTAGAACGCAATCTTGTTTCGCAAAATCGATAACCCCAGACCAAACTAAGAGAAACCGGCCGACCAAATTAGGGTAAAGGGGGGAATACCTCTGGCCAGCGAGGGGCGACCGCGGCCGAGTTCTCACACCGATCGACGATGATCTACGGACTCGGAAGATTCTTGGGTGGGGAATCCGAACAAAATCTGAACGAGAGGAAAAGCGAGTACGATTCTGAGGAAAGCAGAAGGGAAGTAAGGGGGAGTCCTTGAGGAGATTTCGCTGCTAAGTGGGTCGACAAAAGGGGGGCGGAGGACGCCGTCCGACGGAACTCTTTTGCCGGTCCGGTTCGGGAAAATGATCATCGGAAAGAACCCGGTTGGAACCGGCTTACGACACCGGGTTTTAAAGATTCGAGACTGAACCGGCCACCGGAAGGGGAAATAAAACGTATATTTGTTGGCTGACTCAACGGCCGGCGACCCTCTTGTCTCCTCCGCTCCACCAGTCGCATCCACCTCTCAGCCAGGACGAGAGGGGGATGACTCGTATGTCCGGGTTTCTTGCGTGGGACTCGTAACAATCATCAGCTTAGCAACTCTCAACAGCAAAACAACATCTAAATTTACTGATACAAAAAGGGACACTTAGATCTTCATCGCACAAATTAATTTTTTTTTAATTATTTATTTTATACGTTATAAAATATATATTAACGATCAATCGTCATCATATGACATATAAACATTACATGAAAATATGATGAAAGAAAAAAAATACAAGCACTACTACCCATCTGTTCATGTGAATAAAACGTAACGAGAGATACTGGAACGGATACATATTATCCCTACTAAGATCAAGTATAAAAGATAATCCTCGATGCTACATGAGATGCTTTTTTTTTTTTTAAGAATTTGTATCTAAAAAGGATTTTAGACTAATTCGAGCATTAGAGGGATTGAGTCTATAAATTTTTCTGACATCGCTCTTAGTGCAAGTGACGCCCCAGGAGTTCGACAGTTTTACCTCGAAGCTACCTTGGGCATTTCTATACTATTAGATTCGGACCACCTTAAATTGACTCGTATATCGACGATGATTTTTCTTAACGTATCCAATATATCTATATAATCATTTACGTTTTAACTTAGTATATTGGTTATTGTTTCTTCGCTGTTAGTGTCTGATTTACTCATGAAGTTTATTTAACATATAAGGTGGATGTTAAGAACAAGTTGGAATATATATGATGTTGGATAATATAAAAACCAAACGTACAGACTTAGGTTGGAGCGTATTTGATAAAATGCATCGAGGAATCTGAGACCTTTATAAAGGTGAAATACATGATCGCTCATATTTTACAGTAATCTTATCGATGTTGGTTAAAGACTCTCGATGTCAAGATATTGGAACATATACGATGTAAACCAAATATCGTGGATCATTGCTTGCAAGTTACTCTATCAGTATAATCTAATCAGTTTCCTTGTGATATCGTCATTTCACTTTGTATTTTGCATTTTACGTTTGATTATTTAAGACTTTGGCGATGTATATAAGGATAACATCTAATAGAAAATATACCATCAAATAATTTTCATTCAATACATAATCATCATATTCGAGATAAAAAGAAAAAACGAATGTCACCTTCTCCCGTCTATTCACGTGCGTAACGATATAAGACGGACGATTATTGGTTACCCCATTATCACATATTGGATAAGAGGTCAAGGAAAGACTATTGTAAATGGTTAGAGGTTACATATTCGTAAAATATTTTATAAAATATTTTTATATTTAATAAAATAAAAATAATATTTTTTTTTATAATTTGTGTTCACACTCATATACTTTCGATTACTAACTTAGGTATTAGAATGATCGATTTAAGAAATCTCTCTCTATCTCGTCTTAGTACAAGTGACACATCGGAAGCTCAATGTTTTCACGTTAAAGATACTTTGGATAATATTGGGTATATATGTTCGAACCACATCGAACTATTTATTTATTTCAAACTAAACTTAAACTGAACTTGGAAAATCCGATTGTTCACAATATATGGTAGCACGAATCACCAATTTATGACTTAAAAAATATATGTGGTTCAATTTTGATTTCCAAAATTTAAGAATCATAATCATCAGCTTCAAAATCGAAATCATCGATTCCATAATCAAGAGTATATATATATATATATATATATATATATATATATATATATATATATAAGCGTACTACGAGGACAAGCTTGTCGCAATGTGTTGGGAGGTGATCGCCGACTTCTTACTCCACTCTAACTTTAATGAGGTTGATATGCGAACCAAAATCCACCTTACACAGCAAGCAAATCAATTCAATTCGGCAAATCCCAACATCGTCACAGATTTCCGGCATTACACCAAATCCTCAAGTAAATACCAATCCGATCCATGCCTCTCTCGATTCAGCTCTTTTAGAGTCATCCAAACTCACCCACTCTCACTCATTGATTACCTCCCTTTTCTCTTTCTGTGTCAGGTTCCAATTGACAGCCGAACCAACTCACAAGGACTCGTCATCCAACTCTCTGGTTGTAAAGGCGACTGCAGCAGTTCGAGCGCTCTCTCTCTCCTTCTTCTTCTTCTTCTATCCTTCTTGCCTCCCATTGTCGTCATCTCTGTTAGCACCAACCTACAGTATATGCCAGCCATGGCGCATGTTTCACCCGCCTTCATCTTCTTCGCGCTGGCGCTAGTCGTCGTCGGTGCGCAGCCGGACAGCTGCAGCTCACGACTCCCTGCTGCTCTCAGCAACTTCACAGGTCTCTCATGCAGGCCCATCTGGAACAACTTCGTCCTCAGAGTATGGCCTATGCTCACCTCATCTCACGTTTGAAACAGGTTTATAGATTCTGGAAAGAGGATAAACCTTATCGGATCCCTTCTCTTTTGTGTTCTCGTTCTGGCCCTTGCAGTACTCTCAGGACCAACAGAATGTTCTCAGCGTCGTGCTATCTACCACATACACCGTGGGTTGGATCGGAATGGGATTCTCCATGGACGGGAGGATGGTCAGCTCCAGTGCCATGGTGGGTTGGATGGGCAAAACCGGCATCCCCCACATCAAGCAGTACTATCTGCGTGGACAGTCTGCTTCAGACGTCGTGGTAGATCAAGGCCAGCTGCTGTCCACCGCGGTCGCACCGAGAGTCGTCGTGCATCGTGCCAAGATATATCTTGCCTTTCAATTGAAGTTTACAGCTCCATTGGCTCAGCAGCATCTGCTCTTCGCCATTGGGACATCGATTCCGGTCCATAATCACCTGAAGAAACATGCGGATAAGACCTCTATCTCCTTCGACTTCTCTACAGGTTTGCCGCTCCACCACCGTCCTCCTTCTCTCTCTGCTCGTTCATGCATCCTAAACAGCAGGCTTCTTTTACAGGCGGCAGTTCATCGTCTTCCACCTCCTCTTCCTACCTGTACGAGCTGAAAAGGACACATGGAGTGCTGGCCATATTTGGGTGGGGTGTGCTGGCACCGATAGGGGCGATCGTGGCAAGATACTGCAAGCAGTGGGATCCATTGTGGTACTACCTTCACGCGATCATCCAATTCATCGGGTTCATGATCGGTCTTGCGGCCGTGGTGGCCGGAAAGCTACTCTACGATGAGCTGCATGCCACCGTCCACTCTCACAGGGGCATCGGCATTTTTGTGCTGGTGCTCGCTATTCTTCAGGTCCGCAAGTTCAGCCTTTCTCTTTTCTCGTCAGACAAATCCATTCGAACCTTGAATTGTCTCACCTCCGTTTGGTACGACAGGTGATAGCCTTCTTCGTGCGGCCCGACCGAGACTCCAAGATCCGCAGGTACTGGAACTGGTACCACCACTGGGTGGGGAGGCTTGCTCTGTTCTTTGCGGCGGTCAACATTGTTGTGGGTATCCGAGTAGCAGATGCGGGGACTTCATGGAAGGTTGGCTATGGCTTCAACCTTGCGATCCTCCTGATTGCAATCATCGTTCTGGAGCTGCTGCGGTGGACAGGAAGGTCCAGGGAAGCTGTCACCGCACCACCGCTACAGATGCAATAGCCGGATGATGAATGGAATGGATTTGCGACGTGGAGTTTGTCACTGTTGTAATCCCGATGAGCTATTCAGTGTTGTTTTTGGTCGCAGACTCCTATATATAATTAATTGCATGCTAAATATTCTGGCTCTTGTATCATTCTCATGCTCGATCGAAGTCGAAGGAGCATGACATGGTCTAATTGACTTCATTACAGGAAAAGAACACTCGATCACGAGGGAGATCCAAACTATGGCATGCAAATGTTCTTCCCCTGTTCTACCGTAAGCAACTGTCTAAAGCTGCAGAAAGAACCATGAAGATTAACAACATGAAGGCACTGATCACACCTGACGGATCGCTCTCTCAATTCTCTATTTGATCAACTTCAGACAACAAGAAGAACCAACCATTTCTTTTATATGCATTTTTTTTCCTTCTGACAATATTTCTTAGCTGAGTAGAGTAGTCCTTTATATGTTGGAAAGCTTTATTGAAAGAAAAAATAACACACTCATATATATATATATATATATATATATATATATATATATATATATATATATCACAAAATCACTCATTCAGCACGTGATGTCTAATGCTGCGTCTTTCATCAGTAGGGAAAATGGATGAATTATTTTATTTTCATAATTATAAGATATAAAAAAAAAAGACAGAAACTGCGATGCTACGAGGGTTCATGTGCACGATTGCTTCAGCAATATAATTCTATTTTCCAAGCGCGCTAGGAATTATTTTTTCTTCAGCAATCGATATGAGAATAAAAGTATTCCAAGATGAGTTCAACATCACAAGAGGGATTTTCTATCAATCCACCCAGGTAGCACTATCATTGCTTGTTTGATGCAAGATGAATCATCCAATTAACAATCTAATGACACTTACAAATATATAATTCCCACACATATATACACAATTTCCCCTAAAAGAAATTAATAGAGAATATTTCAATACAAGGTAAAAGCGAAGCAATCGATCGTAGTTATCATAACTGATGGGATCTGTAGATAATATACGCTTCGCCTTCATCAGTTCAAATTAGGTATTCCACACACCCAAGCCCTACCCTCATCCGACGAATCCCAAGAAGCTGAAGCCAAGAACCATCGCGCGTACGAACAAAAATCATCATCAGCGGAAAGAAACCACCGAGAGGTGCACCAAGAAAAGAAGACCGTCACCAGAGGAGGCAGAGGAGGGGCGGTGGTGGCTGACCTGAGGGATCGCGTGACGGCCCGCTTCGAGATGGCGCGGAAGAAGAGGTTGGCCGAGTGGAGGAAGACCACCACGCCGGCGCATCCCAAGATTAACAACTCCAACATCTCGGTGGTCTTGATCTTCTTCTTCTTCTTCTTCTTCTTCTTCTCGTCTTCCTCTCGCGGATTTGGAGAAAGGAAGGAAGACAGAGACAACGACGGGGAGGCCTTGAGACCGTTCGAGCAACGAAAGAGAGAGCGAGGTGGGGTTTGTTAGGCCGGTGGGTTTATTTAACGGGCCGAGGCCGTTGAGGAGACAGCGGAGCCCACCTTCCCTTCCGTAATTATTCTTAGGTCAGTAATTTATGTTTTTACCCGTTTAAATTTACATTTAGCAACGAATCAAAATGATTGGTAACAATTAATGAGAATATATTTTGTACTTTAATTTTTTTTTGAAACCTATTAACCTTATTTGAACTTATTACCAACTTCATGTATTAGTCAAATATATAAATGAATGCATTAGACGTATTTTCCATCGCACGTATCATCTCAAAGGTGTGCTCGACGGCCCTCAATATTGTTAATTTGATTGTATTTGTATTCAAGTAGGGCCATAGTTTGGAGTCGAACTATGTTTGGGTACTACATCATATTAGACGATTCTGAAGCCCACAGGCTCAGTAGCATTCGGACTGCAAATTTTACCCAATTAGTTCGAATAACAAAGAAAGCAGTGACATTCCTAAAATAGGCGAAACAAAATGCAACAATTATAACTCAAATACAAATAAAATGCCATTCCATCGATAGATCAGATCGGTTCGGTCTTCGGAATAAAAAATGATGAACTAAAACATATTAAACCATAAGAACTCGCAGGTCTCGACAAACGAAAATAGCAACGCTAGGGATCGAACTAAAGAAGGCTAGATGGGTTTAGAACCTGAGCTTCGTAAAGAACCACCGGTTCTTGCCGGTCTAGAAGCGCTCCTCGAGGCGAGCCTTGGTCTCCTCGCAGGCGGCGACCTTCTTATCGCGGGACTGGAGTCGAGGGTGACGGCGTCCTTGAGATCGACGTCGAGTGTGTAGCGGGTGGGCATGATGTGGCTGAAGTTGACCAGCTTCAGGAACGCCTTAACGCGCGACTTGTTAGCCGTCTTCTTCGCCGAGTCCTTACGGATCACCTTCTTCGGGTACTTGGCGATGCCGGCCACCAAGCAGTGCCCATAGGCCCGATCCCGCGTGCCGTCGTCGAAGGCCCGCGAACCGGCCCTGCAGGACGATCACCGCCTTGTTCGGCTTCAGAAACTTCACCATGGTCCTCGTCTCCCCCTCCTCTCCAGACGGCCCCGACCGATCCGAAGCCGCTCTCTTCGCTGCCGCTTGGAACCCTAGGGAGACAAGGAGAAAGGCTTTTATATGGAGCGCGAGAACGGGTTGGCGCCGGAGAACAGTCGACGTTCGACTCAGGTTTGATTTGGGTAGGCGGTGAAGTTACCTCCTAAGTATTGATCACTGTGTGATGATCGGTCTCTCCACCTCTCATCTCCTCACCCCACGACCCCACTTTGTTTGCTACAAAAACGGGATTCAGTAACCCTGTTAAATGAGTATAACATTATTATACTAATGTCTTAATTGGCTTGAGACCATACATACGTCTTATAAAAATTATAAATCATTTTTATTAAAATAATTTATGCCTGCTAAAATATATTATGATTATCCGATTAAAATATCAATTCAAATCCAATCGATATCTTATTTTATACCTATCTCAATTTAGTGGCGAAATAGATTGAATCCACGCGATTTTGAGATGTATTGAATCTTGTAAGAATTATATCAAATTAGTTTTAAAGATATGAAGTTGATTGAATATTGAATCTTTAAATATTATATGTAATAAGAGTTGAGAACAAATCAAAAAATATTTTATAGTGGAGTTGTAGGGCTAATAAATACCTCAGCTATTCCTGCATGGAGTAGCAAGAAAGGTGATAAAAAATTCTATGTTTCTAAAGTTGAAAACTTCATCTTAATGTTTAGAGACTAATGCTAACGGAGAGTGTGAGGGAAGCTTTGTAAAAAGGGGTCGTAAAGGTTCTCTCCTGAACTTGTCAAAAGGAGAATCGAGTTGTAATGATAGTTGATCTTCACCCGTTGAAGGAAGATCGTTAGTGGATGCCGGTGGCCTCGACGGAAGAGAAATCGATAGAATAGATATATGTCATTACTATCGAACCCCTAAAAGGGTATAATGTCACATCAAATTCAAAAGGGTGTAATGTGATTATAAATATAATTATAACATCTAAGAGATAACATTATATCGATCAATTGAAACTTAGGTGTTGGAGTTACTTTGTAGTGTAGTGACACTAAGGAATCTTATTATTTATATTATTTTATATTATAAATAATATAATGATGTCATTGTTATTTATATTAATATGAAAAAAAAATTAACTATGATTAGATTTAGTTTATTATATATAGAGAGAGATTTACTAGAATTAGTGAGAATTGGGGTAGGTTTTATATGAGATGTGAATCCATGGCTATGTGTGGTATGAGTTGTTCACCCACTACCCATTTGTCCAACCTAAATCTCAAATCCAAGCAACTGTTCCATCGGAGTCTCTCATGTTAGATTTGGAGTTAGTAGGCAACTTTTACTTCGTAATGCTCGGAATTTTAGAATGTCTTCACTTTTAGTCGATCAAATTGATCATTTCAGCTGTTCTAATATTATTTCTTTTTGCGTGCTATTTTAATCTCGATTGGGTTATAGTAACAAAAAATTGGCTTTAATTTTAAGTAACTTATTGCGGAAAATATTTAATACATACGGCAAAAAACCCGCCTATTTATAAACCGTCGGTGCCGCATTCTCTCCGAGGAAGGGAAGAGGAGAGTTCTCTGTTTTCTTGCTCCAAAGCTCCGATCTTTCTGAGGAAACTTTGAGGGAGGAATGGCGGATTCCTCTCTTTCCCCTCGGCCCAGTCACTTCCTGTTGGGATCGTCGACGTTGGACGAATCGTACAGGCCGCTGCCTTCGCTTTACCTTGCATTCCTGGTGATTTGGGCCCTCTCCGCCTTCTCCTGGATCGTCAACACCTGGAGGAACCGGTTTGTACAGGTTCGTCGGATTATTTTCTTTCGTTTCAGCAAAAAAAGATTCCTTCTTTTAGGACTGCCCTGTTTCTGTTAATGTCTATGAGTATTTCTGATGAGTGTTTTCCGTTGTTTGGCGCTCAATTTTTCGTTCGGTAAAGGGAATGTGATTTATTATGTTTTGTATAAGAATTTGTTGACTTCCAATGATTCAGTCGAGGATTTGGGTATTGCGCAAAGTGAGTTTTCTATGTTTAGGAGAAACTCAGTCCCTTTTTTGGAATTCGAAATTGAAGTTCAAGCTCTTTGCGCAGAAAATGCAAAAGATTTGCAATCGCATGAAATGATATAGAAGAAAAAAAAGAATTGCAATTGTACTTTTTCCGGAACTGTAACTGCATACATACATATATAGGTATTCAAAATGAAAGAATTCTAGCGTGTTTGTTTGACGACAACGCTGCCTATTAGCTCTTTTAGGGTTTCCTAGAACAGTAATTTTTTATGATAATTTTTCCTTATTTTTATTACGGCAGACAAACAAACTGCAGTGGATGTTGGCTTCTGTTCCGCTTGTTAAGGTTCTGCAGCTGGCCCTTTCATGTTCATTTTGGTGAGTTCCAGAGGCAAGTTTCCCATTGCCGGTTATTACAATCTTTCTAGCTATCTTTGTCTTGGATTATTCCTTTTGAGCTTTGTAATATTATTCAAAATTTGCCTGTTTGATGGGTAGGGATCCTTTATCTCAAGCTGGGGTTATCCCCTACATCCCATGATAATTATGGGTCAATATTGCATTATTCCTTAGATCTATTCTGCAGCTAATTAAGATGGTCCTACTTATTTATATGTAACGACTATTATGTAAGAGTTTTGGACATGTTGAAATTATGCTTTAAAAAATAAAAAAGATGCATTTGACCTTCTGTCTTTCATCTTATAATGTCCTAAGTTTCAGTTAGTTTGGAGCGAGAATAATTTGTTGATGATGTTTTCAGTTTGAGCTTTCAGAATACTGTAGATGCAGTTCATGCACAAGAACAGCATCTACAGACAGGTTCTGATTTTGTGTAACATCCAATTGGTTGTTTACAACTTTACATAATGCTTGCTGCAGTATATGTTTTGATAAGAGGAGTGCATCTTAATGAACATATTTAAGTTCACTTTTGAAGGTGTTGGTCATGACCAATTCTTCTTGGACATTGTCAGGAACATTATAAAACAAAGATGTGTATCTGGTCTTAACCTTAATTTCCTGCCAAGTTAATACATTTATGCATAAATATGAATTTGCCATTATATGATCCATAAGAGTTTGAGAATTGACCTTTTATCTAAACCTAATGTTCGCCTTTTTAATGAAGTGAAAAAGAAGTTGCTTAATGAAATCTAGGTTGTTGATTGGAAAGGTAAACTAATCTGGCTATGGCATCACACTGTTCTGTTGGTTCATCGGTCCCTCCCAGTTATCTTTGTCATGTGCCAGTTTCCTGTTAAGTCAAATAGAATAGAGAAAATCAGGTTACTCTAATTAGTAAATAGTACCACCCTTTTTATATGTCCATCTGTCTCTGCATAGAATTTGCAAAAAAGAGGAAAGAACTACCAGCGGAAATGATGATGTCCAACATATTTCATATTTAACACTCCATGTAAAGTTTGGCTTTGTCATATTGAATGAAGATCTTCTCGTGAGCATTAACGTTTGAGTGTTTCATGCAGGTATTCTTGCATAAACCTTCAAATATGTTCGTTGTGGATGTCCTTTGGGGTGTATGTAACTGGAATACTCTTTCAAACATCCTCTTTTGTCTCATTTATGCTCATCTCTCATGGTTATTGCATCATCTATGAGCGCCTTTTGGTACGTGAACGACGTATAACTGCTGCATTGGGTTGTATACTCTACCTGACCCTTGTTGGCTATAAAACTGCTGTGCCATATTTCACAGTTAAGTATCCTTGTCACAATCTAGTGGATCAAAGACTTAACTTTCATTAGTGAGGATCTAGTAATAGTTTGAACTTTGAACTACCACATCTGACAATTAATTGTGATAGTTTGTTTTTCTTGTTTATTTATGTTGATGACCGAATTTGTATTCAAAAGTTTACTAAGCGGAATGCAATACAGGTATTTCTTGTGCTGGCTTACTCTTTATCATTCTACATGATCTTCCACCACATCTCCCACAGTCTGTTAGTTCTACGCGAACAGTTGATTTTTATCGAGGGCGAAGATACCCACACAATGCACAATGCATTATATGCTAAGTACATTATGTTCAAGTATGTCTTACAACTTCAAAGTGTTTTTGGCTTTCTGATGTCTGTAAAACAAGCAGTTGACATGTTTTTTGGTACTTCCTCCTACTGCATCTGCCTCACCAGGAAATTTCAAGGTGCAATGCAATTAGTAGCCATGTCAGAAGTTCTGGTATGAGCTGCCAAACTTTTAACTTTTGACCAGCTATTTGCTGATATCAGACTTGGAAGTTTTTATCACAAACAGCATACCTCTTGAAACTTCAGATTTATATGAATGTTGATGAGGCACTGGATGCTTACTGGTTTCGCTTGTTGGTACGCGAGTGGGCACAAGTTTGCATCTTCCTGTACATCGGGTAGGTTGAACTTGTATACCCGTGCTTAACTTGCATTCCGCAAGATATTTAAGTCGATGTTTTACATGCTGAAATTCCTAACGTGCATTTAACAACGGGAGCCTTCTTCAAGATAATTACTTGTGTGTGTAAATTGGGTTTTACTGATATTTGCAGGTGGACTTTTAGAACACAGGAAGTGTCACCACATTTCTCTGTTATGCCTGCCTTGAAGTCAAAAAAAGAGATGGTTTTGCCTCCTGTATATAGCATAGTATGATCCTCTTCTTGGATATACACTACAGTACCAGCTTATTGATTAAGCATGTTACTAGATATTGTAATTTTATGAATAATTGCATACTTTACCTCATGTAAATTTCTTTTCAAAGCCCTATATAGGATCTATAAATGCTAAAAGGCCAAAACATTAATAGTCTGTCAAAGTTCTGAAGTGTTGCATGTGGAGAAATCAACTGTTTGGCAATTTATTTTTCTTCTAGAATTGAAACTATTGTACTTTAGTTTGTTATTTTCCTCAATTTCTTTTGCAACCCTTTGCACTAAGTGATAAATTGTGCAGGAAATGAATGCTGCTGACTTCAATGACTTGGCTTCTCAACAATTGCATGTTGGTGTGGTAAGTGAGACAACTAGTTCCTAACTTTAGACTGTCATCAACTTTCAATAATATCTTAAATAAACTCCTCATGCAATTCCTGTTTCCATTCATTTTTTTCTGTTACTTTCATCCAGATCACTTCATGTAGCATAGGATACATGCAGATAATTTTTGCTTTGCTTATTCTCAATAATAGAAGTTTGACTTTGTCAACATGCAGCCAACTTCTTTTCCTTATTCCAACTGTGGAAATTCCTTTAAGCCACTGGTGGTAATAGTTCAAAATCCGCACTGCAGAAGCACTTCGCAAGATCAGCCTCCAGTAGTGCTATTAGACAAGTAAGTGTTTAACTTTAAAAGGGAAAAAAGATCTTTATCAACAGTCACTGACTAGGTGATACATCCAGTTTAATGCTATTGACAAAAGCTTGGATATTATTTTGGTCTTTTGACTTTTTACATGTGCAAGGGATTTGACCCACAAAACTAGGATCATGTAAGATATAACTTGTGAAAAGTATATTCTTGAATGATAGAAAATACATCTCCACGATGCATCACATTGTGTTCTTCAACCATCATTATCCATTTGCTCACTTGCTGTGAATAGGAAAATCTTCAGAGCAGAGGATTGCATACCACCTTTCCTTAAAAGTAAAGCCAACAGCAAAAACATTCTGTTCTGACATCTAAATGATACTTCCAAACACTATGAATAATGACAGAAGTTTATTGCATCAACATGAGCCAATAAACATAACTTCTTATTGGAAATGATTATAGTTTCTCTACAGTAAACCAGGGGACATGATAATTGAACCATAATGTTTCTCTATCTCTTTTAGGGCTTATCCAATGCACGAGGCTTCCACCAATACGGGATCTGAGAGGGGTCAATTTACACAACCTTATTTTTAAATACTCAAAGAGACTGTTTCCATGAGTCGAATCTTGATCTCTCAAGTCGTAAAGGAACAATCTTACCATTGTACCAAGGCTCACCGTTGCTTCCCTACCTCTTTTGATAGGCTTTTTTTTTTCCTAGAACTACAATTTAGAACAGGGATCATACATTTGAAATCGGCTACAATCAGCAAGCTGGCATAACTATTTTATGCTTTTGATTTTTTCAATTTTACTTCCAACTTTTCATCATTGCTATAGTTGATCCTTTTCTTTGATCTGGGATCTACACTCTTTGATGCCTTCAGCTCTTGTGAGGTTGCTGGCCTCTCTTGTCTGGTGGATTTGATTGGAGTTCTCCTTCGTAGTTGCTGCTGCCTCTTTTGCTTTCTCTCATATGCTTTCTTTGCTCTTTCAGGAGATAGCAAACCATGTTCCATCATCCTACATGTTCAGATGGAACAGCACATAATCATATTAAGCTGATGAATATCAACTAACGTAAAGGGATCATAATTCATGTCCTTTAATTGAAGATAACATAGTACATTTTCTAGTATAGAAAACAGGGGGAGCTACTCATATTGAGAGCAGAAAATCCAAACAGGTTAGTTAGAAAATCCAATTTAGACAATCCTATTGGTTCAACATATGGCTACAAAGTAAAAAAAATAACTAAAGCTGATCACCACCGAATTCTAGAAGCAACTGAAAACACTATGATTGCAGGAAAAAAATGAATTGTTGCTTTTCAGTGCTAAATACCGTAAAAGCCAAAGCAACCTGGAGAGTTATGAAGCCCTCAAACTTTTTATTTTCTTCTATAACATCTGACTAAGAAATTAATCAACCAGCATTTGCCTGTAAATTATAGCATGACACTGGAACATCATTCTTTCAACTGTTGTTGAGTTATCATTAGAACAGAGTCAAACCTAAGCCTAAATTTAAACCGAAAAAATTAAGGATTCAGCAGTTTATTGACTTGGTAAGTTAAAAAGGTCAAGTACTTCATGAGGGTGCTGCCATCAAGATCTTTGTGCAATTATGTATGTGTTTCACTTGTTATTATTCCCAGAGAATGTTTCCACAAAGAGTGGCTGTGATCATGGTTTTTAAAATTTGGTCTCTGTGCCTCGACTGATGTCACTGGTTATACGATATCTCCTCAGCCGGTACTTGCCAAACGAAAACAGAATTTACTAGAGTTAACTGAAAGAAATCAAAATCGACGAGTTATAAACCAGATTACAAATCCAGACCAAAACTTATCATTGTAGATTGTACACTTCAATGGTAAAAACAACAAAGATTCCTAAATGAATATTTTTTACCTTTGGTCTTATGGCGAAGTTAGAATTATTTCCTAAAAATAATCTAAGAAGGATTGTACAAGTAGAAGATATATGCTGTTAGAAAGGATATAAGTGTGAAGGTAATAGGAGAAAGATCAATACAATATGCTACTCATCAAATTAAACACAACCAAAGTTTTGTTAGATGCAGAAATAGATAAAAACTTCCATATTTTTCAAGTTTTACAGAGAACATATACATATATTTTGCAACAATATATAATCTGCTGACTGTTTGAAACTTTTAGAGTAGATGACATAAATTGATTCATGTCTCCCACAGAGCCTTTTTCCAAGTCTTACTCATATAAGATCAGTGACCGATTTTAATTGTTGATACTTTATCAACCAATTGGAGCATTCAAACTACCCCACCCACAGTGTTGAATGAAGATCCGGTTCCGACATTTAGCCATCGCTGCCAGGAAACTTCAACTCTCTTAAATGGACATAAAGGACGTTTGAAGAAATCATCTAAGATATCCTACGAGTCCTAGTTCAAGAATTTAACCAAAAATATGATGGATGGATCTTTATAACATTCAGCAAATCGACAAGGCCCATCCTCCAAATATTCTCAAAGGGCAAGTAGGATATCAACCGAGAACAGAAAAGGAAAGAAAACTAACTCAACTTTGTTTAACTTTGTCACGTTATAACAGATACATGAACATTATATCGAACTGGGAAGAACTTACCAAGATTCTGCCATTTCGCTTGACGGAATTTGCTCTAATAAGGATTCATAGAACATCCTCAAGGGTTCTCTCTGACAAAAACCAATCAAGCACAGGGTGTGAAACCATTATATGACCTCACCAAACTCCACCAACCTATTCTAAGATGAAATATCTTTTACAAGTTAAATACCTCTTCAGGGATGTCATACTTCTGACCAGGCAAGGAATACACTTTCTTCTGAGCTTTCACTCTGCTTGTTTTAGTAACAGTATTTGATGAGCTTGTTATCTTCTTCCCCTACACATTTATCTCAAAATCAAATTCACAATAAAAAAGAAGCAACAAGATTAAAGATAATTCTACAATTTGCTTGCTAAGCATGGATCCAAGGATGTCAATCGTTTGCCTTTGCACTAAAAATCTTAACAAGAAGCAGAAACGAAAGCAAGCAAAATGCTTGAGACCATCCAAAACCACTCCATCCACTCTAATAGAACATGGAAGAACAGAAACCAAAACAATCCAATTCAAGATTGGCTTCTTAGAAGGCAAGGGAGATAAAACGCCACAGCAAACTGAAAAGACAAAAGAATGCAGATAAGGCAAGAGATCAGAAAGTGTCTAGAATTCCACATAAATCAATCAGTTGTCACCTCCCAAATTCCGAACAAACAAATAAAATATCACGTTTTGGAGCCACAAATCAACTTTGATTGTAAGGGTTAGTCCACAAAATCGAATACCTTTGTCCAAACCTGGAAACTTCAGCACAATCTAACAAAAAAGCTCTAATCCGCGAAGAAGCCGTAAACGACCAATCATTGTAATTCCCCCCACAAAATCGAACCTTTTCTTACCTCCGGTTTAATTACAACGTTGACGGGTTTCTTCTTAACGATCGAGACCGGTTTCCCCGATCCATCCACCTTCTTCTTCACTTCCGCCACGGCTGCCCCTTTCTCCTTCGCCGCTCCGCCGCCGCTCAACTTTATCGCTCCCGACGAAGTCATCGCTACCAATCCGACGCCACTGAACGCTCTCGTCGACCTCTCCGCCGACCGAGAAGGAATGAGAAACAAATCCGAATTTGCGGTCGGAGAGCAACTGAGAGGCTCAGTCAAGTGCCTCCTCCCTGGAGCTCGGCGCCGCCTCGGAGGAGATGCAACCAAAGGATATGGACCCAGCAGTGCTAGATTGCGCCCGACGTGGTGACAAGATGTTAACGTGCGCCGATTGGGCGTGCGAGAGGGTAGTTTAGTCATATCACATGTTGCCGAATATAGGCTTCTTTTAATGGTCTCTTATCCGTATCGAAAGTACGTGGGCGGCAATTGGATCTTCCGGTTGAAACACCAAGCAGGGAAATAGACGCTTCCCGAGTTGTCCCATACTCCGGAAGTTGTACCGTGAATGTCACCTCACGTCCGTCGCCATCAACGAATGATAATTCGCGATTTCCTGTCTGCTGAATGGGCTGAGACCCAGGAGATGCGTGCTTCCGTGGGAGAAAGATGGGTACGGATTCAGTCTGACCCGGATCCGAGTACTTCGGGTTGAATCTATTTCACATTTAAAGGCTTCGGACCAATTACGAGAATTACCAACTCCGACCTTATACGGGCTCGGATCTGCTTATTTGGGCTTCAGCTCAAGCTGTTAATGGCCCGTAACGAAGATTAGACCCAGACCATTCATCTCAAATCATTGGACGGTTAAGATCACGTCCAAATGTTGTGATTCCTTCACCATCCTTCTCCGCGAGCCGCAAGCGCTGTCCTTGGACTTCACCGCCGTCGAAGCCCCCCTCGGTAGCCGCCGTGTTCCTCTGCGGGCTTCCGCCCACAGGACCTATATCTCCCGTATCGTCTTCTGTTGCGACGTCAACCCTCACCTCTCTGATGTCCTCCCGCCTTCCACTCCTCTCCGCAGCCGCCACCTGCATCAGCAGTTGATCTTCTTGGAAATAGGAACTTTCCGTCTTCCCTTCTCGTTCACTTGCAACTTTAATCGCGGCCGATCTACCGAGAAACTCTGACCATGAGCTTTTTAGGCTGAGACAGCTATCAACGGGAGGAAATCCTTGCGCGGAAAATGAGTGCAGGTTTGCTTGTTTTCATCCATTCTCCCCATGAATTTTCTTTTCGTACATTCTTATTCTTTTCAGGATATTAAGGTCATAAATTTTCATCAAGAAGAAAATTATGAATTTTGAGGGATGGGGTTAAGATCCCAAATATACATTTGGTTTCTGTAAAGATTTCGCACGACTTCATGTTTGGAGTTATCGATTTCCCTGCATTGCAGATATTGTTCCAAGGATTCTAAGGAATTCGAACCACATTCTAAGGAAACTGAACATAGTAGAACAAATCAGTGCAACACTGCAGGATATGGCGAGGGTTAGTTGTATGCAACTTATGTTTTGGAAGTAGTATCTATCATGATAACGCACGATGTTCACATCGCATAAAAAAGTTCATCAAGCTTCCAAAATTATACGCTTGAAGTTTCCATCCTTTTTTAAAAGTTTCTCTATAGGAGAAGATTAAATGTTTCTCACGTATTTCTTGTGAGATGATTATATGTTTATGTCCTATGCTCATCTTTCGATTGATTGATTCAACTATTTTGTTATTAGCACACTATCATGTTTTTATTGGCTTATTGGAGATTACAGAATATGAACACCTGCATATCATGTTTTCATTGGCTTATGGTACCACTCTCAGCCTAATTGCGTTTCTTAAAGTTAATTAATTTTATGGTTTCTTTGTGAAGGGGAAGTGTAGGTGGACATGATATCAGCTGGGGATGGGGAGTACACCCGCATATCATACAATTCTGATGAATCGTATAATTGAAAAATAATACTATCTTAAGAAACTTATGTTTTAATGAAGTGAATGAGTGAGATATCACTATGAGCAGCAGCTGATTTTTGCAAATTGTTTGCTAGAAATGTGTATTGATATGATAAGGGATATACAACATTAACTAGTTTTGAGTTATGCATATATAAGTGTATATCGTGTGCCTTATAACTGTAGGTGTACCTTAAGAATTGCTTTGAGCCCTTGTTTTTCATGTCGTTCTGTACAAATTTACTAGTGTGAGAACATAGAACTACAGGAATAATTACCAGGTGCCTATAGATGTGCACGAAGAGAATCTTTATCTTTTCATTTTGGTTATGGATAAACTTATTAATCATATTTAGGATAAACTTTCGAGTTATATATTATTTATTGATGATGTTGTTTTGATCAATAAGAGATTAGTTGAGAACAAACAGAATAGATGAAGTGTATCTTATGCCATACCAAGAGAAGAATCTGGAGGATAGTTAAGGTAGACAGGTACAAAGATCTTTGAAGTAAAATTATAGATATTGTTAATCCATTTTCAAATATCTTATAATGTAGCAATATACCCAGTCCATGATGTTCTTTTCCAGCATTTATGAAATGTTGCTGCTTTGCTTATTTATGCAAAATTTTCTCATTTTATCCTGATTGATTATGTCACAAATTCGGCACAAATTTACTAGCAAAATTGCGCAATGAGACCCTACTTTTAAGTTTTAAAATGATTTTAACAGGTGGAGCATTTGGTGGAAATAGAGGAGCAAGACCAGTACCTCCTGAAAAAGGTGTATTTCCTTTAGATCACTTGCATGAGTGTGATTTGGTAAGTGAATTATAAGCTTATTGTACTTCCTCGTTTTTCATCATACTAAATTCCATATGATTAGGACGATTTAGTTTCTATTCTTGCATATAGATAGGACTAAGATTACAGTTTGACTCTTTTATACAGGCGAAGAAAGAATATATTGCTTGCCTCAAATCATCAGGCTACCAATCAGAAAAATGTAGGCACTTATCAAAGAAGTACTTAGAATGTCGAATGGAAAGGTTTGTGTGTGTTGATTTCAGCCATCATCTTGACATTATGATATATTTGCAAAAGACATGTTATGAAACAATAATTAATAAAAATAAAGTCTTGGCAAGTAAATTATCATTAAATGGACTTTTGCAGTCATAAGAATTAGCATGGTTGATTAGTCATATGTCTGAAGAAGTCTGTTATGCAAATTGCCCAATCCTGCGCTCTTATAAGAGTATCATTTATGTGTCAATATAAGACAAATTTTTCAATAGGGTTATACTCTACTTTTATGATGAAGGCAGAGGACACCATATCAATCTTATCCTCTTCTTAACAGTCCCATTTTTCTATTTGAAAATATGAGGTCATTAACGGTCAAATAAATATTAGTGACATCTAGCTTCTGTTGATTATTCTTGGATTATTTAGGTGAGATTTGTATATTATGGTGAACAACGAACCAGTGGATTGAAGTCGTTTTTGTTAATTGCTCTCATTATGATAAGAATAATAATATCCATCTATGCATTACCCTTGAGCTTCAAATGTCGTTAAAGTTAATTATTCTCGCTTATTGTAAGAGTAACAATATCGAGCTATGCATTACCCAATATTAACTAGGAACTTCTTAGTTTTAGCTACTTCATTTATGTTTGTCTTTCTATTGCCATGATGCTCAAGTGTTCTGAAACAGACAGGTAAAAAAAATTGACAACATGCAGATATGTTCATCAAGATCTCCAATTTCTTTTCTCACAACTTGACTATCTAATTCTGCCTGTTCTTTTCAGAAACTTGATGGCTAAACAAGATCTATCTGAGCTTGGCTTCCTCAAAGACCGCGGAACAGCTACATCTGAAGAGAGCACCAGTGGAGGTCAGCCCAATCCCTCACCTGCAAAAAAGACCATAACTTCTTGAAGGTGTGATCTGGTCACAAATGGATTTTTCTGATTCTAGATTTGCAGCAAGAATACATGTTTAGAAATGATAAAGATGGCTAATAATTTGGTTCAATTGTGTATTAACTATTTTTACTGGATCACTGATGTCTCTTTGATCTTTAATTTCAATATGTTTGGTAATTCCGAAAAATCTAGCAAAGTGCCTCCAGATTGGTGGTTTAGGATGAACGGTATGACTTGACTATTAGGTGTCTGTTCTATTTGGACCTCACTGACCATCATATATAGTCCTTTACTGTATCTGATGTGACATCTAATTCTTTAAACAGGTCAACGACTACGTAAGATGATACGGACATCTTTAGCTTCATGCTTCTTCCAATAACATCTACTGGTCTCGTGTTGTTCGCTTCCTCTCTTAGCTTTTGGTACTGTCGCAGACACATGCTCTGCTACCGTCATCTTCCTCTCACTCGCGTACGTCAGCCTTCTATTTGAAGTTTCTATATATATATGTTGTTGACGTTCGAGTCCAAATCTTTACCATTATTAGTAAGCATCTTTTAAAATCTAAAAAATTGCTTATATATATATTATGCTGAGTGATTTTTAGTTTTAAAATTATAAAAATATTGAATTTTTAAGAATATCAGGAATATTTTATGTACAATTTTTTACTTATTAAGAGTTCATCTTCGTATGAATCAATGAATGGAAGTAATTATTCAGTACGTTTAGTTTAAATAGGCTGCGTTTTAATACGTGAATCAATACGTAACTTTTAACACCTGCGTTACGCTCAATGCAAAATCCAGCAAACCTTAATCCAACTGACATCGACGGCCCCAACTCTTTCGTGACTCAAATGGACGGCCAGGATTCTCTCCCCTCAACTACTAACCTTCCAAACTCAATCTGAACCGTCTATCTCCTTCAAGATTCCCATCGATAGTTCTTTAAGTCGCAGTTTTTTAGCGGGAAGGCCTGCAGTTCTTCGACGTGCAGCTCCGACCGTCCGATCTCCGATCAAGGTCCATCGGATCAACGTGCACGCGATGCGATGCACAAACCTCGTGATATTTGATTAGCCCTCACTGACTTCCATGCGTAACTCAAAGAGTAGTTTAATTAATATGCCCATTGCTTTATCGAATCTGACGGCGGAGAACCAGACATTCCGACGTCTATGAATTTTGGCCGTCGGATCAGTTAAAGAGTTGGTACCCGTCTGATTATTTCTTAAACTTTAATCTGTCCGTCAAATATCGGAATTTGATTTCGAAGCTGAGAGGAGAGAGAAGCTGTTTAGTTTCCTCCGTTCGTCTTCCCCTCCTCCTGTACTCGAAAATTTCCCGCATCCGAATAGAGGACCTCGCGCTCTCCCCCGCCGCTGCCCCCTCGGCGGATCTCGATCCATTGATTCCCACTCGCCTCCTCCCTCCACGCCCCGCCCCTGCAGGGCGTTGCTTACTCCGACCTGCTTCGGCGATCTCCCTGCCTTCGCCGCTTGATCTGAAGGGGGCGAATTGGTTGAAATCTGAGACGGCGATGGAGAGCTTGGTTGCCGCCGCCGGGATCTGAATCTGCTGAGAGCAGTCTTTGGCGGTCTCCGTCGTTCGATTCTTGAGCCGCCGATCCGACAGCTGCGATGGAGCAAGGGAATCGATCTGCTTCGACGGCGTCGTCGCCTGATTTCCCTCAGAAGAAACCCGTCCGCCAGCTGGATTTTACGGCCGCCATGTATCGAGGGGCTACACCTCCGGCAGCTGCCACCGTGGGCCTCGAGCAACCGCCACAGCAGCAGCAGCACCCGCCGCCACTGCCGATGCCGGTGCCGCCTCAGCTTCCGGTCTCTCTCCCCTCAATTCCGTTGCCCACGTGAGTTCGTATCTTACGGTTATTCGTGTTTCTTGAATCGTTTCGGAGTCTCATGTCTTTTCTTCTCAGGTGATTGGCTAGGTTTTCGTGCTAAAGTTGCTTTCCTTTTGTTTTAACTGTGGGTATTGTACTCGAGGGTTTAGCACGAGTAATCCTAGTTTCGGGAGTATTTCCCCTCTCTGCCGTGGAATAACTCGTGTTTGATGCCACTGTTGTGATTCACGAATTGGTTGCTTTAATCCAATTCGAAGATTTAGATAGTTCAAAGCGTACTTTTTTGTTTGACATATCTTCTTGTTTTAGTGGGCGGCGACACTCAAAGCTTATTGTATTTGAAATGAATTTTCTGAAGTCCTTTTTAAATTCTTTAATAACTCTGGTTGATAAATTCCTATTAGAGTATCATAGACGAAAATTGTAGGGTTAGAGATCTTTTATAGCGGGTGGAATCTCTGGATTTGAAAGACCTAGAGCAAATGTTTAGTTTCTTTCCCTTTAGGCTTCTTGCTTCTTGGGGAGGGTCATGTGAAGTCTTAGAACATGTGTTTTTCTAGGAATGTTATCCATATATGATCTTTTGTTTTTCTCAATCTTTAAATATCGAGCAATGTCATTCTTGGTAACCTATGGTGAACCTTTTATCTTTTCCTAGAGATACACTACCTTCGTTATGGAACCACAGTTTATTGGTGAATAGTTTGGCATAAGTCTCTAATTTGCCCTTTGTCTGTTCCAGTGAGCAAGAGTCCCTGAAGAAACGGCTACGACCAATGTATGAAACGAAAGATGGCACTCCTAGAACGAAGAATTGCAACTGCAAACATTCAAGATGTTTGAAGCTGTAGGTCTAATGGCATCAAATTATAGTTTTTTTTGTGATTAGTCTCTTAATACCTTATTTGTCAGATTAGTGATAATTGTTGTTTACTTACACGATTAATACATTTTAAACTGGATTGTGTATGCAGTAACCTAAACCTAACTATTTGCTAGCATAATTAGTTGTTCAAAATAGTCTGCAACCTTTGATGTACTTATCCTGCTTTGTAGCATACTTTCTATAGTTTTAGTCAGCTGATGAGTCTTTTTGGGAGGGTGAAGCTGCATCTTTGTTAACCAGCTGACTTAATTTTGGTCACTATTGAGTTAACATGTCCCATGATGACTTGCCAAAGCTGAAGTAGAACTTTATGGAAACAAGATAAGAAACCTTTTCTAGTTCAAATGTTTTAAATGCTACAATTAGTTTTATATGAATATATGCCTGCAGATGGCTAAATATCTTTGGTGATGGGTAACGCAAATTGCTAAACTAGGACAAGACACGGTTACTTAATAGTTTGTTTGTTTAATTTTGCTTTGCCAAACTTCAACCAACAATATCAACTAGAAACCCAGAAAGCCACCTTGAAGATTTTAGTTTCAGTGCTGGTCACTGCAATATGAAATAGAGACCTACTCTCTTGCTTATATGTAGTTGACAGTCGATGACTTAATTTGTTTGTGCTGGGACATACATGCATCATAATCTTACTTTTTTCTCATTCAACTTCTTTTTAATAATCTAGATTCTGTTATTGACTGCTGTTTCAAATATCCTTATGTGGATGGGATACAAAGAGTTGAAGCTCAAATCAACAAAATTGACGAACCATTAGGTTTACTTCATAAGTTCTGGTTGACATTTGTTTGTATGAAACGATTTGGAAATGTTAAGAGTAATTCTGCATGATATAGTTTCCAAATATTGTTTTCCATGCAACTTATTCTTACATTACTTTTGGCATGAAATGAGTGGAAAATATTATTCTAATGACTGCGTGACATTGACATACATCTTTCTGTTAATAAAATTAGAAACTTATGTAATTTAGAAGACGAAAAGGCAACGAAAACAGTAAACAAGTGTATTAAACAAAAGATTCCAATTATATATCAATTGAAGAATGAAATGCAAGAAAAGGAATAAACTATTTTGTATGTGGCAATAGAATGAATACTTTTGGCCTACATTCTGGCATTTGATGGATTTCATTATGAGCTATAAATTCAGAAATAGTAATGCCTACAGGGCTGATTTTGGTTAGTTAAGGGATGATGCAATGAGAACATTATGTCACGTGGCCACCAAGTTCCAACTTTACCGATAGTTTTATATGCTAGGAATGAGTCTGATTATATTAAAACATTAAAGATGCATGTTAAATTGAATTCAGCCTTCTTTACATCAATCTGATTATATTTTGGGCTTCCTTCTGCTTTTTGTTATGCATCTTGATAGAGTAATTTTCAGTCAAATGGCTGACTTTATAGTTTTACTTATCTCTTCATGTCATGTCTGTTTATTGTTCTCTTTCATTCACATTATGCATGGTTAGGTATTGCGAGTGTTTTGCATCTGGAGTATACTGTGATGGTTGCAACTGTACAAACTGCTGTAACAATGTCGAAAATGAAGCTGCTAGACATGATGCTGTTGAGGCTACGCTAGAACGCAATCCTAATGCATTCAGACCAAAGATTGGCAGTAGCCCTCATGCAACTAGGGATATTAGGGTATACTTTCATTCTTATGTTGAAACACATTACATTAACCTGGCTAATTTGTTTTCTGAGATACATTACTATTTACATTCTCATTTTGAACGTTCCTGATCCATATGTAGTTCTGTGTTTGATGAATGTTATATAGTAGTAAGATATGAACTGTGAACCTTTGTACGAGCGTTCTAAGTAATGTGAACTCCAATGAAGCAAAACTACATTCATGGTTGATATGGAACTTCATTCAGCTGCTCCAAATGTAACGTGAGTTGTAGTGCTTTCAAGGATCTGATGACAAGATCAACAAATTATAGCCACAATGCCAAACACATAGGAGTGGATCAAGTACCATAAGCAAGGGAACATATGTCCATATCTGTTGATGAACCATCTTAGTCTAGTTCATAGGTACCTCTGGTACGTATTTCTGGAAGAATGTACTTAATGGAAGAATTGTGCAAGTAGAATCACTTGGTAATTGTTAATCTTGCGAATTCCATCAGTTTCTAATGAATCAGTATCACAGGAAGGTCAGCTGATTAGTCTGACATACTCTATAGAGCTCAATTACAAATTAAAAATGAAGGCTATATGGAAAAACTGAGTGGAATTCATGATAATTACTTGAAGATATGTATAATATTTATTTTATCAGCTTATCAAAAACCTTTTTCTAAATCATTAAGAGGAGAAAAATGATTCTTCCAATAGTTCACCAATAATCTGGAAGCATATTGTAGGAGCCTTCAAATGGTAAATCTGTCGTGCATGTCAAATTTGTCCATAGCCCAAGAATAGGATGATAACCTTGAGCAGAAAGTCAGCTTTTAAATTTATTCAACAACTAAATGTATATTTTCTGATCCAAAACAGACGTGTTCTGGAAGCTTTTGGGTGACATACATGAGAAACTAATAATAGCCTTTACCATCTTTATTTCTGAGGTAAAATCATTCACTGGTTATTTATGCCTTTACCATAGTCTTGTGTGCTATAAACAGTGTATCATGTAAAATTCATGGAGCTATGTTTTACCATAGGCTTGTGTGCTATTTACCATAGTTTTGTGATTATTCTGAAGGTAATTTTTGTTCAAAGTTTGGTTCTATTGTTTGACTGATTCACTTTAACTGTCTTTGAACATAGATTTAAGTTTTGGTTTATGGGAGGAAGTGGTCAAACCAAAGTTTGAATATTTGTCTGTTGATCACTTCAATTCGACCCCTCAAGCTGGTGAGAAACTTTGACAGACAAATTAAGAAAAGTCAGAGAGTATCATGTAAAATTCATGGGGCTATTGGTTATCTTGGAAGCTAATGTTATACTGGTCTTGCTGTTAAATTCTTACAGTTAAAAAGTAATTGTTGGAGGTTCTCCTTCCTCATCTACGGTACAATGTATGCTTTCTCCTAGTTTCATGGTCATGGGATTCGCTCATTGTTATAAATTTCTTGATATTTTTATTTTTGTTAATGTATTGCTGCTTTTCTTCTTGTTACTCAATTGTTGATGTTTAAACATTTCTAGTTTATTGCTCTATGAAGCAAGGAGGATAGTTTGGTAGGTCAGTTATAGTACATGCACTATTTATTTATTAAGGTGTCTGCTGATCATCTCTATAAGCACTAACTTTCCCTTTGTTATTATTGAAATAGGTATGATATGTATGTTTTTTTGGATAATCATTTCTGATTCTTTTTATCTTTTACTCCGTCTTTCATGACTGAGTAAAATATTCATGTGGCCGACCCTAAATAGTTAGAACTAACGGTTTTATTATTGTTGTTGTTTTACTTAATCTTTCATCATGTTGTGGCAGAAAAATAACCTCAGTTTTGGTCTTTTTTTATCTTCTTAATACTAAAAATTCAATACATGGTATGCATGCATGTATATTTTCTCAGATGGGGGAGGCATTAGTTTCTTCACATATATCTTATTCTAATATCAATGTGCTATTGTGTGCTAGGATGAGGTAGGAGAGCTTTTGGTAGGAAAGCACAATAAAGGATGCCACTGCAAGAAGTCCGGGTGCCTCAAGAAGTACTGCGAGTGCTTCCAAGCCAATATTCTCTGTTCTGATAACTGTAAATGCATGGATTGTAAGAATTTTGAAGGCAGTGAAGAGAGGAAAGCACTTTTCCACAGTAATCATGGAAGCACACTTTATATGCAACAGGCTAATGCAGCCATAAAAGGGGCTATTGGTCCCTCTGGGTTCATCTCTCCATCATCCAAGAGGAGGAGACACCAGAGCCTCGTTGTTGGTAATTCACTGAAGGACCGATCTATTCACAGGCTTGCACAACTCCCACAGGTGAGTTTCTGAGCTTTCACAACCTTATAAGAATTTCCATTTTATGTGGTTTTCTGTTGAGTTCTTGTATTCAGTAGATAATCAGATTTTTTTTCCTTCCAATTTCCACAATGATTCTGGGTTGGAACATTAGATAACTTGCCTGCAAAGGCTGGTCATGTTTTTCCCCAAGTTTTTTCATAAATAGCCTTTTTGTTGTGATACTAATCAACAAAGAGGAGCCACCACAAGTTGTTGTCTTTTCTGCTCGATGTTCAGAATGCATTGCCAATAAGTATTGAACTTCTTGAAATTGAAGAAGAATCAGTATTATCATCTCTTACTGTTGAACGCCCAATGATTATCAGGCTAATCACCCGAAGACTTTGATACCATCTTCTTCTTCTTTTGCTTCTGATATTGTGACCGATGCTGTAGGTCCTACTCCAGTGGTTCCTGCCAAAGTCACTTACAGGTAGAATACTACCATTGAAAGGTCCCATTCCTTGTTATCTTTAATTTGGTTCTTTTCGTTGGAGTACAACTACAAATATGTTTTGGGTTTAACTTCATTTGGTCATCATGAAGGTCTCTTTTAGCAGATGTAGTCCAGTTGGAGCATGTTAGAGATCTCTGCAAGCTTCTGGTGGTTGTATCTGGACATGTTGCCAAAACGTTTCAGGGTATGGCTGATTGAGACAAGTAGGCACATGCAGCAACCGATGCATATCTAGTTGATGCATGATGTATTGTTTCATTATTTGCAGTTTGGCTAATCTGTTTAGAGCATGTTTATCTTCACAGTTGTGCACACATCGTTGCATTCGTCGTCATAAAAAACATGGTTCATCAGCTGACTTATCTGCATCTGCTTGAATAAATATTTTTTATTAATTTCTGCACAGTTAGATGCAGCATTTTATTCTTGCATCGGTTAATTTGCAGGTCTTGAACTAGTGTATGTTCATTTGTCTTTTGTAAAGGTAAGAAGATCATAATTACTTGTGCTGATAGTAAAGCTCATATTAATCTGGTAGATTATGTCAAACTCAACTTTGATGAGAATTCTAGATTCTTTTTTCGCTGAAATATTGAAGCAAACAAATTATAGCTCTTCTTCACATATAAATGAGACCTTATTGCTTGTTGTTTTCGTTGTTTTATGCTGCATTTTTCCCACAGTTAATTAGATCCAAGTTTTCTACTAATTTGGTGTCCTCGTTGGGATTTTGATCCTATTACTGGTTCCTGAAAACTATATTTTTGTTCGGAAGAAATTCGAATTTTATGTATTTGATTCCTTGCTGAGGACAACCGTTGCAAATTCATCAATTTATTATATCTATTTGACTGTGCATCAGATATAGAATTTGAATGATAGTTTATATGTTTATGCATCAATCAAGTTGATGTTGCTAAAAGTTTTAAGTTCATTATTTCTGGATGCATGTGTTTTTATTGTGTATGTTGTGTGAACTTGTTTTCTAAAGTTAAAGGGATATTGGTGAAATTACTTGTAGGAAGTCTCGTGTGTACTACAAAGTTAACTAGTTCATTTACGAACTTGGTCACAATTGTTTTTGACAATTGACTAAATTTACATGCCAAATTCTTGCAATGTACTCTGGACATGTAGTCATTAAGTGCAATCTTGAGGGTCTCTGAATCATTAATCTTAGGTTCTTTTCATTTCCTTTCTCAATAAAAAATATTTCAGACAGAGAAGCTCAAGAGAAGGTAGTCAAGAAGGATGATCAAGTCGAAACGTGTCTTGCTTCCCCGATTCATGATGGCGAACTGAGACAAATAGACCCTAATAGTCAGTTAGCATCAGCTGGTGATGTTTCGAATGGAATTTCTGCACACAAAATGGATGCAGAAGTGCATAAATCTGACTGTGAGGATGAACATAAAGCGCAGAGGCCAATGTCTCCTGGGACACTGGCCCTGATGTGTGATGAGCAAGACACAATGTTTATGACTTCTCAACATGCTAGTACTACTCTAACATATCGCTGTGACCAGAACATTTCAGAGGTCTGTGCAGAGCAAGAAAGGTGTGTGTTGATGGAGTTCCGAGATTATCTTCGCAAGATTGTCACTCACGGAAGAATGAAAGGTAAACAAAACTTAATGTTTGGTTAAATTTAAATTACTGCTACTAACTGATTTGTGAGACCTCATTGATGACCTAGAATTTTTTTATTTTTTCTCATCTTTCTTATCTGACTCTCTCTCTCTCTCTCTCTCTCTTTCTTTTCTGCTTTGTTTTTGAAGTAAAATCATCTTTTGGTTATGCACAGTGGTATTTCTTGCTATCTAAAATTCCAGTTATCATCTAAATTTATTTGCCAACTGTAAGTTCTGTCAGTAATCTTGACCCAAAGGATTGTTTCACCACATTTCGGTTGAAGAACTAATCTTTGCATATCTTTCTAAATTGTTACAGAAGAGAGATATGCCTCCATGGCTGGTAAATCCGGAACCTCTGGTTTCCAGAGACTAGCCATGACCAGTGCTGCTGGAGCTCCAACAGTTGCTGCAGAGCCACCTGAGACTCCAAAACCAGTTATTGCCAATTCCAACAACCATCAACCTGTACGATGGCCAATCACAAGCGATGGAGACACCAAGCCAGTGGTGGTCGAGCATTCCGAAATCTAGAGAAAAAAAAAAGGAGAAAACAAATAGAGGTACATCGTTCATTAAATAACACTGCTGCATCTCTGTGTAATATTCCGACAGCAAATAGGGATGCATGCTGTTGGACGTTTAATATGACTACGCCATCAATTATTTGGATCAGCTGAATCAAGTTGTTCTTTTCCTTTATTCGCTGTACTTATGCAGTCCGTTCATTCTGCTGCAGTCCCTAATCGAAGATAGTGCTCGGTGGCTTTTAACCTCACATGTTTCTCCTTGGTCAATCCCTAATAGATCTTTTATGACGTGCTCGTAGCTAAATGGATGAGGAAAAAGAGATTAAGAGGAAAATGACAAACCTAAATCTTGGGATTTTTCAGATACTTTGCCGTTTGATTGAATCATGAAAATATTTTCTCTATATTTCGATCATCCTTATGTCTAGATTGATTTAAAGTTACATCAATGTGAACTCAAGTACACAATCGAACAGAAGAACGTCATGTAGAAATCACAATCCAAACCATGATAGAGAGACTTCGAAATGATGAAAATTTGTTATTATTATTTTCAATAGAAATCCCGGTAAGAATAAATGTCAAGAATTTGGTTTTGCCACCTGAGGCTGTGGCTCTCACACAGGTCGACGTCTCCCTCATCAATGTGGGGGGGGGGGGGGGTTGGCGATGAATCGGCCAGATCACCTTTGGCTGTTAGGTGTACTTCCCCACTCTTCCAGTCAACCTTCCCCCATCCGTAATCCGCGAAGCCAGCCTACCCTGTTTTGGATCACAGTCTCATCTCTGCCATCTCCACTCGCTTTCCGCAGGAGCACTGTGCTCGCCTCGATCAGCAATGACGTTCTGCTCAAGGTGTTTGTTGAACCACGCACTGAGGGTTGCGAATCTTGTGGTGAACCTCTGCGGCATGGCCATGATCATCTACTCCCTCTGGCTGCTGAAGATTTGGAGCCGAGGCGTCGCCGATTTGGATGCCACCGCCTCTTCCTTCCCGACGCCATGGTATGCGTCCCTAGGACGAAGACATTCGAAGACTGCAAGCGAAGTGACCTCGAACGCTTCGCGCGTCTTCTATTTACGTCTAGTTTGACGTGCCATGTGCAGGCTCTGACGCACGACTGCTTCTTCCTCTCAGGTTTATCTACACGTTGCTCGGCGTCGGCATCGTCGTCTGCTTCGCTGCGGTGGTCGGACACGCTGTGTCCAACTCCGTCAACCCCGCTGCTCTCTCCCTCGTATCCTTTTTTGTCTCTCTGTTCATCTTCCGACCCTTTCTCCGTTACATGCGCAGATGTATCCTTTACGATCTTTAGTACATCGTGTTCGTCTGCTTCATCCTTCTCTTCCAAATCGTGGTGATCGTGGAGGTTCTGTTCAAGATAGACTGGCCAACGGTAAGGCTATCTTCTTCCTCTCTTCCTCTTCCCCTTCTTCCATTGTGTTAACGCATTTCTCATCATCCATAGGTGATCTCCGGGCATCATGATGGCGACACCAAATTCGTAGCTTTCTTCACATTCCATGTAAACATTTGCCGTCTGGTTGGGGTTGTGATTTCAGCAGCACAGGTGAATTCTACACTGGAGTTGCGTAGATGAACTGGCAATCTGGATTTGTCTCACGGATGAATTGCCTGCAGGTGAATGTTCTGGTGATGGCTATCGTTCTGCGGGCTTTGAGGCCTCAATCAAGCAATCACTGTGAGGGACCGACTGTGCCTGCACTCAGATACTCGTTTCTTGTGATGAATGGATCGGACTCGCCGCCGGGCCTCCCTGCTCCGGCCACACCTCCTCCAGGAGACCACAATTGTGAGCCTGCACTGAAGATTTTTCGAGCTTCAGAAGTCAGATGGATGAGTGCATGATCTGCAAAGATTGCAACCTGTCGTAATCCAGATAACCGATGAAAAGAATAGAAGATAGAACAATTATTGAAGAAACTTTATTTAAGAAATTTTATTGAAGAAGCTTTATCGAAGAAATTTTATTGAAGAAGCTTTATTGAAGTAGTTTTAACTTGAATACATTAACATGTTCCTCTCCTATTTATACAAATTAAGAGATAGGATTTTCCTCAACATAATAGAGGATTTTCCTCAAGAGTAGAAAGCAAGCTCCTGTTAAGGATACCAATCTCTGTTGCTATTGTTGCGGTTGCGATGGCGACGAGTGTAGAGGAAAAAATTATAGCAGAGGAGAAAGTTACAGCGATGCTATAGTAGAGAAGAAAGCTGCAATAGAGGTACAGTAGAAGAGGAAGCTGCAACGATGCTACAATAGAAAAGAAAAGAAGGCTACAGTAAAAGTGACAGTGGAGAAGACAGTTGCTGTTGTCGTTCAACAGAATAGAGGATTTCTCTCAACAGAGTAAAATTCTCAATAGAGTAGAGAGATTTCCTCGTATAGTTGGGAAAATCTTATCTTCTGATCCAAATAAAACTTTAGATTCCAAGCAGCAGGAGACTAAAGACCATTGATCCACAGACCTCTCAATAAAACTATTCATGTAGGAAAATAAAGCGAATTTGTTGATTTTTTTGCATTTGTTGCCCACTGAGGAAACCAGACAGTTCTCTGATTAATCTAGCTTTCTGTGCCTGCTATATGTAATGTTGAGTTTGTACTTTTGTCTTCCCATGGAATCACCACTGTAAACTCCATCAACATTCAATAGCAGTCTTTCTATATCAATTCACTGCATTACTGGTGCCAAAAAAACAAAATGGCAGAGCAGTGCATGCTTGGAAGTGAGCTCAATTTTGTGGGAGCTGACCAGAGAACACAGGTTGCTATCGAGTACATCTAATTGGAAGAACCACTTCGGTCGATCCCCCTAGGAAAATTAAGGATCAATAATCTCAATCTGCTGCTTGATCTCAATAGATTCTTCAAGTTCTTAGTTGCATCAAAATAATAAATCAAACGAACTACAAATGAACTAAAAACATGAAGATGTGGGAATGTTTGTCAATTTTTATTTACCAAGTTTCTCTTGCTTGTGTTTTATGATATATAAATGTAGGTGACAATAAAGGGTGATAAATGGGTGAAATTAATAAAAATGTCTGTATTTTTTAAAATCCCATAAAATATAAAAACTCTTAGTCTTAGACCCTCTGGATTTTTGGATAATTATATAAATATTTAGATTTAAATGACATCAGAGTTATTTAATATGTATTTATCCAAATGTTAATTATGATTAGTAATAATTGATAATTATATTGAATTCTTTTACAAAGATGATGATATCATATTACTCTAATGAATCATATTGAATTCCTTTCTGTTAATATTATTATAATAAACTAATATGATATTCTTGTATTATTTTAAAGAAGTATGATATGATATGATCTTCCATACAAAGAATGGATTACAAAGCCATTAATTTGTGCTTTCATATTATAATAAAGCTCAAGTTATGGATTATCAGCTACGAAAACATTAATGACGCTTTACAATGGACGGTCTTGATGTGAGGATGGGAGTAATGGACGGCTCGGATTCGGAAAACAGAAGCCGTTCAAATTTGAGAGGATAACTTAGGCGAGCCAATGGACGGCTCTCCGTTGGGTTGAGCGCACAATGGAATCCCTCGGCGTCCTCCTCACCGCCCTCATCGACCCTTACCTGGAGGCCGAGCTCGACCGGCGGTTCAAGCTCTTCCGCCTCTGGGAGTTGCCGCCGGCGCAGCGGAGGGAGTTCCTGCGGGAGAACGCTGAGGCGATCCGGGCGGTGGTGGGCAGCCCCGCCCTGGGGGCGGACGCGGAGATGATCGACCTGCTGCCGCGGCTCGAGATCGTCGCCAATTTTGGCGTTGGCCTCGACAAGGTCGACCTCCGCCGGTGCCGCGATCGGGGCGTCCGAGTCGTCTACACGCCCGACGTCGTTACGGACGACACCGCCGACCTCGCCATCGGCCTCGCCATCGCCGCCATGCGACGGATCTGCGACTCCGACCGTTATCTGAGGGATGGATCCTGGAAGGGTAAAGGGGATTACAAGCTCGCCTCTAAGGTTCGGAATGAACACACTTTTTTTGTGTTAATTATATATTATCCATGAAATTAGTTATCTTTAACATTTCGATTTTTATATTTTCAAAATTTATATTAAGATCCTATACTTATGAAATAATTGATTTAATATCGTTTCTTCTTATGTCATCTAACAAGGTCATTTAGTCTCAAATTGGTTATCTATAATCAAAGACTCATAAGTTCGTCAGGTCTCCATCATCTTCAGAGACATCTTTTGGAGCTTATATGCTTCGAAAGGACAAAACTATGCGGGTATGCTCATCGTCCAAAACGGACAATTCCTCGCGAGTCTACGGGCCACACCAATGGCCGATCGACCAAATGGTCCCTTATCAGATTGGCGCTAGAGGAAGGGCCCGAGGCTTGCACCTCGGTCGAACAAACTCGTTCCCGAGCCGTGCACCTTAGCTATGACCCCTTGGCTCCCCAACGGGAGGGAGCACTAATAAGGTCATTTAGTCCCACATTGGTCGAGGAGTATGGAAACCAAGGGCTCATAAGTTCGCCGGATCTCCCTTACCCTCAGATGCGCTTTTTCGAGCTCACATGTTCCGAAAGGACAAAACCATACAGGTACGCCCATCGCCCAAAGCGGATAATTCCTCGAGCCTACGGGCCAGACCAATGGCCGACCGACCAAATGGTCCCTTCTCATCATCGACTTTATTGACAGAAATATCATAGGATTTATCGTTAAGCACTTTTTAACTCTATCTTACTTTAGTTTATCATTTATCACGGATGATATTTTTGTTAACAAAGTCGACAGCGTGAAGAGAAACGAGATTAAATGTTTCACTTTCGTAACAATAGGAATCTCAATATAACTTTTGAAAGTGTATGGACCGAGATGCTAAAGTAGCTAAATACATGGGTAATATGTAATTAGCATAACTTTTCTTGGGTTCCAATTTTCTTTTAGAACCATTAAATGATCTTTCAGCATCGTCGTTGCTTAGCATTCATCTGCAGCTAGATTGCTCGTCCCTATATTTGTTCTTATGGCGACTTGAACTAGATTGGGGGGGGAGCGATGATTTCGGGAAGATCACATGACCAGAATCTGTGGATAGAGGGAGAGGCTGTTTGAACGTGGAGAGAAGACCATGAAGTGAACATTACATTCATGCTGTTGCAACTTGTTCCTAAAAATTAAGGGCACGCTCTGCTTTTGTGACATTAAGTGCTTGTTTGCAGTTCAACGTTCCCAAATTATTGCCTTCCTCTAATGCTTTCCTATCAATATGCTTCGCTGTTATATTTGAATATAACTTCTCTCATGCGCATCTACCGTTCGATTTTGTTATAACTATCTTTGTTACTTGGTAGCTGGGTTCTATGTGCATGTTTGTGCCAATGTTTCTACTTACTTCTTAAGCACGATACTAGATGACGCATGGTTCACACTATTCTTATATGATTAAATGAAGAAGAATCAAATTATGTAGGATAAAATATGGGCCACATATAATGCTTATTGTTAGAATTACATAGTGGCGACTGCTAGGATTCAATAAACATAATGAACTCATGATTAAGATTGAAGTTTGAGTAACTTGTGATGCCAACAGCTAGACATGATTTATGGCAATGATTAGGATTAGATAAGGATGAAGCAACAATTGCAATGAGCATGAGCTTTTTCTTCTTCTTCTTCTTTTTAAAATATTGACATCCGATGTAGTAACATCCGGACTTCTCTTTTGGTCAAGGCCTTTTAGCTTCACATATTAACAAGCAAATGACCCCTTCCATTGGTGAGGGATCACAGATAGACCTAGGCAATTAAAAAGAATAAAGAGGTAGTCACCAAATGCTTTCTCCTTCCATAGAGGAGTAATGCTAGTTTTTTGTATAACTTCATAGTTATCAGTTTTCAAAATCATGTTTTTCTCTTTCCAGTTCACTCATTAATAAAGAGATATTATTGCTACTATAATAATATGGGTTTTATTTGACTGAATTGAGCATGGTAATCAACCTCGAACTTTTATCACTTGAAAGCAGCACTTGATAAATTTTAATCGGTTATCTTCTCACATACGGAAACTATCTTTTACTTTTGGCTAAAGACACGATTAGTAGCATCTCCTATACAATAATCTGCCTTTACACTTTTGGTTGTCCAATGTTTTTTTGTTGTTCTCCAATCATCATCATTTGAGTTTTAACAAAGCACTCCGGACAGTGAAGAATGCTTCAACAAGTGTTGCATAAAGCTGCAGTGCCAAATAAGCTACCTTATATTTTGTCTAAATTTAATCCCAAGATTGTAAGTCCTGTATTTGCATCTCGATGCAATTTTTGTTACTTCATGATAACTGCTCAACGATTGATTTATGATTATATTTATTCTTCTTCCCCTGCAGTTCAGTGGTAAAACTGTGGGTATTCTGGGACTTGGCAGGATCGGTCAAGCTGTAGCGAAAAGAGCTGAAGGATTTGGTTGCCCTATCTGCTACTGCTCGAGATCAGAGAAACGGCACACAAACTACAAGTACTATCCCAGTGTTCTTGAGTTGGCAGCCAACTGCCAAGTGCTTGTCGTCGCATGTCCATTGACCGAAGAGACCCACCACATCATCAACCGAGAAGTGATCGATGCATTAGGGCCGAAGGGTGTGCTTGTCAACGTAGGGCGCGGCCCTCATGTGGATGAATGCGAGCTTGTTTCAGCATTGCTTGATGGTCGGCTAGGAGCAGCCGGTCTCGATGTGTTTGAACATGAACCTCATGTACCAGAGCAGCTGTTTGGGTTGGACAATGTGGTTTTGGTCCCTCATATCGGCACCGACACCTTGGAGACTAGCAAAGCCATGGCAGATCTCATTCTCGAAAACTTGGAGGCGCATGTGTCGAACAGGCCTCTACTGACTCCAGTTTTTTGATCTGACTCAGATGTTTTCTTGTAGAATGTTGGCAACCAATTTGTTTGGTAGAACATCCAAGTTATTCCATTTATCAATCGATTACAGTTGTTCCAGCTCTTGTGATACTGACAGACGAGTTCCATCATCAAATACGTCAATAAGAACCCCCGTGCAGGTCAATATGGAAGGAACAACCAAACTCTTGTGCATTGTTCTATCTTCTACGGAAGCTACCACAACATATTTCTTGCAAGCTTACGCTTTGACATGCGCAGACGATTTTGTAGCATGAAACTTGTTACTGAGAAAATAAGATACCCACATGCGGTGTGCGGATGACCAAACGAACACCATTTCGTTCCTTCACAAGCTATTTGCAAGATGACATTTCCATCTTCAATTACAACATTCTCGCTTCTGGATCAGATACATCTACATGAAAACGGCAAAGCTACATCAAATTAAACTTACTGTTCACTGACATCACCAAACAAAAATGAAGAGAACCAGCCTGTTAAGTTGTGCCGCAGACAGTACAGATAAGAAGCAGCCAAACCACACTACGAAGACACCTATAATGTCCTCTACAAGGGCAGAACATAATTCTTTGACCATTTAGAATTCATCAGATACAGCGACTACATCAGAATGAGATCCTAAATATCTTACAATATACAAAGACCGGCAGAAAGGCAGGATACGATTTAAGGAACCCTCCAAACATCCCATCAGCTCCATCATTATAGCTCCCAACGGTAGAGCACTCCTACTCGCCTCCGTGAACAACATGTAGTGGGTTACTTGCATTTTGACCAGAACATCTCGAAAGCTTTTGTGGTACTATGTCCCAGGCATCTGCAGGAAACTGAGACCAGACTGCCGCCGCACATGTTCTGGAATCAGCTTGGCGATGAGCTCTGGTGATGCACCTGCTAACTGCAAAAATTGTAGCCAGGATCAATTCATCCGTACCAAGAAACATAGTTTTACAAGCTTTTTCTTTTCAATACTCGGTTTTCATCTTCAGAAAATCCCAGCAGCGACGGAGTTAGTTTGCATAGAATAGGAATGATGGAAAGGCCGAACTAACAAGAAAATAGATGCAGCAGCACATGAAACATCACAAGACAACAAGAATATTATTGTAATGTCCAGCCGTCTTAAGGTGCCAAAAGAAATTGCCAATTTGCATGATGATTAAATTGAAGAACCAAGTAGCAGCAATGTTCCTTGGAGAGCTGCCAATTCAAGTAGTTATAAAATCTTGAATGTCATGATTTTCACAATGTCAAATGCACTTGGAATTAGGTCAGTTAAGAAAAAGCAGCAGCGAATGAGAGAAACAAGCATGCTTCGTCAAGCTTATTTCATCCTGCCCATTATGCTTGGAAATAAACAAGGAGTTTGTCACATATGAAGTAATCAGGTTGCCTTATTATAGATGTGGCTACTAAAGAAAGTAAGAACAATAAAAGTGTCAAAGTAGAAAAATAGATGTCACAGATAGCTTTTAGAAGATGTTTTGCTTACTTCCGGTTTGAAGTTGAAAAGAGAAGGCAGAGGACGACCATTTGGCAACCGTGCATTTGGTTCTCGTAGCTCATCAAAAAAGGGGTGAGCACATGCTTCCAGCTGTAATAGAAAAGATCAGGTTAACAAAAACATAAAGAAATGTCAGATCGTATATTGTTACTTGTAAAATACACAAAAGATTCACAGGCTTCACAAGTTAACATTTTGCTACTTATGATGAATTTTAGAAAATGTTATGAAAATTTTGTTATACATGAAAATAGGTCCATCATGTGGTTGCTGTGTTGTTGGATACATCAATGTGTTAAAGATAGTTGGAGGAAACATACTGCGGTGCAACGAAAACTTGGAGAGTATTGGAGAAGACGTGAGGTAAGATCTATTGCTTCTGGAGGCATTCGCTTATGGAATATCTGAAAATTTAGAAGAACTATAAGAATTCCTCAAATACAAATATTCATATCTATTACTCAAATAAAACTAAGGTTAAAATTATGCATAATATGCATATCTAAACAATCAGCCAAAAGAGAGGTATCTGATAGAAATGTTCCATACAAAATGGTAGAACAAAATTTCCAACAAAACTGGCTTCTAAACTATGTTCAAGTATCTCGTATAGTTTTACAACATCAGATATTGAGCGAGAATGTCAATTTGTAAAAAGAAAATGTTAGAGTCCAGTTTTGCTGGAAATATTAGAATAAAGAATTTGATTTGCTCAACCAATTTTGCTTATAAGCATCAAGCTGATATGTACATCTGATGCAAACACTATTCTTTTGAATTAACACACATTATGCTGAAGCGCCCCTTAGTTACAGTTAAAAGATGTCAATTTTATGGTTGGTTTTCTGAAGTATAACAGAAATCTGGAAGGTAAACACTCTTGTTAATCAACTAACAGAGTACAAACCTGGAGTTTGAGAAGGCAAGTTGCAAAAAAAATGCGATGCAAGTTGCAGAAAAAATTGATGCTAATCCTTATGGATAGAATCCAATTGATATAGCGACAAAGTTCTGAGAATCATAACTATTAAAATGAGAGACTTCAGGAAATGAGATCATCACAAATAACCTGTTTATACATCACATATTTTGCAAAACAAGAAAAGCATTGGTCAGGCAGGTGCTCCTAAAGAATGCTATCCAATTATGTTTGTATTAGCACATAGAAATTCAGTAATATGAAAACCATTATCTAGGCAGCCGATCCCAGAAAGTTGAAACATTACCATGTGTATTAACACTGACATCACCAAAAAATTACCAATGTATACATCTTCAACTTATCACTGATACCACAGAACAACAACACAACTGATCTAATGGTTTCACTTCAGAAGTCATCTCTATATATGCACATTTGTTGCAAAAGATTCAAGCTTTATTGTGCCAGCTGACACTTATATGTGTGTGTGAGTGAGTGTCTGTGTGTGTTGTGAAATTCAAAAGGAAAGCCACACAAAAGATAAAGCCAACATGAAAAAAGTGGATGCAACTAACCTTATGCCATGGATGAGCTTTTATCTGTGGAAATCTGAACTCTGTATAGTTAGGATTCATGCATCGAATTTCCTCACGGGTTGGCGTTCCAAGAACCTGCATAAGCATTAAATTTCTTATATGTCATGTATACTCAAAATCACAAGATCCAATATCAACCAATAGGGTATCAACATCATGCCTTGATTATCTCAACAAGCTGATCAACAGCACTATCTCCAGGAAACAATGGCTGAAAAAAATTTACAGGTTAACTTTTAATACAAATCAAATTTACAGGGCCCCCTTGAAAGGTTAACAGTGCAAAAGATTGATGGGTGAGACAGAATACCTGCCCGAGTAGTAACTCAGCAAGAACACAACCTGCTGACCATATGTCAATAGATGTTGTATATTCTGTTGCACCAAAAATAAGCTCTGGGGCACGGTAATAGCGAGAGCAAATGTAAGAGATGTTTGGTTCACCCTTGACCTAATATCGCAGACGAATTAATAGAAAGTAATGTCAGTATTAAAAATCAAATGAATAAGTGAGATGATAAAAAAGATCCAATAAGCTCTTCAGAAACCATGTAAAGAAAGTCGTGGCTAGAGATCATAAGTGAAGGATATCCTACAAAAAGCTGAGAGATTTAGTCATTTACATGCAATTTAACTGAACTATGAAAAACAAGTTAACCATACCCGGCAACCCACTAATGTAATGTTTCCTTCTTATTTTTCTCTTCTATCCATTTTCCAATTCTTTTTCTAGCTTTGCTGGATCAATTGTAGTAGCTTTAGCACTCAATAATCTTACCTTAGATGTCTTGTGATATGGTATCACACCTCTCATCAATTTGTGAATCCATGAAGGAAATAATATATTTATAATTTACATGTCAGAACTCTCAAACTTAGAAACTGGGATCCATGCCTAAGCTACCAGAATTGACTAAAAGTTCTTTGAGATATCATGATGTTAAAAGTTTCCATATGATGTGATTTCTCAAATTTAGTGATAAATAATTTATTTAGCATATCTCGTTATGCTAAATAATGCAAGTATCTTCTCACAATATTTAATATGAAAAATTGCAAAAATGAGATCCCAAAATAATCATGTGAATCAACAGCTCCCTCAGCTATTATTTAGTCAATGCATGTTCCTTGAAAATTCAAAGAAAATGATTGATCCATTTTTGGAGCACCAAAAACAGTCAGAATAAGAAAAAAACATATATGAGCTTTAAACCAAGTAAACATACCAAAACTTTTGCGCTTCCAAAATCACACAACTTGACTTGATGGGTAAGAGGGTCTACCTGCGGAAAGCTTAACCAATTGTAGAAAGAGACTTTCCTTGATCAAGCTTGACAAATTATAAATATTTTTAAGGCCATAAGACATACCAAAACATTTTGTGGCTTAACATCTCTATGGCAAACACCAGGAACTGTATGAATATAAGCCAACCCTCTAAATAACTGCACACAAATCCAAGTATACTCTCATTCGTGTGTCTGCTTATACTCACAGATCAAAGCAAATAAACTTACCTGATATGTATAAAGCTTCACATAGATAAGTGGCATCCTCTGATTCACACTGCTGTAATGTCTTAAAACACGATATAGAGTTTCAGGCACATATTCCATGACTAGGTTTAGAAAAAGCTCATCTCTGCTTGTGGTAGAGAAGAAACAATGCTTTAAAGAGATAACATTTGGATGATCCATCGAACGCATCAGCTGTAGCTCACGGTTTTTGTATCTCCGATCCTGCAAAACCTTCTTTATAGCAACAGTCTCCCTTGTTTCCAAACATTTTGCCTGCCAAAGAACAATCATGTTTGAAGCCAAAACACTAAAGTAGCACAATGTGTCAATGGAAGTCCCAGAAAGTAAGCAAAAAACCTGGAATACGATTCCAAATGAGCCATTCCCTACTACACGCTCCGCCATGTAACTAATGGTCTGCATTGCAAGTAAAAGAATTCTCAGTATGGTAATCCAACAGCAGTCATTTCGCATCAACTTAAATGGTATTCCAATGGCTCCTAACCTGCTTCGGTTCACCATTCTTGCCTCCGATGGTGGTGGAAATGATATGACCAGTGACTGCATCATTCCCCTCCATCACAGATGCTTGCTACAATTAGTAGTTAAAAATGATTTAGACTGATTAATATGTCTAACTCAGCAAAAGAAACAAGAAACAGCTGAAAAACTCAGAAATGAGACCGCATAAGCACACTGAAAGAGGAACTGGAGCTAACGAGTCGTGTAATGAAACTAAGCCAAGGGACGAACCAAGAACTCCACAACGCATCAAATAGCTCATTAATTGCGCATCAGACAGGAGACCATCCTCATCCTCAGGCAGATGGAAATAGTTTGAACAGAAAGCGCGTGATTTCAAAATACCGACATAACGAAAATACCGCTTAAAACCACAATCCTTTTGCCGCAATTCTTTGAAACACTGGTTAATAGGAACAGCTCCTAAATAAGGATGAAAGGCAAGATCAGACCTTCAAACCCTAAAAGGAAAGCAAACGAGATGCCGGAAGTAGAGAAGATCAAAGAAAAAACCTGGTATAATTGCATGGAAAAATATAATACGAAAGAAACCCACAAATACGCATAAAGATACAGTAGAACCGCAAACAAGTAGCAGAGATAAATTCCATCGTTGTTGTCTCTAGACTTAGCATGAACAGCTGGGACTTCATAAAGGAAGGAACATAGGGGAAAACAACAAGAATACTTCAGATCCACCCATGTAACTCAAAAAAACATGCAACTCACAAGTACCATCAACATTCGTGAGCCAAATGCCGCATGATCTCGAGAACCAAGTAAGCCTTCACAACAAAACACAGACTTTTCTGGCAAAACGAGAAGGCAGCTCCGAAATCACAATGGTCCAGCTCGGATCGACTCAAAGACGCAACATTTTTTTCGCATAAGGCAAATGAAACCGAGGAGGGAGCGTAAGCGACGGTGGGAAAGGGGATCAAAGAAGCGGTTCGGTCGAGGAATGGTGAGAGGAGGGGGAACAAGGGGCGGCTACCTTGTCTTCGGCCATCTCCTGGTCGCAAGGAGGGGCGGCCGAATTGACGGCATCGTGCTCCGGAGCCGGTGGCGGCGGGTGGTGATGCGGTCCCAGCGGCAGCGAGGCCATGTGATGCGGTAGTGGTGGGAGGAGGAACGGCAGTACGGTGAAAACCCCACCTCTTTTAGATCCTCGTTTTCATGGCTCACCAGTAGAATACCACCAAAGACCTTTAAGACCGTCCCACGTTATAAATGCCACGACTTGGTAACGGTTCACGAAGATATCGTTTCCGTTCGGATGCCGTATATAACGTAACTGCCGATATATCATGAAATTCGTAATGCAGACTGTCGCGGGCCACTGCGATCGCATGCGGTACTGTGACTGCATCGTCGTTTTCTCGGAAGGCAATGCAGTGGAACTTGTGGCCGCCGCAGTGCTTGAAAACGAGCCCCTTGTGACACATGTCGAAGCAGCTGCATGGTCGACGAGTTTGCGTGGCAGTCAAAACCACTGTTGTCTCTGTTTCCCAAACGCAACCCAGTTGCAGAGTTGCTGGGGATGGATGACAGTCGAGCTGCAGCGGAGGGAGGTATGAAGGTTGTGCGGAAGACCAGATAAACAATGGCAGTCAAACACGACACTCGAGGCGCCGATAGCCGACGCCCAATCCGTTTCGACCTTCCTTCCCCTTCCCCCTTCTCGCTTCTGTCGTGTTCTTCAAGAAGGGCTGATTACTACTACCATGCTGACTAAAAAATTCTTGAATTGTTTGTTTGTTGTTGCGAGCTTCTCAAATCATCATCACATATCCTTTCTCGGGTTCTTTCAGCTAAGATCAAGTGTGGTATCTGTTCTATAAATGTTCATTTCTACAGAAAAACCTTCTTCCCCTCATCCAACCGTACCTGGTCGTGTAGTTGTTTTCAGTCCTGTTATTAGGTACAAGAGAAGCCACCGGCGATGACTGAGGTCAGAGAGTTGCTCCGATGGATTCTAGCGAGAGGGACCATTGGACTCTGTGACACAGTTTTTGACTTCAGAATGGCAGTAGTCAGCATTGACACAAAGGGTAAGGCTGCAACCTGTGCCTAACGAGTAATGACTGAAACAGATCAGTCGGAGCAGATGAAGAACAGTGGAAGACATGGGAAGACCAGTGCAAGCTGTGGCATGCAGTATGAGTGCAGGTTGATTGAGCATAAGGCTCGAGATCATTAACAGCTTTGCAGAAAGAACATGGTGGGACGTCTGGTGCATGCTCCACCAGCTGGCACAAGAGGTTGTCAGAGGGAAATGAACGACGACATGGTTATGCTGATCACGATAAGAATTATAGTTTCCTTTCCTTCAACTCAATCTACCCTTTCAACCCAAAAAAAGTTCGAACTTGAACTATGCTGATGATCTTTTGTTCCTGCAAACACATTGATCCTTATAACATCATTTCTAGTGGACTTCAATAGCTGTTACTATCGCTCGACGAATCCAAAATATACATGAAACGACTACGAGTCGAAGCAATCACCCAGTGGATTTGGCCAAAACCTAATTCTGTACCCTTCTCTGCTCAACGATCTGAGTCTCACCAAGTTCTTCCATCAGCAAGCTCATGATGGAGGAAAGAAACGGTTGAGGTTAAAGGGGAGAGTATAGAACTCCTCATTCCTGCTGTCTCCTTGGAATTTTCGAAACCTAGCCCACCATGCCATGCCTCGGTCGCCGGCAGTGCCACTGACGTCGAGTGTGTTGTCCAGGAAAACCGCAACGATCAATGCCACGGTCGGTGGGGAGGAGAAGATCGTGTTTATGTAGTCATTGAACTGCAAAAGGACACAGATCAGAAACATGCAAACACAAAGAAGTTTTCTTCCTTTTTCGAGACTGATTCTAATAAAAGATACTCCTGAACCTAAGTTACAGCTCCCTACTGTTCTTGCATGCTGTAACTTGATCTTGATGACTGTTTTTGCCAAAGACCCAACTTATAGCTTGCTGAAGTTGATCAACTTACACTCAGGTAGCTCCTAAACGCTTGACAATTATGGATTTCTTTTAGAGATTGTGATCATTGGTAATGTGATCATTGGTAATACTACACAGTATCAGATGAGATCACCGTTTAGTCATGTGAGATCGATCTATTTCAAAGGCTGGTAAAGACATACCCATTCTGCGTTGGTGTGGGCTGGACCACGCTGAGCGCTCGAGGTGTACTTGAAGAAGTACTGAGGAACAGACAGGCCGAGGAAGATGGAGACGCCAGTGATGAAGAGGTTGCGCATGGAGTTCATGTTGGTGAACTGCAACAAGGAGAGCCCCACCGCCGCTAGAACAGAGAAATCCAAAAGACAAGATATCAAGCATTGGTCTAACACACACTCTGTCTAAAACTAGAAGAAAACTAGAAGGAGAACATACCCACGATTCCGAATAGAACACAGTAAACAGCAGCAAAGATGACGAACGGAATGGAGGCAAATAAAGCTCCAAATTTCCCTACGTCAGAAGAGTAGATTCAATATGTTTCCACAACGGGGAAACCTTATGAACTGGATTGATACATATAGCTCATCACTCACCCATGATGGAGAAGAATATCATGAAACCAGCTGAGATCTGAATGACCCTACGACTCCCAACTCTAGTCGATCCGAGAAGCCCCAAATTTTCCCTGATGTATTCCCCGGTTAGAAACTTGATAAAGAGTATCGTCATGTTATGTGCGAAAAGATATAAGAACATGAAGTATGAACTCACACAGAGACAGTCGAACCAGTTACAGTGCCAAACAGCCCATCAAGTAGGATTCCAATTCCCTGATCATTTTTGAAGGACAAGAACAGATAACACAATTCATTCAAATGCTCAGAATTAACTTGACAAGAGAATTTCGCATATGTTGATCCGATGAGGTAATTAATTACCTGCCATCCAATGCCTCGGCTCAGGACATGAGCAGGAGGAGGTGTTGCACTAGCCAGGCGGGCTGCAGCCTTGTAAGCACCGGTTGACTGCAGCAAAACAAGAGATTTATCAGCTTTGGCAAGAACGAAAGATGGCATTTGCACCATCAGAGATAATGGAGTTCGGCATCACCACTGCTTACCTCGATCAAGGATGCAAAGACAGCAGCCATCATCCCAAAAGAATGGCCAGCATCAAAAGTTGGTGCACCCCATTGTAATGGGTATGGAATCTTTATCCTAAAAGCCTTGATATGTTAGTGTAACGCGATGAAAGACATTACAGAGAGCGATAAAAACAGTTTGGAGGAATACCAGGGAGCAGAGGAGATGAGGTTGGCACGGTCAGTGCGGCAGTTGACTTGGGTGCGCTCGGGATGGTGTTTGTATGCACCGCTAACCGTAAGCAAGTGGGCATAAACCCAGATGATGGTGATGGTTATCAGAAGAGAGAACCTCTCCAATATGGGCAACCCTCTAACATGTAGATGCTTCAGATACTGATCAAGTTTACAGGTTTGGTTTAGAAAGATTGGAGACATGAAAGAAAGATTTTGAAGTCAACTGTGCTGTGTTCTATAGTTGAATCACTATAAGATAAATCTGTACCTGGGAGGATGCAACGAATAGGATGAGCATCGGAACACCAATCTCCACACATCTCCCAACCTGGTGCACGAACAAGCTAAGACTAACATAATTGAATGTATTACTGAAATCTTCATCTCGTAGAGAAATTTCACTTTTTTATATGGTTTTTAAAGCAATCATATCTTTTGTAATACATGCTAAAGATATTTATCCTTAATTTTATGAATCACAAGTTTAAGAGGGAAAGACTAAATTAGAATCCTACTGAAGTCCTACACATTTCTGGTAATTCTGAGGCATCAAAATACATGTTGACATCAATTTTCGTCGTCGCATATTACCTAACAAACAATATTATCCTTAAGAAACTATATTCAAGTACATCAAAGCAATAATTTACATCCTGATATGTAATTTGCCATTCTTTTAGCAATATTTCTCATCCTTCAATTGGTGGTACCTTTAACAAAAAAAATTTACGAATGTATTGGAAAATCTTCTAATGTTAATCATCTGCCACAGAAATGTTCATCCTGGTGAAAATTTTGCAGGAAAAGAGCAAACATGTTGGATTGTTTTACCAGATAATAAATTCATAAGCATTTGGTAACAAGTCATTTTTTTATTGTAACTCTAAGAACCACCTTTGGTACTAGCTTTTGTGAAAGGTAAAGAATAAGGTTTTGGTTTCCAGTCAAGCTGAAGGTTCTGTAGCTACATTTTGTTCTCCATCTGACACAAGTACAAAGCTGATGATACATTATCGCAATCAGCAGGCTGATTAGAACAATGCAAGATCGATGTTTTCAGATACGTAAAAGATCAATGTACACAAAACATGTGTTAAGATGCACAATTAGCATCCATATGACTGACCTATTGAAGCTACAATAAAATGCATGCTATGCAAAACTGAAAAGCTCGCCTATATCTTCATGTCTACAGATCTTACAGATATCAAAGAGAAGGAGAGGCAATAGAAGCAGTACCACAGGGAATCCTCTGTCGAATAACCCGAATCCAACCAGTGAAACTACCGGCACCATTCCCAGAGGGCTGAAAAATCTGAACCAGAAACACACAACATAATTACATCAAACAAATAATATGCAGACTATCTCAGCAATTATGTCTATCACTTGCTCAGAATTGTCCCTCTGTTAATATTTTCCATGTGATCCATTTGTTGGAACTTTCCAATACTAAATTGCCAACTTACTTTACACAGACTGGCAAACTGATTTTTCTCGATCCGCATCATGATTACTAGAACTGATCGATTATGCTGCCAGGGAAAACACCAAGAAACAAGGACACATCTAATGATCATAGAGAAGTAGCTGTACCTGGAACAGATACCCCACAACTGGCTGTAACCCAGAATAATCTGAATGCAGGAAGAGACAATTAAAGCTCCTTGTATGGCTCTCATGGTTTGGAGGAACCTCTGCGAACATGCAAACAAAGCACTGGTCCAAATTATCCACATGGAGAACTAACAAACTGGGAATATATTGAGTGAAAATTCAATATTAACTTGTTGACTTACTTGATGATCATCGGTTATCTGTGTCAGGGATGAGTCGTGAATTATAGATATGATCGGAACCATAAATGCGTATGAACCACCAATCACAGTTGGAAGGCGAGTCCCGAATAGGGTCTGAATCAGTGTATTTATTCCGGTCACAAATAGCAGTGTCTGCACAACCCTAACCTTATCATCCTGCAGCAGTGGACTCCCTGATTACTTTCAACTAGTTGACGAGTTAAATCTGAACAATCTAATGTAAAAGATGCAAATGACACCAGAAGATATTGATCGTGTTAGACTGATGAACAAAGAAGCTAATTAAATAGTATGGTAGGAAGCATCCTTAAGCATTCATTTTTGAAGGAAAATACAGTGATTAAATGAACAAAAAAGATAGTTTAATCAGCAGAATACAACTAAAGACGGAAGCAAATAACTAACTTCTAAAGAGAACACTCCAAAGGAGAAATAGAGAAATAGGAAAAAGGTTGGATGGGATTGCAATACTAGTAAGCAAGTCTTACATCACTTCCCCCCATCAAGGGTACCAGAAAGGTTGGGATCATCACCGCTGTGCCCAACGCCAATACGTAATGCTGAAATCCCAAAGCAATCGCCTCACCTGCAATCGAGTGCGCAGTCACAAACGCTCATACTAGTACAACCGGAGAACAAAAGAGCAAAAGGAAGGGTATCAGTAATCTAACATACCCCAAGAAGGATTGGAGTCGATGCAGTACTCGAACCCCTGGAGTTGATCCATGGGCGGATGCGTGATGATCTCCTCCGGCTTGACTTCCGCCATCTCCAAGAATCACCAAAACAACACCCAACCGGGGGAAGAAGGATTGGAAAGCAATGAAAAACCCGACCTTTTTTGGGTCTTCCAAACAGCACCAAGATGGAATTTTTCCGATTGCTCTGCGGCTGAGGAGTGGAGCAGCAAAAGAGAAAGGTGGCCTCGGGTGAAAAAAGCTGGAGAATTGTTGATGAAAGCTGAGATAAAGAAGAGGTTTCCAAAGGGGCACAGAAGATGAGGACGAAAGTGGGCGGGAGAGAGAGAGAGAGAGAGAGAGAGAGAGTCGCTCGAAGGATGGGGGGAGGCAGGATTCGAGACAACACCACCCACGGAATCCCCTCCGTTCGCCGTCGTCTATATATCTCCCTGTCGTGTGTGTCTCCATGGGAATTTGCCCGTTGGTATTTTTGCGACGGAAATGTCATGACACGCAGTCGTGTACAAACTCGGAGGAATAGAAAATGCAACGCGAGTTACCGTTAAATAGACGGCCTCTTTCGCCGTCTGTGTGGAGAATAAATCAAACAGAAGCATCACAGATGGATTCAAATCCATGTCTTAACTGCGGGAATTGCTCTTTAGGTTCAGTAAACTAAAGCTGATGAAACGACTAAAATCGAATCCGATTGATAATTAAACGTAAAAATTTTAATTGAATTGTTATTAATATTGAAAGCTTAAGATATTATAAAAATGCTCCGAGTCAGCATCCACGTGACAAAAGGTTTGCGAATCTCCCAACGTTTACGTTTCTGCTATAAGATATTAAGCTGCACCCAACTCTCGCTAAAATATTATTACCAGTATCCTTGGATCCATGATTACTAGGCTCTGAAGACAGGGTAGGCACGCTGAGGCACTTGATGAACATGGATTATATCTTCTTCTTTGTGACCACTTTATGGCCACTGTGCTACGGGACTTGGAGGCAAGGAGGCTGCTAGCGAACGAAGGAATGCTTGTATACAAAGAGCAAAGGATTGCAAAAGCTGTGGATGCAGTCCGAGGCAAAGCAAAGTAGATTCCAAGATAAGGAGGAGGCTTTTTGGCTTTTGAATTATTTGCGGAGATTCCTCTCTTTTTCTGCTGTGAAAGAGTTGACGATGATCTGACTATGACTATGTTGATGTCTGACTTGAGCTCGACTCGTCCAAGAAGGAGCTCGGCACAGTCAGCCATTCTATAACACACACACACACACACAAGCATAGTTATCACTAAGACAGTAGAAACTCAATTTGAAGGAGAAATGCGAGAGAATTTACACTCTGAATCATTTAATCTCGGTCCCAAATGCACCAACCTTCAGCAGTCGTGCAAAGATGGCTACACATTCAAGTTCGCAGTGAATCTGTATCGATACTCCTTGGTCTCTCGCAGGTCCTACAGGAAGACCACTTGGTTCACAGTCGATTGCTATGGCTAAAGAAGAAGCAGATGGATCTTCCATGGTACAATAAAGAGAAGAAAGATAAGTGGACTGAGGTTTACATGATGATAGACTGAGCCATATACCAGATGGTGGTTGCCGCATAATTCTGCAAGGAAACAAACTACGTGTTAACTTGCTTCGACAGATACGATCTCCAGCTCCGCCCACCAAAAGTGGAGAAAGTTGCTACCTCGGGTGAAATTTGTATCACATCCCTCAACTTAGAAGTAACTTCTTTCATGGTTGACCTCTTCCTGGGATCAAGATTGATGCAATCTCGGATGACCTCGCAAATGGTTTCCATCTCCTGATCTTTATGGGTTTTCAAAGTGGGATCGACCAAAGAGCTAACACCACCATTACCATTTAAGTACTCCACAACCTGTTGTTTCAACAGAGCAGGTATCTTAGAGCCAGTACCACGTTATCTATTCCTATAAGAATAGAATTATTGCAGTAACACTTGTGAAAGATGGAGGAGCAAAATGAACCCATAAGGTTCTCACTGGTTTCTAGTATTGTGAGATATGTCAGCTTACCAAGTTCAGAAGGGAGACTTGTTCTTCAGAACATGGCACCATCCCAGAAACTATTTCTAATAATAGTATCCCAAAACTGTAGACATCGTTTGCAGGATCGGCAGAAAGGGGTTTGGAGTGATCAAGGTCATCATCTCCATGTGTCTTCACGTTGGCAAAAATTTCTTTCCAAACATCAATGTCCGCAACCTGTACATATACAACAAATCATATGTAATGATCAATGTATTCTTAGTTAGCTGATACGATCATAGATATCATTGACAGTAGAAGAAATGTATTGGAACTTCGCCTTAGAAGCAAAATCCTCTGAAACAAAAATCGAGCTTGACAGCAGGTTGAGATGTGGTATGGGTGGCTTCAGCTCGTGCATGTGCTGCAGACAGTAGGCTGTCCCCATGATTATCCTCATCTAGCACTCCAATCAAGATGCTTGAATTCTTCCACTGCACAAAATTAAACATTCTATTAGTCTGTCTATCATTTATTGCTTCAAAGTCAAGCTTTCATCGAATTTGAATGCATTAATCCTTCTTACCATGAAGATGCTCATAGAGTGTACCATTGGGTGCATATTCAAGGACCATCATTCTCATAAATGGCTCATTCTCCTCAAAGTAACCAAGGAGACTGACAAAGTTTTTGTGGTTCACACGAGATAATGCATCTATCTGTATGTCCAAGATGAGAAAGACATCAATTCACTGCCCTTAGGACAATGTAACATATTCAGTGTGCATAGAGTAGGCAATTTGCTACAAAAATACCAAGAATGAAAACCTTTTTTCTGAAAAGCATTTCTGAATGCCTTGACCAATCGTTTAAAGATGTGATGGTGGTGGATACAACTGCTATCTCGACCCTACTTGATAATATTATAAACAGTAAATTCTGGATGACTGATGACAATGTTGCTAAAATCTTCACAAGCAGCTTCAAGCTCTGAGCCCTTCAATTTCGGTACCCCTGCATAAGTGAAAGAGAAGACATAAGCTGTGCATTCCATATGTGAACTAAGCAGAAGCACAGGCTTCCTTGCCACCAGTGCGTTAGAAAAGGTGGAGTCAAAAAAATTTTCAAGGACACACTGAATAGAACATATTGTAGGTAGATACCTGCATGGTATTATTAACTATCAAGTACTACTAAAACTAACTATAATAATAATAATAATATAGTGTTTAGTAAGCTATTTGGTGCTTATATATGCCTTGGAGTATGTGCATTACCTTTGATCTAAAATTATTCTACCGATAGAAGAATGCTTCCCTGTAAAGATTCTGATCTTACAATGTTAAATAACATTTTTTTCATATAAATTGTAACTTTATACAAATTATACACCTACTTATCTGCAAATAGGATCACTTGAAGTGTTTACCTAGCGTCGTAGTTTCAATGAGCTGCACTACACCTGCCCATCTTTGGAGTTACAACTATTAAGTTACAAATGATATGTTTAACATGAGAAGAACCTAATAATACAAATATATTTTTTCTTTTCATGATAATCACACAAAAATTGAAACTATTAGTATCTCTGATGAATTACTTATATCCTAATATGTCGATCAATTATCATATCCATAATGTCCAAACATAGGTAGAAAGGGATTCACCTGTTACAAATGCCTTCTGCAACTGACCACTTAGACCAGTTTTCCAAGGACCTATGTAGCCACACCCTTGCTGCGGCAAACCAAAAACATGCATGTTCCTAGGGTAAGAAGTAAAGCAGCCATTGGAAGTTATCATGCTTTTATGCAAGGTATGCAATACCATACCATACCGGTGTTTCAAGGTTGGCTCGGTACGGTACGGTACCAGCGTATCGAGCGATACACCAGGGCGTACCGAGCGATACATCAGGGCTTACCGAGTGATTTTAAATATTTCTTCCTCTTACTGTAGCACTGTAGCACGGTCCGTCCAATAACGGGTAGTCCGCTACCGGTATACCGTCGGACCGATATGTACCGCCTGTACCAGACGGTACTATTCGAAATTGCATACCATGAGTTTTATGACAACTATAGGATAAACTATTACAAACAAAACTGTAAACAAGGTGTTCGATATAATACTTATGTATATCCGTGTCTTTCGATTTTATTTATGTTTTGCACAGCAAGAGCTTATGGTAGGCTTAACACCTCATTTTAATTAGCTTTTGTGGTCATTTCAGGTTTGTAAATACAAGTTGTTTGCATTGTCGCAAAGAGGTAAAACTACCCGAAAACAGGTCACCCAAGCAACTATTTTGGGGGTTTTCTAGCTATACAGAGTAGTGCAAAGTATCAACTAGTATGGCACCGAGGAGCTACTCGGGTGGCACATAGTTTGATTGGCCTCTGGGTAGTGTCTAGGGCTAATTCACTGTCTTGTTCCCCAGTAGTGTCATGTGGGGACTTTTAGCCATGGTGGACCACCTTGGACCTTTGGTCGCACAACCGTATAGAGCTTGTGAAATCTATATTTATAATTTGTATTATCCATCAAGTGTTTGTTGAAATAGTTGCATGTGGGATCCCGAATTAAACACTTTCTTTAACTCATCTTCTCTTTTGTAGGTACCTAACGGACCATAAGAGATTTCGTAGAGACTGACCCTTTGCGGGCAAATGTGCAAAGGTGCCACAGGACTTAGACAAGACTAGCCATAAGACATTGTCAATCTTTTCCATTGTTACATAAAAGATACATAAAAAATTTACCTTCGAAACTAGGATAGGCTTTGTTCATTATCTTTTATATTATCATTAACTAGTTGTCAGTTATTTTGTGCCTTATCCCTTGCTTCAACATCATCACTAGCACATGTACGTTTGTAAGGATAAACTAATCACTACTTTTGTTGGTTCAACTGCCTATAATATAGCCTAGCTACACTGAAGAAGGAATCTTACAAGAAGCACTTGACATTGCCAAGGATATAGGAGGAATGAGTCTAATGGCTTGTTTTCTTCTAATTCTACTAGTAGAAAGTTAACAGAAAGAAATATTGAAGGTCATAACAAATCCTACACTGCAAATTATATTCAGCCTTAAGAGTCATTTACTTGGAAAAGGAGAACCAATAATACCTCCATGCTTATCAATATGCAAATTCCCATAAACATGCAGAGAAATGAATGGTGGCTTACCAATGCTTAACCTTCCTGTTTACTCGGCCCAGGTCATTAGTCATACCACAAGAAAGGTTTTGATCATGCATCAAATCAAAGTGCATTTTAGGATTTTCTATCAAAGGTGTGCTCCCCTGGAATTTGTTATGGCCAAGCAGACTGCAAAAGAAAAGGATGATTTTTAACTCACAAAATTTTCTTAGCTTTTGAAGCAAAAGTGTATTGCAATAGGAGACTCACAGATGTTTGAGAGATAAAATTTCTACAATCTCCTTCGGAATTGTACCATTTAGCATGTTATTCCTCAAGTCCAAGAGTTCCAACATGGTTAATCCTCCAATCTCCTTAGAGATGACTCCAGAAAATTTGTTCCCATAAAGCACACTGCTGAAAGAAAACTAGTTACAAAAACAATGGAAGTGCACTAAACTTAGTTTGACAAAGCTATGATGGCCTGAAGTTTAAATGATGATATGAGAGAAAAAAAATTGTGTAGAAAAATGCTGTTATACATTTGATGTGAGGTTTATTTTTTGGCTACTGCATTAAACTTAGAACAAGTATTTTAAGGTCTTTACTGCATTGTCGTCATTGTTGTTGTTGTTGTTGTTGTTGCACATTAATAAGTTATGCGCAATGTCCAAAGAACTGAGGTCATCCCAAGAGCTTTTTATAAGAACAAATAGATTTATTGCCTTTTAATATCATTTTGTGGTCTTAGGGTTATGTCCAGGATGAGATACATTCCATCCACAACAGGTCTATTCCTTGCAAATCTGTTACGCAAAAAAAAAAAATGGAAGAGCATGTTACAATGGGAAACACATGAAAAAGAAAAAGAAATCAGATGTCTTTGTGGAAGACTGATACCTGATATTCACAACAATGATACAAAGGTGTGGCATGTAAAATGTAAAGATGATCATATCATATCTGACAGCCAGGTGTAAACCTAGTGGTTTGTCCTTTTATTTTGCAAAGAAGTTCCATATCATAAGATTGTAAAGGTGCAATTCATTAGATCACCAAATGCATTATATTGCTACGATTCCTCTTTCAATACTATCGTTTCTTTTTTTTTTCCTACTGAGATGCCTATGTCAACACAGCAGTGCACTATGCCATCAACAAGATAATCCTTGCTGAAGAACGTGTCACCCTCAAAATAGAAGAAAAACATAATAAAATGCTTAGTAATTATATTTTATGGAAGATTCCTCTACAATACAAAATAAAAATAATGGATCTATTACAAATTGATTTTGATGAGAATAAAAAATAACAGATGGCACACACACTTTATTGGAATAGAAGAATTTAGAGAGATAATTCTCATGAATATTTCCTTCATTCCTGTATGCTCATTTAACATATTTCTGCCCCTGAAAAACTTTACATGAATAGTTGAATATCTCAAACTAAGTTCTATGCTTATGGAATTATGGTTCCTTCTATTCAACATTGTGTCTATTTAGGCAAAGAGAAAAAACTCTCCATGCACATATATGTCAATGATAGTTAAATATGAAACTAAAATGCAACTTACAGAGCTCTCAAGTTACTGAGATTCCTGAGTACCAGTGTCAAAATCCCGTGGAGAGACAATTCTTCTAGGCTCCTGCAAGTGTGCAACATTATTAGATATAGAACACATCAAATGGTATTTTAAATGTGCAATGAAGCCTTTGTTTTTGGAAAGAAAGATGAAAAACAATGAAACAGTAAACTAAGGGTACTTTTTATGTCTAAGTGCTTTTGTTACAAAAGTTGAAATTAGTATCTAATTTTCAAAACAAGAAGTTAGTAAAAATGCATCATTTTCAGAAGCAGAATGATATTCTTACCCACCTATCCAAATATGATTATAAAACTATTAGGGTAGCTTCTCTCTAAATTTATTTTCCACCGTTCCTAGTAAGCCTGTACACCTTCTAGCATACTTTGCAGTGATAAAGAACATGAGAACCTTTTATTAAAGTTCAATCAGTGACAATTCAGAGCATGGTTTGCAATACCGATCCGTACCGCCCGGTACGGGCGGTACGTACCGGTCCGCCAGACTTTCGATACGCGAACCATATGTTACCGTTCCGACACTGTAGCAGTACTGTAGCACTATAGCACTGCTACAGTGCTCGGCACGCCTGAATATACCGCTCGGTACACCTGGGTATACCGAGCGGTATACCGTACCGTACCGATACCGAGCCCAGGTCGAAACTCCGGTACGGTACGGTATTGCGAACCTTGATTCATAGACTAATATTAGGGTTAAGTCAATGACAAATCTCTTCCAGAAGGTATAATTGGACTGTGTCAAATTAAGGGAAAAGGTTATATATATATATATATATATATATAAGGATTGCCTAGTAAGGATTGCCTAGTAGCAGGCAGTGCTCCACCAAATTGGTTTCAACTTAATTAGTCTTTCTAAGTAATCACTTATTTAGAGCTTTACATAATCTGCCCCACCTGAGTTTTCTTGATCTTGTCTTTTTTTTTCTGTATTTATTTCTTTGGATGTCATTCATCATCTTTTATAGTTTTGGATTATCTACACAATCTCAAACCCCTTATATTACTGAAGATTGCACTTGTCGCCTAAACTAACTGGAGTGACATGAACTAGGAAAAATACTTTTTTTTGTTTTCTTACTGTACTGTCCTTTCTAAGGCAACTCAAGGAGAAGTTTCTAAGTCATGGTTCAGCTAATATCAGATTAATCAAAGTGCATGACAGAATACATCCAGATATATGGCAAAGTCTGCTCATGTCAGCATGAAAGGATGCAGACATCAGAGAAGCTACCTCCAAATTTTGAGAATCAATACTAGTTGGAGGCACAGTATATTTTTGCGAAAGGTTGAAAGAAAATGAAAGCTATTACATGTTTTAAGACAATTGTTGTGCAGGAGTGGTCTATCAGTCTGTCAATTGTCGGATGACATTTTTGCATCCGTTTTGATATTTCCTGCTCAAATACATCCATATTCATAAACAGATGACACTCAGTTGCGAAGAAGAACAATGCACAACAAGAGAGACACAATAAAGGGGCCAACGGTCTTACAACGTGATTACTTTACCATCGACGCAACGAACACCGGTCCATTAGCACGGGTTGTCGTCTCTGGGATTCCAATTCTGCAATGCCCCAAATGGATCAGACTCCACTCTCGACCGGAATTCCAACAGAGCCAACCCTTCACCAGAATCCAACCTTTTTTAAGGTACCATCATCATCATCAATAACACAGTCACTAGTACATCGAGAAATTAACATGTATGTCTACCTTCGAGATTAATCGACTTGCACTCGTTGCTGATGACGTAGATCATCAGGAGCACGCATAACACCTTGTGCAAATGGAACCAGAACATATTCCATCGATCCGTCATTCCCCTCAAATTCGATATATGAATCCTCTTCTACAACAACCAATTTACAAGGACTCCCCCTCTTCGACCTCTCGAGGTCGAAATCGACGTACCACGATCGCCGGTTACGAACGGACACCTTCGATCAAGCCGAGAGCTCGAATCTTCAATCGGTGTCCTTCAGCTTCCGTCGCCTGCATTAGCAATCCAACCAAACTGAGAAAGAACACCCAAAAAACTCAAAAGATTTCTCCGCTTTTGGGAGGAATCCAAAGACGCTTCCACCACTATAAATCTGAGGAGTATAAAAGGGTTGAAAAAGAAAAAACTAAAATAAAAAAAAGGTGCTCGCATGGATCGATGACGATCAAAAGGAGAGGCGGAGGAGGGCTTGGGGTTGTCGGTTGCGGGAAGGAGTTCCGAGGAATGACGAGCTCCGTTTCCGGAGGATGTGAAGTTTGTTATTATTATTCTTATTATAGCATTATTAATTTTATTATCGATTTTATCATTAAAAATGTTAATATTAAAAACTATAATAGGAAGAAAAATGGCGAAAATAAGATTAAATAGAGGCGCGCCATGTAGAGATTACTCCTCTCCTTTTTTATGGACCTATGTGTATACCCACCTTGTGATTCGTTATGGAAGGGTTAACTCCAATCACAAGTGGGGTTTCTGAACAGGTAGGTAAGCTGCCGTGTCCTCCATTTGAATGCTTGGTCGAACACGTTCGCTCATCATGACGCAGCTGCTTCATTTTTTTAGAATATTTAATCGGATAAAAAAGGAAAAAAAAATGAGAGTGTTCGTTCGGGTGTTTGGGGCGGTTGGGACCCACAACTTCGACGGGACCGCGGGAATCGTTGTGCTTTACCCCTTTTCCGCGTGAGCGTGTGGGACGTGGGCCCGGGCGCCGCCGTTCGTTGACGGTCCTCTCGTCGTTTGCACGACTATTACAGCCGTCGGATGACATGGCGGCTACAGTTGACTTATGTGGACGTGGAGCTCACCCTCGTGGACCCTTGTCATAGTGAAGTAGTTAACGTCATGGGTCTCTCTCGTAGAGCCAAACAAAATCCGACATCACCTGTGAGCTGCACGAGTGACGTGGTTCTTGACGGTAGCTCGAACGTGAGGATTTAAGTCGTGGTTTCACCTTGACCAGTGGATTATAGTAAGACGACTTTGATTTTGAGAGCATGAGATTAGTAAATTGTTTCTAGATTCGGTAACTCATCTCGTTCACACGCGGGAATAATGTTGATAGGAAAAGCAATGACATAGGTATTAAATTGATGACTCATTCGATCGTGGATCGTCATTCGAAATAAACACGTGTGCAACGGCTCGTGTTGCTTGCTCGCGTAATCATCGATCGAAGTATGATCCTCGAGAAAGTCACGTGAGTTGATCATATCAATACCCAGCGGCCAAGCTCACCTTGTCGGCTTTCCCCTCGATTATGTCGTCGATCACTAGCAACCCATTGCAATCAGTGATAATTATGTAAGGGCTTGCATGCTTAATCACATGGAGCATTAATCCTAAACGATACGATTTAACTATCCTCTCTAGGCACCTAACACTGAGCCTCATCCCTTATCTATTTCAAGCGTGGTCTTGCCCTGACAAACAACGTGCCCTCAGTCATCTTTCTTTGACGCAACCGTTAGAAAGATGTATTCACTTGATGTCAACATAAATGAACCTCTGAGGATGCGAGGGGCTCCAATGAGGATAAATGGTCGATCACACCATCGACAAATAAGTTATAAAAATCAATCCTCGAAACCAAACATGAGGGCAAGGAGGCTTAATCCAAACTCTTCCGAGCTTTAAATCCTCTTCATCTACTTTACTAACTTAAACATTGAAAGGATCGGGTTGGGATATTTCCCCACACTGACAGCTTGTGCAGGACCCCGACGCGTCTAAGGAGCACATTAAGACGATGTATAGCACTTCTAGACAAGGCAAGACGCATCTCAGGATGACCCCAAGCTTTCTTTAACAAATCAATCATGCTTCGAGACAATTGCAGGTTAATCATCGTCTGAGAAGTCCACCTATCACCTCAACTTCTCGCTCGGATCATATCCACATGACCCGCATAGATTTTTCAAACGGATTCATATCTTCGGGACAAAACTAGATCGTATTGACTCTTTTGAACAATGACATGAAGGCAAACACATGTCATCGTGACTTGCTCTTAATTAGGAGGCTTAGCGATGCAATGCTCTTTTCAAGATGGATCGAGAATAAATCATATAAGAAAGTTTCCGGGAAGCTTTGCGATGGAGGTGAGCCTGGTCACGTCAAGTTCGTAACATATGAAACGAAAATCAAGTCAACGAATGAAGGACAAACAATACATGAGTGAAAGACTTGTTCACTTCAATAGTAGCTAATATTGTCCCAAATTGGAGGTTGCATATGAATCATGTTCTTCTTATTGATAATAATTGAATAAAATTTTAAGAAAAAATGTTTTATCATGGTTGAACAAAATCAGATCAAACAAACGAGAGCAAAGGAGACGAAGACGATGATAGACAATAAATCTATCATCATTATAAAATAAATATATTATATGTTAAGAATTTTGAAAATAAGAATTGCGATAGGAAATCTGATCCTATAAAAACTATATCAAATATGTTAATATGTTTATCATCTTTGTCAATGAATTTGTTATCTTATATTTTAGTTATACCGCACGTAAAAGGTTATAAGAAAAAAATAAGAGATTGGATAGATGCTTGATCATATATAAATTATGTCAGAAGCATACCCACCAAAGATTCATTTATGTTATTGAAATCAAAATATTCAAATGTTAGAGAGTTGGAACAATATAAACTTAGGCTAATACTCTTAAATGGTTTAAAGCACATACAAAAGCTTTTTATAGTAAATTTAGATAATCATCAAAATTAAGTAAAGTATTAATTTATGAGATGACTAAGTAAAAAATAATTAATTATCATATCATAAAAATATGTATCGAATAATTAAACATTATAATATGACGTGTCATGATGGATGCATCGGATCCCCGTGACACTTAATAAGACACGACATATTATAGGATTCTTTTATTAAAAATAATACAAAAATGACAAATAAATATTGTTAATATCTATTGCGTAGTGGAGAATCAGGATTCTTTTATTAAAAAATATATTAAAAAAAGACCAATAAATATTGCTAGCTTCAATTGCGTAGTGGACAATCAAAAACAAAGAGTCCAGATCGATCAGTAACGCTGACCACTATGTCATAAATGTTAGTCTTATCCTCCACACGTCGTAGCTGTGGGTGTCCTCGTCTTTCTGTGGGCTCTGAAACGTTTGGTGACGATGATGTTCGAGTGGTTCAGTCCCTTACAATCGATGAGACCACATCAATTATTTAGAGCCATGTGCACAACCTTTTCATGTTCCTGTAGCACTAAGGATGGCTGAGAGTTCTATCCTGGTCCTTCAATTCGGCAGACATGCTACGTGCGGTTCATGTCTTCACTTATCATTTTGCTTATCTAATAAAACCAGGTCCTGAGTCCTTAGTTGCTCGCACAGTATCAAACGGACAAAGTCCTTTAACATGCATCGACTCCATAATGGAGATCCAATTATCCGAAACCTAGGCAAGCTGCAGAGTCTTGGCCACCGAGGTGGGAGTCCTTGTCTGTGGATGCCCCATCATTTTGATGATGCCCTCGTGACTTGCGTCTCTTAGGACAAGGAGAGCATACGTGTCTCTATTGCCAATGGACGGCCATGGAGAACGACTGATCAACAGGCGAGAGCACGCGCCCATGCATGCATTCCTTACTGCGTACGTACACCTGCCTGCCTTCCCATGCATTGTTCCACCGGAGAACGGGGTGTGGGAGGTATTGTGCCACTCCCTCCTTTCGAGACCACAGGCATTGGACACGTCTCTGAAACATGTGCTATGAATGCGACCCATGAATCCTTGGCCGTGTTCGTGAGGTGTTGGCAGAGTTGGAGAGACGTCAGCGAGAAGATATGACCACCTAATCCTTCAGATCGAGCAGATAATAACACGAGTCGACTTAAAACTATCGATCCGAACCGGCTGAGCGCATTCGATTCACCACATCGATCGATCGCGTCTACCACTGACAGCAGTCGGGTTCGGGCTCGGGGTCTTAAACTGGGCCCGCTTTTGTGTCCAATAGTAGATCGAAACCTGTGTTGGAATATATACCGTCAGGTCCAAACCAATACGAGTCCGCGTACGCATCGTGGACATACCGTAGTACTGTTGCTTCCAGTCGCGTACAACGATCGGGGGCAGATACGTAATTTCGCCGAGATGTTTCGGATAAGGAGGTGACAGCAATAAAGAAAAGCCCGGCTATCGGGTACCCTTTCGCTCACCTTACTCGTATTTTCACGAAGATGTGGACCCAAGTCCTCCGGTCGCAAAGATTGATGCGTAGGAGGAGAACTTTGTGGCGGACTTAAAGGGACAGTGGGATCGTCTCCTGTACTGGATTGCTGGTGGTCCCGCATGGACCCGCTGCGTCACCGATGGGGTCGCGAGCCAACGGAGAAGGCGGCCATTCCACATCTCTCCACCCGTCGGCGTCCCCGTTTCTCCTCCTCCTCCTTTGCCACCCCCCACCCCCCTAACCAAACCCTCTTCGTCCTCCGATGGATTCCAATTAAATTTGATGCTCTTTCGAACGAATAAAGTTGCAAGCAAAATTACGATAAAGCCCCTCCCTTGGAAGAAAGGGTAAAAAGGTCGCCCTTTCGTCCCCCTCGCTTGGTTCCTTGTGAGATCTCGGAGGAGGAGGAGGAGAGATGTCGCTGCGAAGGGCAATTCTGTCGAGGGTCTCGTCGTCGTCCATTAGCTTCTTAGGAGAGTCCAGGAGCTCGGCGCGCCGGGAGAGGAGCGATGTGGAGGAGATAGAGGGCGGAGGTAGGGATGGGGTGCTGGCAGCGGCAGGAGAGGAGGAGGAGGCGGGTCGGTGGGCGCGGATGCTACCGGAGCTGATCGCAGAGATCGTGCGGCGGGTGGAGGCAGGCGGGGAGCGCTGGCCGCTGCGGAAGGACGTGGTGTCCTGCGCTTGCGTCTGTCGGAGGTGGAGGGAAGTGACGAGAGGAGTCGTCCGGCCCCCGCTCGAGACCGGAAATATCACCTTCCCTTCTTCCCTCAAGGAGGTGACTCTCTTAACCGTGGAGGATTTTGTTCCCCTCTTCCTTGTAGATATTAGATCTCGCAGGAGACACAAGAAAACTTTGATTTTTTGGCTTGCTTATTACCGAGCATATCGACAACTTGAGATTTTGATTACTTTTTGGTGACTTCGAATTTGTTTTCTTGACTTCTCTTTGATCTTCGCTCCCTTTGGCTGCTTATTATTGGATTTTCTGTTCTGAAAACTGTTTATAGAGAGTG